GAGGTTTATTTTTTTTAGTGATTGTCCACTAGGACTCTAAAATCTCTCTTGCAGTTATTGCTGTCGATCCAGGTTTCACCTGGTCTGTACCTGTACATTTGGCTTTTCTTGCCTAAGTTGTAAAACCTTAGTTTTTTTTCTCCACTGGATTTTATTTGGTTAGGTTACCAAATTATATCCCCCCACATCAGCAGAAAGACTTCTTGGAGACCCAAGTTAATGGATGGGGGATGAAGTTATGATATTGCTTGGTCTTCTCTGCTTATTGATCTCAGGGGAAATAATGATTAACACTAATTGTCGGCTAAAATTTGTGCATTGATTACTGCCGCTCAACATCAGTGCTGCTACGACCTCTTCTGCTTAGTTGTTTCTGATGGGAAAGGAATGTGGATACCAGCGTTAAGATCAGCTTTGAATCTGGACAGAAGATAAGTGAAAAGACAAAGCAGACAGTCTGAAGCAAATTTGGCTGTAGTTTCAGTGAGAGGCAAATAAAACGAAACACCTATGTATACCAGCTCAGTTACTTATATGCTTTCTAAAAATAGCTGCTAAAAATGTTGTTGTTGTTAGTTGCGAAGTTGTGTCCGACCCATCACAACCCCATGGACCACGTTCCTCCAGGCCTTCCTGTCCTCTGCCATCTTCTGGAGTCCATTGAAGCTCACGCCTACTGCTTCAGTGACTCCCTCCAGCCCCCTCATTCTCTGTTGTCTCTTTCTTCTCTTGCCCTCCATCTTTCCCAGCATCAGGCTCTTCTCCAGGGAGTCCTTCCTTCTCATTAGGTGGCCCAAGTACTTGAGTTTCATCTTCAGGATCTGGCCTTCTAAAGAGCAGTCGGGGTTGATCTCCTCTAGGACTGACCGGTTTGATCACCTTGCAGTCCAGGGGACTCGCAGGCGTCTTCAAAATAACCATTTATTAAATGCAGGTATCTTTCCTCCAGAGTTATTTGGAAATATACTGTCTGTTTCGGTAGAGAGTGTTTGTTTAAAGGACGAAAACCCTTTTCATTTTGCGCTGTGGATTAGATTTGTCAATTGCTCGTAAATAATCACAAACTTAAGTTCCAATGTTTTATTAAACTAGTGAGTTTGTTATACAGGTAAGTCCTCAACTTACAGCCACAACTGAGCCCAACATTTCCGTGGCTGAGGGAGACCTTTGTGAAGTGAGTTTTGCCCCGTTTTCCGACCTTTCTTGTCACAGTCGTTAAGCGAATCACTGCAATTGTTAAGGCAGTAACATGGTTGTTAAGTGAACCTCGCTTGACTTTGCTTGTCGGAAAGATGCAAAAGGGGATCACAATGATCCCCGGGACACTGCGACCATCGTAAATATGAACCGCTTCCAGCGTCCGAATTTTTATCATGTGATCATGGAGATGCTGCAATGGCCATTATGTGTGAAAAGCGGTCATAAGTCAATTTTTTTTATTTTTTTTATTTTTTAAATTTTTATTCATAATATAATTAAAACAACAATGGACAAACATGACATTCCAGAGTGAATTTTCCTATCAGTTCCTATCAAAGTACAAAAGTTTAATACATTGTTCTTAACCTCTATATAAGCCTCATCTTCTATACAATACAATTATATATACAATTATATGTACAGTTATGTATATATTTTAATTCTACCATTAGGTTGAAGTCCGAGCAGTTCTTAATTCATACCAACGGTAAAATTTGCCCCAGATTTTGAAGTATTCGTGTTCCGTTTATAAGTCAATTTTTTCAGTGCCTTGGTAACTTTGAACGATCCCTGGAAGTGAAAAGCTTCATAATTTCACCAGTTCTTAAAATAGGAGAAAGGGAAGAAGCGGATGATTTAAATAAGCAAACTCCGCCATCTTGTGGAAGATGCTATCTTACACTGTTAAGACCAATATGCAGTTTAGATGTAAAACTATAGAACAGGCTTTATTGTATAAAATAATTAATGGAAACAACTTTGACATAAGGACTCAAAACAAAGATAAAGTCATACTTTAAATCAGATTTCAAAATATTCTGGAACAAGTGAATTGCGCTATCAAGCTGAACTCCTGTACATGAAAAGGTTTCAGACTATCTCGGAAAGTCTTAAACACAGTGGGTTTTATTATAATTGCTAATTTGTAATGTAATTGTAATCCGTCCCGTGTTTATTCTGCAGCTCCATAACTATTCTCCCTCCCTTCTTTTCATTCTCATTTCAATTTAAATCGTACAGCAGCTTAGATGTTGCGTACATCTGATGAATCAATTGACCTATAATTCACAAACAGTAATGTTTTAGTCTGAAAAGATGCTACCAAACTCCTTATGGTTTTGGACTGTCATAGATTAAAAATGGTTCAACTGTTACAAGACTCGCGCTGAAGTGAGAGCTTGACTTAGGCTGAGCATGGGCTCCATCCACGAATCCGAAAGCTCAGAAGACTAAACTTCCGATCTCCGTGATTGACCCAGATTGGATCCTACAACATTATCCTGGGATAGGTATATTCATTTGTGAAAAGAAATCTGAGGGGAGGTTAAAAAAAATGGAAAAATTTTCCTGAGGAGAAAGAGAAAGAAGAGGTGAAAGGAAAGGAGGACAGGGAGAAGAAAGGAAGGGAGGAATGGAAGAAGAGAGAGAGGGAGGGAGGGAGGGAAAGGAGGACAAGGAGAAGAAAGGCAGGGAGGAATGGAGGAAGAGAGAGAGGGAGGGAGGGAGGGAGGGAAAGGAATGGAGGAAGAGGAATGAAAGAAGAAAAGAAGGAGGGAAGATGAGGGGGAAGGGAAGAAGAAAGGAAGAGAAGGAGAAGTGGAAGGAAGGGAAAGGAAGGAAGGAAGGAGGAGAAAGAGAAAGAAAGGAGATAAAAGGAAAGATGGATCCGTAGCTGGCTGACCGGCCGTATTCAGCGTGTGGTCCTCAATGGAACCGCATCTACCTGGAGGGAAGTGTGTAGTGGGGTGCCCCAGGGCTCTGTTCTGGGCCCAAAGCTCTTCAACATCTTCATCAATGATTTGGATGAGGGGATAAATGGGGAACTCATCAAATTTGCAGACGACACCAACTGGCAGGAATAGCCAACACTCCAGAAGACAGGCTTAGGATACAGGAGGACCTGGACAGACTTGAACACTGGGCACTATCTAACAAAATGAAATTCAATGGTGAAAAAAATAAGGTTCTACATTTACGCAAGAAAAACCAAATGCACAGGTATAGTATAGGGGGTACCTTGCTCAATAGCAGTAACTGTGAGAGGGACCTCGGAGTCCTAGTGGACAATCACCTAATTATGAGCCAGCCGTGTGCTGCAGCTGCCAAAAAGGCCAACACAGTGCCGGGCTGCATTAACAGAGGGATAGAATCAAGATCACGTGAAGTGTTAATACCACTTTACAAGGCCTTGGTAAGGTCACACTTGGAATACTGCATCCAGTTTTGGTCACCGCAATGCAAAAAAGATGCTGAGACTCTAGAAAGAGTGCAGAGAAAAGCAACAAAGATAATCAGGGAACTGGAGGCTAAAACATATGAAGAACGGTTGCTGGAATTGGGTATGTCTAGTTTAATGAAGAAAAGGAACAGGGGGGATATGGTAGCAGTGTTCCAGTATCTCAGGGGCTGCCCCAAAGAAGAGGGAGTCAAGCTATTCTCCAAAGTGCCTGAAGGCAGGACAAGAAGCAACGGATGGAAACTCATCAAGGAGAGAAGCAATCTAGAACTAAGGAGAAACTTACCGACAGTTAGAACAATTAACCAGTGGAACAACCTGCCTCCAGAAGCAGTGAATGCTCCAACACTGGAAGTTTTTTAAGAAGAGACCGGACAGCCATATGTCTGAAATGGTATAGGGTTTCCTGCCTAAGTAGCGGGTTGGACTAGATGACCTCCAAGATCCCTTCCAACTTTATTATTATTATGAAGGAAGGATAAAGAAAAGGAAATAACATGAAAGGAAGAAGAAGGAAGGAAAAGGACAAAGAAAAAGGAGGTAACAGGAAAGGAGGAGGAAGGAACTGTCAGAAGTAAATCTTCATCCTGGTTCATCCAAGCCGGGAATAAATAAGCAACATGGCAACTGCTTTGGGAGGAAGGTTACAGTTTATTGAAGAAGCAGAAAGATGGTCCTTGCAAGAAAGAGCAGGGGAGAGAAAAGAGAGAGAGCACATGGGCAGTAGGGTTTTTTATACCCCCTCTAGCCTTGTTTGGAATAGTTTCCTGTTCCTGTGGCATGAACCTTGAGGCTATTTCTGAGTGTTTTTCTAGGCCCTGTTATCTTGTGGTTTAATCCTATTATCATATCCTGCTTCCCAGGTGATGGGGCTAATGACTCCTAGAGTTTGGGTGGGGCATGCAGATCTTCTCTTTTGTCTTCTTGATTGCTCTGGCTTCAACTCTGATGGTTTTACATCTGCATTTGTATGGGGCTAGCTCAGTGTTTCTCAACCTTGACAATTTTAAGGCATGTGGACTTCAACTCCCAGAATTCCACAGCCAGCAATGCTGGCTGTGGAATTCTGGGAGTTGAAGTCCACATGCCTTAAAATTGTCAAGGTTGAGAAACACTGGCTTGCTTGGGGCAGAGAGATAGATTTGGGGCCAGGTTTGGTTTTGAAAAGTCCTTTTGAGGAAAAATATATTTTTCTGCCCTTTTAATATTTCCTTCTCTGGGCTAACTTCCCTCAGAAGGAAGGAAGGAAGGAAGGAAGGAAGGAAGGAAGGAAGGAAGGAAAAAAGGAAAGGAGGAAGAAGGAAGGAAGGAAGGGAAGGAGGAGGACAAAGAGAAGGAAAGGAGATAAAAGGAAAGGAGGGGAAAGGAAGAAAGAAGGAGGTCAAAGAGAAGGAAGGAACGAGCAGGAGAAAGAACTGAAAGGAAGGGAGGGGGAGGAGGAGAAGAAAAAGAAAGGAAGTGGAGAGGAAAAAAAATCGCGAGCCTCCCTTCGCTTCCTCCTTCCGGCCTCAGAGCGGCCCCGCCCCCTCACGCAGCGCCGCCAGCCCACCCTCGCCCCGCCCACCCCCGCTGCCGCGCCTGCGCGAGTCCTCCCGGGCGTCCTTGCAGGAGCTGCTGCCGTCGGGGCTTCGCGGAGAGCGAGGGAGGGGGCTGCCGTCCGTCCGTCCGTCGGGAAGCGCCGCCATGCAGAGCTGGAGCCGGGTCTGCTGCGCCCTCGCCCAGGTACGGCCGAGGGGGCCGCGGGAGGAGACGCCGCGGGGCCGCAGCCTGCCTGCCAGGGCCGGGGGCTCGGCGGTCTCCGCCAAGCGGGAAGCCCGGCTGCGTCGGAGCCTGGAGGGCGGCCCAATCCGGGCTTGGCGGGTCGGCTGGGCAGGGGGCGCCTTGTGGACGGGGGGGGGAAGGGCGACACGTGTGTGCCATGCGCACGACCCAAGGCGGGGGCGGTCCCATCCTGGCCGCTTCAAAGAGGGGTGGGCTCCCAATGCAGCCGGCATGGCAGAAGAAGAAGAGAGCGGGAAGGGACCCTTGGAGGTCTTCTGTCCGACCCCCCTGCTCAAGCAGCAGGCCCTGTTCCACGCCATTCAAGAGGGCTGCCCAGCCTCCTCTTAAAACCCCGCTGGTTAATCCCATCAGTCAGAATAGAGCTGGAAGGGATCCTTGGAGGTCTTCTAGCCTGACCCCCTGCTCATACCATTTCAGACAAATGGGGGGAGGTCCTATCTCTCTCTCTTTTTTTTAGAAACCTTCAGGGATGGAGCATCCCTGGCTTTTGGAGGCATGCCATTCCTCTGATTAATGAATACAGAACAGAGCTGGAAGGGACCTTGCAGGTCATCTAGTCCAACCCCCTGCTCAGGCAGGGAACCCTGGACCATTTCAGACAAATGGTGGTCCAGGCTTTTCTTAAAAACCTCCCGTGTTGGAGCACCCACAGCTTCTGGTGGCAAGCCTTTCTTTTGATTAATGAATCAGTCAGAATAGAGCTGGAAGGAACCTTAGAGGTCTTCTAGTCCGACCCCCTGCTCAAACAGGAGAGCTTTTACCAGGGGTCTTCCCACTTGGCCCATTTAAGAGTTGTGTACTTCAACTCCCAGAATTCCTCAGCCAGGCACGCGGGCTGAGGAATTCTGGGAGTTGAAGTCAACAAGTCATAAAAAGGCCAAGTTTGAAGACCCCTCCCAGACTTCCTCAGCCAGGCACTCTAGCTGAGGAATTCTGGGAGTTGAAGTCCACAAGTCATAAAGGGGCCAAGTTTGAAGGTCCCTCCCAGAATTCCTCAGCCAGGCACGCTGGCTGAGGAATTCTGGGAGTTGAAGTCCACAAGTCATAAAAAGGCCAAGTTTGAAGGTCCGTCCCAGAATTCCTCAGCCAGGCACCCTGGCTGAGGAATTCTGGGAATTGAAGTCCACAAGTCATAAAAGGGCCAAGTTTGAAGGCCCCTGCCTTACACCATTCCCGACAAATGGTGGTCCTGTCTCTTTTTAGAAACCCTTAGTGAAGGCTTCTGAAGGCAAGCTGTTCCACTGGTTAATCAATCAATCGGTCAGGAGAGAACTGGAAGGGACGCCCTGCTCAAGCAGGTGACCCCACACCACTTCCCAGATTAAACGATTAGAATTGGATTATTCTGTAGTTTTCTGAAATGAAGGCTCTCTGGTGTGATCCGGAACACTACAGATCGTCCTCGACCTACAACAGTTCATTTAGCGACCGTTCAAAGTTACAAAGACACTGAAAAAAGTGACTTATGGCCCTTTTTCACACTTACGACCGTTACGGCATCCCCACGGTCACGTGGTCAAAATTCAGACGCTTGGCAACTGACTCATATTTATGACGGTCGCACCGCCCCCTGGGGTCACATGATCCCCTTTGGCGACCTTCTGACAAGCGAAGTCAACGGGGTGGGGGGGAAGGCAGACTCACTTAACAACCAGGTCACTAACTTAACTGCAGTGATTCACTTAAGAACTGTGGCAAGAAAGGCCGTAAAATGGGACAAAGCTCCAATTCTCACTTAGCAACAGAAATTTGGGAGCTGTGTGTGTGTGTGTGTGTGTCAATTGTGGTCATAGGTTGAGGACTACCTGTATTCTGTACTTTTCTGAATTTCATAATGTGATAAGAATAAGCTGGACCTGTATAAGAATCTGTCCTTTGCCTCTCTTGAGCTTTGAGATATGGACGTAATTTAAGCACAGTAGTGTATTTTTTTTTATATAGAACATTTTTCTGCTATATAAACAGATTTGAACGTGGCCTTGAGATTAATTGCAAGGACTAAATGTCAAGGTTTGTGAGGGAGTATTAGCTTATAAGCTTATTTGCACATAACAGACTTTGCTATTTGCAATCTGCAGGCTTCAAAATGGCTAATCACTTCAAAAGCACCTTCAGCTTTTATTTTATTTTTTTGCAAATCTTTATGATAGCAGAGTGTAATCCATGGAAATGCTATTTAAGATACAGAAAACAAAAGTAAGGATTTTGCACAGTTTATTGTATGGATATGGCATTCTTTCTGGGGGAATTTAGATGCCAAGGAAGACAAACATTGAAGATTTTTTAAAATTATAATAAACTTTATTACGGTCGTAGACTTTTTACAATATATTAATAATAATAAAAATAGTACTAACATTAATAGTAAGAAGATTTTTTTTCCTGTTTAGAACTGGCAAGGATAGAGAGGAAATGATAAACTGAAGCCGAAACGTAAGAATAAAGACATTTCATTCGATCAAAATGTTAGGCTGGACCATAATCGATATTTAGCATCTTTATAAAAGAACATAAACTGATTATTTCCTCTTCTTTTTCCCTCCCCTCAAATTAGAGAGGCCATTTTAGCCGGATCCAGCATGGATTACAAAGTATTTCAGCAGGGCCTGTAAGAACTTACGCCGATCAAGGTAAATATTGTATAGCTTTGAATAAGTAACATGGAAAAATGGGATATTTTTTTTCTTAATAGAATCCGCAGTTCCTTCCGGGATAGGGTTTAGCCGCATTACTGTTTATTTCTTTATTAAATTCTCACCTAGCTCTTTGAGTTCTACCAAACACCGGATCTGATATTTATGCATTTATACCACATAGTACAGGGGTAGGCAACCTTGGCTCTTTTATGACTTGGGGACTTCAATACCCAGAATTCCTGAACCAGCCATGCTGAACTCAGGAATTCTGGGAGTTGAAGTCCACAAGTCATAAAAGAGCCAAGGTTGCCTACCCCTGACATAGTGAAACACCTTAGCAAAGCCACCAGACCTTTGGAATTAGACTTGTTAATAATACAGTTGAAAATTTGCTATGCCTATTTATGTGTTTACTGTACACTGTATCTATGCACTAATAATGAACAATATATTCTGTGGCAATGAAGATACTTTTGTTTTGGTCAGGGGTAGGCAACCTTGGCTCTTTTATGACTCGTGGATTTCAACTCCCAGAATTCCCGAGCCAGCATGGCTCAGCTTGGAAACCTCTCCCTTTCCCCTCAGCGTGGCTGGCTCAGGAATTCTGGGAGTTGAAGTCCACGAGTCATAAAAGAGCCAAGGTTGCCTACCCCTGGCCTAGGCCTAGGCCGTTTTATGACTCGTGGACTTCAACTCCCAGAATCCCTGAGTCAGCCTGGCTCAGCTTGGAAACCTCTCCCTTTCCCCTCAGCGTGGCTGGCTGAGGAATTCTGGGAGTTGAAGTCCACAAGTCATAAAAGAGCCAAGGTTGCCCACCCCTGGTTTAGGTAGAGTTCTCTTTCCTGGCAATCTTTATAAACATGCACAGGTAGGCCTCAATTTACAACAATTCATTTAGTGACGGTTTCAAGTTACCACAGCACTGAAAAAATGAGTTATGACCGTTTTTCACACTTATGACTATTGCAGCCTCCCCATGATCACGTGATCAAAATTCGGACGCTTGGCAACTGACTCATATTTATGACGGTCGCAGTGTCAATGATTCACTTAATTTCGGTGGCAAGAAAGGTCATGAAATGGGGCAAAATTCACTGAACAGTTGTTTCACTTTGCAACAGAAAATTGTTGAAGCTCCATTGTGGCCGTGAATCGACTACCTGTCATTTAAATACTGTAAATTCTCTGTGATTCTTTTTTTAAAATGAAGTTTGTGTCTTTCTTTTTTTATATAATATTTTATTAATTTTCCAATTTTACATTTGAACATTTAAAAAGCAACATGGTGACTGAGTAAATCAATAGTTCAATAAGGTTACAACATCAAATATTTCTTCTCTGTTTCCCTTCATTTACTGTCTCATATTCAGGTTAGTACATTTCTAATTATATCAACTCAAAAAGAACATTATTACATTTATCCATAAATTTTTAGCTTATACATATCTTAATTACATTCAATCTTCATAAGCAATCCATATCCTATTGATTTTTACTCAATTTTTAACTTCTTATCAATATTCCAATGTAACGTTTAATATTTATAATTTTCAGACTTTGGGTAACCAAAATTTCCCTCATCTCACTTCATAACAAGCTATAATATCCAAAATACATATTTTATCTACTTGAATATCATCTTGTTCTATTTCCTAAGAGTTATCTATTTCCCACCATATTAAATCATCTACCTCATAACACAATATCCTCTTTAACAAATCAAAACCATTATATATATATTGCCTGGGTTAATCAATAAATCAAACACATTCATAATATTTAATTTTCTTTTCCCTTTTAAGTCTTAATTTTTAAAAATTACAAGTTTGTGTCTTTTTTTTTTTTTTTTGTCAGTCGATGCTGATGTGACCGTCATCGGATCTGGCCCCGGCGGCTATGTTGCTGCCATCAAAGCCGCTCAGCTTGGCTTTAAGGTGAGCAAACATGGTAAAATCACCCAGATCATGTAGCAATAATTTGGAAAAAATTTTGCCGAAGTTCTTACCGACAAGTCAAAGACATTCAGTGACATAGAAATGATGAGAAGTTTGAAATAGAAGCTCTGAGAATTAAGTAATGTCAGTTTACCCTCAGTGGGGTTTTGACTTCTGGTATAGAATGAATATGACTATGGTTTCCTTTACCCTTGACCATTAGGATAGGAGACCACCAGGAAATTCGAAGGCTGTAGACTAGAGTGGGAATCTGGAACAAGCATGCCAGAAGAAAAGGCAAGCCCGTTCTCTCACCTCCCAAAAAATGGCTTAGATAAATCAAACTGGAATCAAACTCAGCTTCATCGCTTATTTCCCTTTCTCTTTGAGAATTAATTCCCGAGTAGCCTCATGTCGAATTCTGCCACTTAGGCACAGTTTTCGTTACGTTGTACTGCATCTCGGAAGGAAAATTGACTTCTTTTATTTGTCAAATTTATTGGCCAGCCATCTTACTTACTACAGGGTTGATTTCTGGACAAATTTTAACAGGATTGTTGTCCTCAAAAGATGCATCCAGATGCTGGGTTTCTGTATGAAAAGTCTGTTCAAATTATGTTTGAAAGCAGAAGGAAGAGAGAGAAATGGGACAGGTTATTTTCTTTTTATAACCACCCTTGGTCCTTCGTCTGTTTTTAACTTCCTGTGGCTATTTTGCAAAAACCGCAGCACTTTTTCTAAGGCAGTGGTTCTCAACCTGTGGGTCGGGACCCCATTTGGGGTCGAATGACCATTTCACGGGGGTCGCCAAACCATTTTGGCGACCTCTTTTCTTTGGCCACGCCCCTGACACCCGATGATGTGTAAGTGGTTGGGGGTCACCACAACATGGGGAACTGTATTATGGGGTCGCGGCATTGGAAAGGTTGAGAACCACTGTTCTAAGGGGTCCCTCGTGATCTCTTAACTTGATTGTTTCTTGCAGACGTTTCATTACCAAACTAAGTAAGCTCATCAGTGCTAGAAGGGACTGTTTTTCTATTTGGAAAAAACGCTTCTAACCCCTCCTAAAAACCCGGGACTACCTTTTCTGCAGCAAAACTAAACAGTTATATAAAAAAAATAACTCTTGCTTTTAAATCTTAGACCGTCTGCGTGGAGAAAAATGAAACACTGGGTGGGACCTGTTTGAATGTTGGCTGCATACCTTCTAAGGTAAGTTCAGGATTTGTCTTTCCCATTAGATCGGAGGCAAATGTCGCTTCAAACTGGGTGTGATGACCCAGGGCACAGCACCGAGGCAATGCAGTCAGCTGGCAATTCAAACCGCCCTTTAATTGCTCCAAATTCTCCCCAAGTGCTCCCACATTTCTGGCAAGCCCCAGAATAAAGAAAGATAGACACACACACACCTCTGGCTGCAAGTATTAGGAGAGGAATTTACTCAAGGCCATGGAGATAAGAAAGAATGACACATACATCATAAACCTAGCGAATGCACACTTGCCTGAGCAGTTACAGAAAGCAATCCAAAATACAGTTTTCAGTTCTTCAAACTTCCAAGCAACGTTGTCAGCCAGTCCAATGGTCAGAGTTTCCGGGTTTCCAAGCAGAAGTCACAGAACAAGAAATCAACAACAACACACACACAAAACTCCAAGGAATCAGCGTTTGTTCCCGACAAATGCCTCTCCCCACAGCGTCTCCTTAAATCTCAGTCTCCAGGTGTGCCTGTGGAGAGGGGCGGGACGCTCTCATCCCGAGTAGTTGAGCCTGTCTGCGTTGTTCCCTCCTTCTCTCCACTCTCCGTGCTCTAGGATCAGGAGGGGTGGCCCTTGCTCATCGCCTGAACTCTGTCGCTCCTGTTCCTCCTGTCCCAATCGCTCCAGCGATGGAGCGTCCACGATCTCTGGTGGCAAGCTGTTCCACTGGTTGATTGTCCTCACTGTCAGGAACTTTCTCCTTAATTCCAGGTTGCTTCTCTCCTTGGCCAGTTTCCAACCATTGTTTCTCGTCCTTCCCTCTGGTGCTCTGGTGAACAACGTGACCCCCTTTTCTTGGCGGCAGCCCGTCAAATACCGGAATGCTGCTATCATGTCTCCCCTGTTTCTTCTTTTCATTAGACTAGACAAACTGAAGTCCCGCAGCCGTTCTTCGTATGTTTTAACCTCCAGGCCTTGGATCCTCTTAGTGCAGTGGTTCTCAACCTTTTTAATGCCGCGACCCCCAACCGGTCGTAAGTCGAGGATTACCCAACCGGTCAGAATGGGGCTTTTGGTGGGCTCAGCAGGGCAGAGACATCCTGGACAATTCCTGTTGGCTTTTGAAAGCCAATAGAATGAGACTCTATTCAAGAGAGTCTATTCTATTGGCTTTCAAAAGCCAATAGAATAAAAGGGAGTAGCACAGCTAAGGAAAAGGGGGAAAAATGGCGGACTGCGTTGTTTGGCGACCCCCGTGAAATGGTCGTTCGACCCCAAATGGGGTCCCGACCCACAGGCTGAGAACCACTGGCTTAGTGGAAAAGTAGTTATTTTAAATGCCCTTAATTTTTTTTTTTAAAACGCAGCATTTTCTGGGCAGATGGCGTGTTTAATTGAAATCTGCTTTACATCACAGGCCTTGTTAAACAATTCACACCTGTACCATTTGGCTCACGGGAAAGACTTCGCTAGCAGGGGAATTGAAAGTGAGTATGCCAGGCAGTGGACATCACCCCAGTTCTGCTAAATTTATTCTGTTTATTTATTTGTTGGTTTGCATCCCGTCTTTAGTACTTTGACGAAGAACCCAAGGCGACAGACGTACCCAACATAACCTCCCTCCCTCCTGTTTTCCCCACAACATCCCTGTGAGGTGGGCCAGTCGCTTTCTTTCAGCCCTGGGAAGGAGGCGGGGACCAACCACTTTGGAAAAACCTTAAAAGACTGCAGGGGCTCATTCAAGCAGTGGCCAGGAGTCAGCACTGATTGGAAGGCACAAACAAAAAAGAAAGCCTCCCATTGGGCAGATGGTGGTCTAGGGCCCTTGTGACAAGGAAGAGTCCATCTGAGCAGGATTGGGGGTGATTTCACTGACTTCCTTCCTGTCCCTTCCTTCCTTCCTTCCTCTCTCTCTCTCCTTCCTTCCTCTCCTTCCTTCCTTCCTATTTCTCCTCCCTCCCTCCCTTTCTTCTTTCCTGTCTCCTTCCTTCTTATCTCCTTTCTTCATTCCTATCTCTCCTTCCTTTTTCTCTCCCTCCCTCCTTCCCTTTTTACCTGTCTTGCCTTCCTTCCCTCCTTCCTTCCTTCCTTCCTTCCTTCCTTCCTTCCTTCCTTCCTTCCTTCCTTCCTTCCTTCCTTCCTATCTCTCCTCCCTCCTTTTCTTCTTTCCTGTCTCTCCTTCCTTCCTATCTCTCCTTCCTTTCTCTCTCCCTTCCTCCTTCCCTTTTTACCTATCTTGCCTGCCTTCCTTCCTTCCTTCCTTCCTTCCTTCCTTCCTTCCTTCCTTCCTTCCTTCCTTCCTTCCTTCCTTCCCTCCCTCCTTCCTTCCTTCCTATCTCTCCTCCTTCCCTCCCTTTCTTTCCTGTCTCTCTCTCCTTCCTTCCTTCCTATCTCTCCTTCCCTCGCTCCCTCTCTCCCTCCCTCCTTCCTTCCTTCCTATCTCTCCTCCCTCCCTTTCTTCTTTCCTGTCTCCTTCCTATCTCCGTCCTTCATTCCTATATCTCCTTCCTTTCTCCCTTCCTCCTTCCCTTTTTACCTCTTGCCTTCCTTCCTTCCTTCCTTCCTTCCTTCCTTCCTTCCTTCCTTCCTTCTTCCTTTCTCCCTTTCTTCTTTCCTGTCTCTCCTTCCTTCCTATCTCTCCTTCCTCTCTCTCTCCCTCCCTCCTTCCCCTTTTTTCCTGTCTCGCCTTCCTTCCTTCCTTCTTCCTTCCTCCCTTCCTATCTCTCATTCCCTCGCTCCCTCCTTTCTTCCTATCTCTCCTCCCTTTCTTCTTTCCTGTCTCCTTCCTTCCTATCTCCTTCCTTCCTATCTCTCCTTCCTTTCTCCCTCCCTCCTTCCCTTTTTACCTGTCTCACCTTCCTTCCTTCCTTCCTTCCTTCCTTCCTTCCTTCCTTCCTTCCTTCCTTCCTTCCTATCTCTCCTTCCTTCCTATCTCTCCTTCTTTCCTTCCTCCCTGCCTCCCTCCCTCCAGGCTAAGTTTGGATTGCAATGTTTAGTTGTTCTGTGAGTTTCCTTTAAAACTGGGGAATGCCTGAGATCACAAACTCCTCCGTAATTTGTGTTAAACAGTTACAGGTCTCCGGTTGAATTTGGAGAAAATGATGGAGCAGAAGAGCAGCGCAGTGAAGGCTTTAACAGGAGGAATCGCTCACCTGTTTAAACAAAATAAGGTGCGTTTTTTGACAAAAACACACCGGCTCTTGCTTGCGTTATCCCTAGCAAGTAGGCACTTTACACCACTTTACTCAGCTGGGGGAGGATAAATAATAAAAGGAAAAAAGGGAGATCCCTAGAAAATCTTTATTAACAGAAGAGCTTAGAAAAATGAAGACAGATCGCTTAAAAGTGCTTTTCTTTGATCTTTCCAAAAAAACCAAAATTAATCTTCCAGATCCCTCACTTGCAGGGAAAGCGTATAAATTCCATTGCTACAGATCAGGGATGGATTTGTTTTTCTTATATTAAATGATGAGCGCAAACAAATCGTCTGATTTATATCCTGATTTTCAAGAACCTATAGAAATGATCATATCTCAGATGGTCTCAACAGATTGGGATTTAGCCTAATCTGACTCCTCGAAAACAGTGGCATACCGGTAGTCCTTGACTTACAGCCATTCGTTTAGTGCCGGGGTCTTCAAACCTGGCCCTTTTATGACCCGTGGACTTCAACTCCCAGAATTCCTCAGCCAGCCTGGCTCAGCTTGGAAACCTCTCCCTTTCCCCTCAGCATGGCTGGCCCAGGAATTCTGGGAGTTGAAGTCCACGAGTCTTAAAGTTGCCAAGGTTGAGAAACCCTGATATAGGGCAGGGGTGGGGAATCTTGGCTCTTTTATGACTCATGGACTTCAACTCCCAGAATTCCTCAGCCAGATGGCTCAGCTTGGCAAACTCCCTTCCCCTCAGCGTGGCTGGCTGAGGAATTCTGGGAGTTGAAGTCAACAAGTCATAAAAGGGCCAAGTTTGAAGACCCCTGGTTTAGGGACTGTTTGAAGTTACAACGGCACTGACAAAAGTGACTTCTGACTGTTTTTCACACTTACGACCGTCGCAGCCTCCCCAAGATCATGTGGTCAAAATTCAGACACTTGGCAACTGGCATGTACATAGGACGGTCGCAGCGTCCCGGGGTCATGTGATCCCCTTTTGTGATCTTCTGACAAGCAAAGTCAATGGGGAAGCCAGATTCACTTAACAGCCGTGTTACTAACTTAACCGCTGCCGTGATTCACTCAACAACTGTGGCCAGAAAGGTCATAAAACGGGGCAAAACCTGCTTAGCGACTGTCTCGCTTAGCAGCAGAAATTTTGAGTTCAGTTCTGGTCCTAAGTCAAGGACTATGTGCTTATTCTTCTCTTGAGTGCCATTCTGCCATAATATATTTCAAATGTGTCTGAAATGGTATATGGTTTCCTGCCTGAGCAGGGGGTTGGACTAGATGACCTCCAAGCTCCCTTCCAACTTTTTAAATTATTATTATTATTATTATTATTATTATTATTATTATTATTATTAAATATTATTATGGTTATTGTAGTTATTGTTGTTGTTATTATTGTTGAGGATCATCGCACAGTCAGCCAGATGTTCAGACTGGATTTGACATTTTTGTCTACCTATCGAGTCTTTATCAAGGACCTGGGATAAGCAGATGTGGATTTGTTGTTTTTGTTGTTGTTGTTGTTGTTGTTGTTATTATTATTATATGGTTGGTTGCACAATCAGCCAAATATTCAGACTGGATTTGTCCTTTTTATCCACCCTATCAAGTCTTCCCCAAGGACCTGGGATAAGCAGATGTTGTAAAATAATATTAACAGATATTTTGCAGGGCTGAAGCTGTTCCAAGCAATGCTGCCCTTTGGCAGTTGGCTATTATTATTTAAACAACAATAATAATAGCCTTGGGCACTAGATAATGATTTCTTTGTTTTTTTAAAAAGGATGTTTTTTTTTCTCCTGTAAGGTGACACACGTGTCCGGCTTTGGAAAAATAACTGGCAAAAACCAGGTCACTGCAGCCAAAGACGACGGCAGTACTCAGGTTATTAATACGAAGAACATCCTTATAGCTACCGGTTCTGAAGTAACGCCTTTTCCAGGAATTACGGTACGGCTTGACTTTGAAGTTTATCTAGTCTAATATCTAGTTTATCTAGCGTAATTTTTTTTCTTAAACACTCTGTCTCTGTCTCTGTCTCTCTCTCTCTCTCTCTCTCTCTCTCTCTCTCTCTCTCTCTCTCTCAACTTATTTAGATTGATGAAGACACAGTCGTATCGTCCACTGGCGCGCTTTCTTTGAAACAAGTCCCTGAAAAAATGGTAGTCATTGGCGCAGGAGTCATTGGTGTAGAACTGGTAAGAAACAGACTTTTTAAAAAACCCTGGTTTTTTTGGAGTTAAAGTACTTTAAATTTTTTGGGGATGTATGTATAGTGGATTGATCATTTAATTTGTATGTTTTTTTTCTCTCTTTCTTTAACCCTGTATTCAGCTCTGGGAAGGAGGAGGGAGGGTTATGGGGTGGGAGGGGGGTATTTTATTGTAAAATGTTTATAAAAAATTTCAATAAAAAAAAACCCTGTTCTTCAATGTTTCTAGTTTATTTTATGATTTATTCATTTATGAGCTTTATATACCGCTTTAAGTGCAAGCACTCTCTAAGCGGTGTACACCAGTAAGCAATGTATGTATGTATATGTGTGTATATATATATATATATATATATATATATATATATATATATATATATTATATATATATATATATACACACATACATACATACATACATACACACACACATTGCCCCCAACAATCTGGGTCCTCATTTTACCTACCCCGGAAGGATGGAAGGCTGAGTCAACCTTGAGCCGGTGAGATTTGAACCGCTGACCTGCTGAACACAGTCAGCTAAAGTGGCCTGCAGTACTTGCACTCTAACTGCTGCGCCACCTTGGCTCTAGTGCGATGCAATGGTTATATAGTTGACGGGATGGCCCCACTATTACAGGGTAATACTGATTTTAAAATTGCAGCACTGTTTAGTAGCAGAGTTTGGGACTCAATTTAAAGTTATTACCCAACAAAGCCCTGTATGGCGTTGTGTCAAAATATTTCACTGCCTTGCCAAAAGTTGAAATATTTTGATACAACGCCATACAGGGCTTTGTTGGGTAATAACTTTAAATTGAGTCCCAAACTCTGCTAGTAAACAGTGCTGCAATTTTAAAATCGGTGTTACCCTGTAATAGTGGGGCCACCCCACCAACTATATAACATAAAAAGACCATGGATTTGAAGTTGGAAGAACCTTTTATTTCATGGTGGATGTTAGCTTGATTAGCGTGAAGTTCGTTCACTGTCTTTGGAAAGTTACTTTGCAAACTTGCTCGTCCCAGGGTTCCGTTTGGCAGCGTCTGGGCGCCGATGTGACAGCTGTGGAATTCCTGGGCCACGTTGGTGGATTGGGCATCGACATGGAGATATCCAAGAATTTCCAGCGCATTCTTCAGAAGCAAGGACTTAAATTTAAATTGAATACTAAAGTCACCGGTGCCACTAGGAAACCAGATGGAAAGATTGACGTTTCGTAAGTATTCAGGAGGTAAATAACTGAATTTTTAAGTACCCAAAGAATCAAAGAACATTCCCTCATTCCACGAGGCAAGGAAATTGGATCCTATTTTTTATTTATTGAATAAATAAAAGGACTTTAAAGGTCTTCAGAACAGGCATAGGAAGTAAATTAATAACTTGATTTATAGCAGTGTTTCTCAACCTTGACAATTTTAAGGCATGTGGACTTCAACTCCCAGAATTCCACAGCCAGCATTGCTGGCTGTGGAATTCTGGGAGTTGAAGTCCACATGCCTTAAAATTGTCAAGGTTGAGAAACACTAATTTATAGTATGTCTGCCCCACCACACAGCTTGCTCAGCATGTTTGGTTAGCCTTCGACCTATTATTCTTTTATATGGTATTGATAAAGATAGACTGTAAATAAATTTCTGTCTTGACTCTGATACCCTGCAGCTCCCTGTCTCCAGATTTTCAGGCAGCCCTTCCTCCCTGGCATTTCATAAAGCAGGGGGTCTTCAAACTCGGCCCTTTTATGACTTGTGGACTTCAACTTCCTCAGCACACTGGCTGAGGAATTCTGGGAGTTGACGTTCACAAGTCATAAAAGGGCCAAGTTTGAAGACCCCTGTCATAAAGGCTTTCTCACCAGACTTTTGCAATTGACTCGTGGCGAATTTGTCAATGCCGATGAGGGTGTCCAAGTGGTGCTCCAGTTGTTTTGGGATTGCACCCAAGGCGCCTATTGCTATTGGTACTACCCTTGCTTGCCTTTGCCACAGTCGTTCTATTTCTGTTTGTAGATCTTTGTGTTTTGTTATCTTCTCCAGTTCTTTCTCTTCTATTCTGCTGTCTCCAGGCACTGCCACGTCCACTATCCAGACTTTTTTGTCTTTCTTATCGACAATTGTTAAGTCTGGGGTGTTATGTTGCAGGTGCTTGTCTGTTTGAATTCTTCTTCTTCTTCTTCTTCTTCTTCTTCTTCTTCTTCTTCTTCTTCTTCTTCTTGTTAAGTCTGGGGTGTTATGTTGCAGGTGCTTGTCTGTTTGAATTCTTCTTCTTTTTCTTCTTTTCCTCCTCCTCCTCCTCCCTCCTCCTTCTTCTTCTCCTCCTTCCTTCCTTCCTTCCTTCCTTCCCTCCTCCTCTTTCTCCTCCTCCTCCTTCTTCTCCTCTTCCTCCCTCCCTTCCTTCCTTCCTCCTCCTCTTCCTCCTTCTCCTCCTCCTCTTCTTCTTCTTCTTCTTCTTCTTCTTCTTCTTCTTCTTCTTCTTCTTCTTCTTCTTCTTCTTCTTCTTCTTCTTCTTCTTCTTCTTCTCCTCCTCCTCTTTATTACTACTACTACCACTACTGCTACTATTATATACTACTACTACTCAGGCAAGAAAGGTCATAAAATGGGGCAAAGCAAATGTCTCACTTAGCAACAAACCTTGGGCTCAATTGTGGTCGTACGCCGAGGACTACTTGTGTTGACGTTTACCTTTTTCCTCAGAATCGAAGCCGCAGCCGGTGGCAAAGCCGAAGCGATCACCTGCGACGTCCTTCTGGTTTGTATCGGTCGACGCCCCTTCACCGACAACCTTGGTCTGGACAGTGTGGGGGTTGAACTAGATAACCGGGGCAGAGTCCCAATCAACAACAGATTCCAAACCAAAGTCCCCAAGTAAGTTGAAATGGTTAGAACTGCGGTCTCTTGTCTGCCTCTCGGAAACTCCCGAAACGAAATAAAGACCGATCGCTGCATGAAGTGTGATTCAACTTGCCATTTCACCAAACCAGTTATATAGTTCGGTCTCACCGGCGTTGTTCAAATCGGGAACGTATATCGTTAAAACAAAACATTTTGTCTAAAAGCCCTGGCTTTTATTATTATTATTATTATTTTTATTATTATTTTATTTTTATTTTTTTGTTAATTTGTTCTACAAAGGCCCTTTAAGGCCAGAGTGTCTAAAGGTTAACCCTGCTCCTTCCCTACCTAATAATTTATGTGGCTGACAAAGAGTTAAAAGGGAGACTAGTATAGCTATTTCAAGCTCTTTAGCTCGCTTTAGCTTGTAATAGCTATACTAGTCTCCCTTTCATTCTTTGTCCGCCACAACATTTACAGTGTTCACAGTGGTGACGTCTGCCTGCAAAAGATGTTCCTAGACTGGAGTGAAAGGCAGAACAGATTGCTTTATATTTGATAGAGCGGGTGTTCCACCCAACACATAGATAATAATTTATATATTTATTTGCATTCTGCCTTGACCGTTATTACACGTAACTCAAGGCAGCGAAGATGTCCAGCGCGCCTTCCTCCTCTTTATTTTCCCCACAGCAACGACCCTGTGAGGTGGGTTGGGATGAGAGAGAAGGCCTGGCCCAAAGTCACCCAGCTGGCTTTCATGCCCAAAGCAGGACTAGCACTTGCCGTCTCCTGGTGATTGGCCCAAAGTCATCCAGCTGGCTTGTGGCTAAGGTGGGATTAGAACCCTCTGTCTCCAGGTGATTGGCCCAAAGTCATCCAGCTGGCTTGTGGCTAAGGCGGGACTAGCACTTGCAGTCTCCTTGTAATTGGCCCAAAGCCATCCCACTTGCTTTCATGCCTAAGGCGGGACTAGAACTCACTGTCGCCTGGTGATTGGCCCAAAGTCATCTAGCTGGCTTGTGGCTAAGGCAGGACTAGCACTTGCAGTCTCCTTGTGATTGGCCCAAAGTCATCCCGCTGGCTTGTGGCTAAGGCGGGACTAGAACTCACTGTGTCCCGGTGATTGGCCCAAAGTCACCCAACCAGCTTTTGTGGCTCTGGGTGGGACTAGAACTCATCGCCTCCCGCTTTCTAGCCTGGTGCCTTAACCCCTACAACAAACTGTCTTTGTGACATTTCTCTACCCAGCCATGCATTGCTGTGGCTCAGTCGGGTTAAATGAAAAAGAAAGAAAAGAGAAAGCGCACGTTTCTAAGATGTTTAATTTCACAATGCTTGCGGGTATACAATATTTTTTGTTGTTCCATTGTCTGCGCAGATATAGAGATTGTCTGAAATCGTAGCGTGTGTTGCTTTTACGTCCAACAGATGGCGCTGTTTTTTTAAAAAAACCATGTTTTTACCTGTCACAGATGTGACATGTATATAATATAGGTATATAAAAACACGCGCGTATTCGAATGCAACGTTGTGTCAAAATTTCAAAGCAATCGGTGAAGACCTTTCGGAGATTTAAGATGTTGAACAAACGAACATTTACATTTTTATTTTTATATATATAGATAGATAGATGTATATGTTTTGTTTAACTTGGCAGCATTTATGCAATTGGCGACGTAGTGGCCGGACCAATGCTTGCTCACAAAGCCGAAGATGAAGGGATTTTGTGCGTCGAGGGCATCGCTGGAGGCGCAGTGCACATTGACTACAACTGTGTGCCCTCAGTCATTTACACACACCCCGAGGTGGCCTGGGTTGGCAAATCAGAAGAGCAGCTGAAAGAAGAGGTGATCCTGAGAATTTTTCCTGCGGTGGGGGGCGGCATTCATTTAAAAAGCAAAGAATAAGTGGGGATGTTAACACAGCTCTGGTTCACAATGGCCCATAGAGCAGGGCTCCTCCACCTTGGCAACTTGAAGACTCGTGGACTTCAACTCCCAGAATTCCTCAGCCAGCATGGCTCAGCTTGGAAACCTCTCCCTTTCCCCTCAGCACGGCTGGCTCAGGAATTCTGGGAGTTGAAGTCCACGAGTCATCAAAGAGCCAAGGTTGCCTAGCCCTGGTTTAGCCTAACAAAGAGAAGGCTTGAGTCTGACATGATAGCATCTTCCAATACTTCACACGGGGAAGAGGGACTCAATTTATTCTCCATAGCATCTGAAGGCAGGACAAGAAGCAATGGAGGCAAGCCCTTAAAGACAGATCTAACATGGAAATAAGAATTTCCTGACAGTGAGAATAATTATTTAGTGGAAAAACATGCCTCCTGAGCTTGTGGGTGTTCCATTACCATAGGTTTTCAAGAAAAGATTGGACAATTGGACAGTTGTATTGAATAGTATGGGGCAGGGGTCCCCAACCCAGGTCCATGGACCAATACTGGGCCACAGCATGCCAGCAACCGGTCCGCACAAACAAGCAAAGCCCCATCCATGGGAGGCAGGCAGCACACAAAACCATGCACCCTCCGGTCCACGGAAAACCCTTTTTCTACTGAACCGGTCCCTTGGTGCCCAAAAGGTTGGGGACCTCTGATCTAACACGTTGGACTTTTTTTTTTTTTTTTTGCTGTTATTATTATTATTTATTTAAAGGCTTAGCTGAGTTTGCCGTCACCTTTGAGGGTACGATCAGATCTTGTGAGTTGCTTCAAACCAGACAGTGGCTCCATCTGTTTGGTTTTACGAGCAAAGGATGACTTCCACGAATTTGAAAGTGTTTCTTTCTTTCCAGGGAACAGAATACAAGGTTGGTAAGTTCCCTTTTGCGGCTAACAGCAGAGCCAAGACCAACGCAGACACGGACGGTTTGGTGAAGATTTTAAGTCACAAAACGACAGACAGGCTGCTGGGAGCGCATATCTTGGGCGCTGTGAGTATGCCGAAAGAGACCTGTGTTGCAATGTTGCACAAGGCTGAGTTGCTTTACTTCTGATGCTTTATAGCAGGGGTCTTCAAACGTGGCCCTTTTATGACTTGTGGACTTCAGAATTCTGGGAGTTGAAGTCCACAAGTCATAAAAGGGCCACGTTTGAAGACCCCTGCTTAATAGAGTAGGATATAAATACCGATATATAAGCAGCCCCATGTCTACATCTAAGACTACTGTTATAAAGTTCTTTCTAGTCCATAAGCAGTTGTGTAGCTGTTGTGCATGTCCTTTTTTTCATGCTGCCGTTTTTATAAACCACCAATACACACAGCCGTTGTGTTTCCTGTTTTGAGTTACACTCTGGAGAGAGGGCGCGATGGCTTAGTGCAGTGGTTCTCAACCTGCAGGTCGGGACCCCATTTGGGGTCGAACGACCATTTCACGGGGGTCGCCAAACAACGCAGTCCGCCATTTTTTCCCCCTTTTCCTTAGCTGTGCTACTCCTTTTTATTCTGTTGGCTTTTGAAAGCCAATAGAATAGGCTCTCTTGAATAGAGTCTAATTCTATTGGCTTTCCAAAGCCAATAGGAATTGTCCAGGCTGTCTCTGCCCTGCTGAGCCCGCCAAAAGTCCCATTCTGCAAACGGTGCTGCACCAGTTGAGTAGTTCTTGACTTACGACCGGTTGGGAGTCGTGGCATTAAAAAGGTTGAGAACCACTGGCTTAGCGGTTAAAGAGGTTCCTATTGTCAGCTGGAAAGCTGCTAGCCTGGGTTCGAGACCCCAGCGCCACGCAATGGCGTGAGCTCCCGTTCCTTGCTCCAGCTCCTGCCACCTACCAGCTGGAAGGCATGCAAATGCGAGTCGATAAAATAGGTAGATAAACAGGGAACAGCGTTCCGTGTGCCTTTGGCATATAGCCCTACTGGACACATGACCACGGAAAATGTCTTTGGACAACGCTGGCTACCTCGGGCAAGAAACGGAGAGGGACACAACTGGACAGGGAAATCTTTTTATCTTTACCTCTTGGGAGGCCGTTCTCATCAATCACCGTGATCGTTCTTTCTCCAGGGTGCTGGTGAAATGGTTAACGAAGCTGCTCTGGCAATGGAGTATGGCGCATCCTGCGAGGACGTTGCCAGAGTTTGCCACGCCCATCCAGTAAGTTCCTGCGACTCGGATCAGTCACGTTTGGCCATACGGAGAGGTTTTATTGATTTCTATCCTGCCCTTAATTATTTTTTTACAAATAACTTGAAAGGTGGCGAACACGTCCAGCACATCTTCCTCCTCCTATTTGTTCCATAACGACAGCCCTTTGAGGTGAGCTGGACTGGGAGAAAGAGTGACTTGCCCAAAGTCACTTAGCTAGCTTTCATGCCTAAGGCGGGACTAGAACTCACCGTCTCCCTGTGATTGGCCCAAAGTCACCCAGCCGGCTTTCACACCTAAGGCAGGACTAGAACTGGTGATTGGGCCAAAGTCACCCAGCTGGCTTTCACGCCTAAGGTAGGGCTAGAACTCACCATGATAACGGTATTCCAATATTTGAGGGGTTGCCACAAAGAAGAGGGGGTCAAACTATTCTTCAAAGCCCCAGAGGGCAGGACGAGAAACAATGATTGGAAACTGACTAAAGAGAGAAGCAACCTGGAATTAAGGAGAAACTTCCTGACAGTGAGGACAATTAACCAGTGGACCAGCTTTTGCCTCCAGAAATCGTGGGCACTCCATCACTGGAGATTTTAAAGAAGAGACTAGACAGTCAGTTATCTGTATAGTATAGGTTCTCCTGCTTGAGTAGGGGGCTGGACTAGAAGACCTCCAAGGTCCCTTCCAGCCCTATTTTATTTTATCTCCTGGGTGATTGGCCCAAGGTCACCCAGCCGGCTTTTGTGGCTAAGGCGGGACCAGAACTCGCAGCCTCTTGTTTTCTAGCCTTGTGCCTTAACCACTAGACCACACTGCTGGCTCTCTGTGAAAGTCCTTCATAAAGAACCTATTCATAATTGCTGAAGGTTCCCCATCGTTGCATCGTTTTCCTACCTTACCTTCTGCCCCATTCATTTCTCCTATTTTTCCGTGTCTTCCACAGACCGTATCTGAAGCTTTCAGAGAAGCAAACCTGGCGGCGTCATTTGGGAAGGCGATCAACTTCTAACACGAAAGGGCGTCCATTGCGCGAAAAGCACATTTTCCTGTGAAACGACTGAAGACTTGGTAGAAAAAAACCCGGGTCTTTGCAATACTCCTGGGCCTTAATTAAGTGAACTTTTATCTGTCCTCCTCCCCCCCCCCCAAAAAAAACCTTAAGATATTTAAACAGATAGGGGTTTGGAATTAATGAACCAACAGCTGTATCTTATATTATCAATACTATATTTGCGTTATTGATTGTACATCCTTAAGTTTCACTGAAGATAAAACAGCAGTAGGATCAGCTTCTAGTTGGAGAGATCGTAAAGGTCCCATTATGCATTTCGTTCAAATAGTGTCTAATGTTACGCCATGTTGTTGCTTTGTCATTGCTGGGGCGCATCCGATTATTTAAAATAAGCCATGGTCACAGTCATATATATATATATGGTCATATGTTAAGTATTTTTTCCAGTGAAACCGGTCTATTAGAGCACCTGGTCTATTTGCTAATATTTTTGCCTTTCAGCCCCACCATCAAACGTGGGAGCTTTTCCAGGCTACTACGATAAATTATTTCTGTGTTAAATTTAGATTTATAACAAAGAATTGAAGGGAGACTAGTATAGCTATTTTGAGCTATTTAGCTCTCATCAGCTAGCCATACCCTTATGAGATTCAAACCTGGGCTGCTTGCACGTTAGGCAGCCTAGAGGTTAATATAGCTGCCTAAAGTGCAAGCAGCCCGAGTTCGAATCTCAGAAGGGTATGGCTGGGCTGCTTGCACGTTAGGCAGCCTAGAGGTTAATACAGCTGCCTAACGTGCAAGCAGCCCGGGTTCGAATTTCAGAAGGGTATGGCTGGCTGATGAGAGCTAAATAGTTCAAAATAGCTATACTACTGTCCCTTTAATTCTTTGTCGGCCAAATCTAAATTTAACACAGGTATGGTCATATATACATATGAATGAATGAAATTTGATTCATTTTATCTTTGATCACAATGTAAAGGGACTTTTAAAGAGTAATGGACCTGTTCTGAAATTACTCACAAAATAATCGATACACATCTATGCTTGATCATATTTCTTTTGGGGGGGGGGTGAAGCTTCTTGGTTTCCGAATTTTAAAACTGTATCTTGAGAGTAAAAAAAAAAAATACAGAGGGATAAACTTAAATTATGTTGACTACATAATGCAAACTGTTTTTGTGGTTTTATTATTCCCTGGGTAGTGGATGGTCTGCGATAGCTTTTTTTCCCCCTTCCTAACGATAAAGTACTCTAGTAAGATGGCTAAAGATAACAGAATAACAGACTTGGAAAGGACCTTGGGAGGTCTTCTAGTCCAACCCCGTTTGGTTACTCAAAACTGCCCCCGCTTCGTTTTTCAACAAAACCTTAATTTTGAAACCGAAATGCACCAGAGTGAGATGTATTTGTTTGGTTCTCGTATAAACAAGGAATCTTTCAGAATTCTGGGTTCATGTTGGCCACGGTAAAAAAAAAAGTAATCTTTTCAGTATTTTTAAAAAAAAAACCATAAAAATACCATATGGACAATACACCTCTTTTTGAATGTAAAGCATAAATCAATATATTTAAGAATAACGACTATACTTTTAAAACATTTTGAGGGTTTATAAAATCAATCGCGGATGGATAGACGTAATCTAAAGTTTTAGATTGGAGTTTGTTCACCAGCCTAATAAATTTATGTTGATGCACTCCCCTTGTGATATTCTCTCCCAAAAGTTTGCTTCCAGTTTTAGACTAGAGTTCGTTCCCCAACCCATTGAATTTACATTGACCCATTTCCCCATGCGATATTGCTTCCCAAAAGCTCACCCTCCTGCTCGCTCACTTTTATTCACATGCTGAATTGCCACTGTTTTTCTAGTGCTGGCTGGGACTAGACCAGGGGTAAGCAACCCAAAACACTCAAAGAGCCACTTGGGCCCGTTTCCCACCGAAAACAAAACATCGGGAGCCGCAAAACCCTTTTGATATCTAAAATAAAGATAACACTGCATATATCCTTTTTTACCTTTATTATTCATTTTAGATATCAAAAGGGTCTCTCTCTCTCTCCCTCCCTCTCTCTCCCTCCCTCTCTCTTTCTGCCCTTGGTCTGCCAGTCCTCTTCCCTCACTTTTTCTTTCTCTCTCTTTCCTCTCCCTCTCTCCCTCCCTCTCTCTGATCTTCTGCTCACCTGGCAAGCTGGCTTCAAGCTGTTCTCCAACAAGTTCAGGGGTAGGCAACCTCGGCTCTTTTATGACTCATGGACTTCAATTCCCAGAATTCTTGAGTCAGCATAGCTGGGCTACCTAGCTCTCTCCTGCCCTTCCTGCTTCCTGCAGAGATGCAGCAAAGGGAGGAGCCCTGCCCAAAAAGCTTTTCAGCTTGTTGGAGAACAGCGTGAGTTCACTCTCTTTTACACACACAAACACATACAGAAAGAGAGAGAGAGAGAGAGAGAGAGAGAGAGAGAGAGAGAGAGAGAGAGAGAGAGAGAGAGAGAGAGAGAGTGCAAGTGCCTCTCTCTGTCTCCGTCTCTCTCTGCAAATGGCAGAGGAGGCTGGGAGCCATGGGGGAAGGCTCAAAGAGCCGCATATGGCTCTGGAGCTAGAGGTTGCCGACCTGTGGACTAGACTCAAGACTGAAGTTCCTCTTTCAAATTCTTTCCTGGCACACCGTGTGGCTAGCAAACTCCCAGCCAATTAACCAAGGTAACCACCTTCAAGCACAATAGATTTAGCTCTGCAAAGTTAACCGCGCCTTGTAAAAAGGTGTGTTTCTCTTTGGCCCGGTCAGAAACACTCAACTTCCCTCTTTTCAAAGAGTTTTGACACGAGACTGTTCGGTTTTATGTGCTGGATTGTTTATCGGCAGACTGGGCATGCTTGAAGTCAAAATTAAGTGGTTAAAAACCCCCACGTTTGATGGTAGGATTTTATTAGCAGAATTCAAAAGGGTTAATTACTATTTCGGATAATAAAAAAAAGTAATTAACATTGGAATGAGGCTAACTAGGGTTAAATGAGGCATATGCTTGGTTACAAAGTAGCATTTTATTTTACAAAACAAGAAAAATGTTGGTCAGATCACGACAGGTTCCAGTATCGGGTTAAGACCTGTCATCCAATGAAATGTATTTTGATTTTCTTTTTCCCTTCTCTGTTCCCTTTTCCAGTTTCTAGCAGGTGCTGTAAATGGCGACTTTTTGACTAATGGCTTGCAAGAGGCCTCGGACGGTCTCCTCCAGTTCCATTACTTGTTTAGCTTTCTCTTCCAGGATTTTCTGATTTTTTTCATACGTGTCTTCCAGTTCTGCAATGAGAAGAGAAGGCAGAGCGTTTTTAGCAGCAACACACGTGGGGATACTTTGAGAAAGTCACTCAGACTGCAGTAGCAACAGCACTTAAGACCAGTGGTGGCGAACCTATGGCACGGGCCAGAGCCCTCTCTGTGGGCACACGTGCCCTCGCCCCAATCCTAGGCCTTCAGCTGGGTTTTATAAAACCTTTTCACTTTAGGCCTCCGCCGCCGTGTGCAAAAAAAAAAAAGGTTCAATCAATCAGTCAATTTCAACTTCTCACGAGGAAAAAAAAAGATCTTGCAAAGTTGGAATTGATTGATTGAACTTTTTAGTCCCACCCAGTCTCCGTTACCACCACAGCCACGCCTACCCAATGGGCCACATCCAGCCACTGGGCCACACCCACCCGGCACCCGACGATGCATAAGTGGGTTTTGGGTTACAGTTTGAGCACTCGGTCTCTAAAAGGTTCGCCATCATTGACTTAGACTTACAGATTGCTTCACAGCCCTTTCTAAGCAGCTTACAGAGTCAGCACATTGACCCCCGACAACCTTGAGTCCTCATTTTACCCACCTCGGAAGAATGAAAGGCTGAGTCAACCTGAAAGCTGGATAGGATCGAACACCTGGCAGTTAGCAGAGTCATCCTGCAATACTGCATTCTAACCACTTGAGCCGCCAGGCTTAGATAGCAAATAACACTCAGACTTATATATCGCTTCACAGGGCTTTACAGCCCTCTCTAAGCGGTTTACAGAGTCAGCGTGTTGCCCCCAACAATCTGGGTCCTCGTTTTACCGTCCTTGGAAGGATGGAAGGCTGATTCAACCTTGAGCCGGTCGGGATCGAACTCCAGGCGGTGGGCAGAGTTTGCCTGCAATACTGCATTCTAACCACTGCGCCTCCACGGCTTAGATACCTATAGCAATAGCACTTAAGACTTATATACCGCTTCATAGTGTTTTGCAGCCCTCTCTGAGCGGTTTACAGAGTCGGCCTTTTGCCTTCCAAACAATCTGGGTCCTCATTTTACCGACCTCGGAAGGATGGAAGGCTGAGTCAACCTTGAGCCGGTCAGGATCGAACTCCAGACTGTGGGCAGAGTCAGCCTGCAATGCTGCATTCTGACCACTGCGTTACCCCCAGTTCTTTCAAAGCCTGCAAACCAAAATCTTTTCTCCCGGTGCTCTCTGGCTTCATTAAAGAGAAAAAAAAGCCCAGCTTTTTTGATGGTGGATGTTTTACGTCTCTAAAAAGGCCAGTGGATACAAAGGAGGACTCTCCTATAATTGAGAACAGTCTTTTTTTCTTTTTTCTTTTAAAAGAGAAACTGGCAACACCTTCCCACACAGTGCATACCTCTGAGAAGCTGCAGTTTGCTGTTTGCTTGCTCTAGCAAAATTTTGGCTTCGTTTTGCAGCTCCTCTGCTTTCTTCCTCGCATTTGCAGACTCCCCTGTTTTCTTGGCAATTAAGTTTTCTACCGTTTTGTATTTCTCATTCACACTGTCATCTAGTATCTAGAGAGAGAGAGAGAGACGTGCAAAGCAATAATATTCCCCCAAAACGACTTCAGGTATTCCGGCTTTTTGCTAAAACGTTCTTGCCTTTAATACAGACAGTCCTTGACTTAACGATAGATAGGTTGCTTAATGAGCATTCAAAGAACTTTTAAAAAGCGACTTAAGACCTGTCCTCAAAAGTTACTACTGCCTCCTTCTCCCTGGGGTCTCTCATGATTGCCTTTCTGAGACATGGCAGCTGACTTGCATGTACAGCCGGTTGCAGCATCCCATGTTCACATGACACAATTTGTGATTGTTTTTGCAGGTTTCCAGCAAAAAAAACCAACACCCATTCGGAAGAATGGATTTGCTTTACGACTGCAGTGACTCACTTTATCACCATCCATTCCATCTATTTCTATTCTATTCTATTCTATTCTACTCTAATATTCTATTCTATTCTCTTTCATTCTATTCTATTCTATTTTCTATTCTACTCCTATTCTATTCCTATTCTATTCTATTCTACTCTACTCTAATCTATTCTCTTTCATTCTATTCTATTCTATTTTCTATTCTATTCCTATTCTATTCTATTCTACTCTACTCTAATATTCTATTCCATTCTCTTTCATTCTATTCTATTTTCTATTCTACTCTACTTCTGTTCTGTTCTATTCTATGCTACTCTATTCTACTCCACTTTAATATTCTATTCTATTCTAATATTCTATTCTATTCCTATTCTATTCTATTCTAATATTCTATTCTATTCTCTTTCATTCTATTCTATTTTTTATTCTACTCTACTTCTGTTCTATTATTCTATTCTATTCTATTCTATTCTAAATATTCTATTCTAATCTATTTCATATTCCATTCCATTTTCTGTTCTTTCTTATTCTATTCTATTTTCTATTCTAATCTACTCTATTCTTTCTTATTCTATTTTCTACTCTATTCTTATTTCTATTCCATTCCATTCCTATTCCCTGTTGGCTTCAGTTCTATTCCCTATTCGATTCTATTCACTCCATTCCATTTTTTGTAAAATTTATTGGCTGCCCATCTTGCCACGGGATAACTCTGGGCAGTTTTGCTATTGATTTGAGAAGAGCCTGGCTAATTCTGCTAGTTTCCTTCTTATGAACTGTTGACTTTGCCTCGCAGGCGTCCGTGGGATTGCGCTGGCCTCGTCAAGACGACAGAAGCAGCATTGTCTACTATCGCACCACAAAGCCCACTCCTTTGGTAATGGCATGTCACCTCACACACCACACACACACACACACACACACACACACACACACACACACACACGGCTGGGGGCTTGTTTTGTGGTGCCACAATGCTGCTTTCGTCATTCGGCCTCTCAGCCAGCGCTGCCTGGCCTTATTCAAACCCGCTGCATGAAAACTTTGAACTCGGAACAGCTTTCCGTGGGACGAGCGCTGTCTTCAGAAGAACTTAATAGCACCCCAGGATGTTCCCGTCGGAAAGCACGGCCAGATTTCAGTGCTTACTTTTTGAACGTCTGCTGTGGTTCGATTAACCACCGCGATGTTTTCTTCCGCGGCTTTTATATCCTCTGCATTGGTGGCTGCCTTCTCTCTAAGCATTTCCACGTTCTTCTCCAGTTCTGCCATGCGCAAGGTCGCGTTCCCCAAACGGTCTTCCACGGAGCCAGTTTCGGAGGCAATCTAGCACAGAACGGATGGACGAAGAGGAAAAAAAACACGCGTGGAATTCCTTCCCCAAATGCTGTGTTTTTTTAAGATTAGGGCAGTCGGTTTCCCAGAAATATAACTTCCACCTACATTTTGATACACCTTTTCTCCTTTTTTTGCTTGCTTATGTGCCATTCAGACAGCAAGTCGACGCAACAGACCTTATATTTTAGGAGTTGAGGTCACGCTCACCCAAAGATCAAGATAATAGCAACGGAAGTTTGATTCTAGTCCAACTTCACTGGGCTTTTTTTTTGTGTTAACTTGTTCCAGGTTGTGACTAGATTTGTTCCAATATCTAAAGGGCTGCCACAAAGCAGAAGGAGGTCAAGCTATTCTCCAAAGCACTTGAAGGCAGGACAAGACGCAACGGATGGAAACTCATCAAGGAGAGAAGCAACCTAGAACTAAGAAGGAATTTCCTGACAGTGAGGACAATTAACCAATGGAACAACCTGCCTCCAGAAGCAGTAAATGCTCCAACACTGGAGGTTTTTAAGAAGAGACTGGACAGCCATTTGTCTGAAATGGTATAGGGTTTCCTGCCTGAGCAGGGGGTTGGACTAGATGACCTCCAAGGTCCCTCCTAACCCCCTGCTTTAGCCAGAACTGGGACTTTTGCTTGATGAAACCAACCTATGTTGAAATTAGCTCATCATAATATGGAGTGCAGACCTCAAACCCATTTTGCAAAAGGGAAAAAGTAACCTCCAATCCACAGTGAAGTTTTGCTATAATGAGAGTCCTCAACCTGTTGTACTTACAGAACCACCTGTCTTATTTAGGTCTCAAAAATGTATTAAAAGCAGGGCTTGTGCACAAGATGGGAAGCAAGCACAAGGAAATAACATGAACTGTGCCTTTTTCCCTGTCACCTTGGTAATACCGATGTCTTTAAACTATTTCCAAATTAGAAGATGTAAACAAGAATTGTATTTGCCCAACATTGGAAAAATGAAAACTTAGCAGCTGAAGAAGTACTAATTAAGAAAATTCTAGAGTGGGCAGAAATGGATAGATGGACTTTAAAGGTAAAAGAGAAAGAAGACTCAACTGTACTTTAGAACATGGGATAAGTTCTATCAGTGGCTAAAAAGATGAATTAGAGAGAAAGGAATGTGATATGTAATTTTTGAATATATATTAGCAAGAAGAAGGCTACTGAGTGATTAATGAACATATCGTTTATGATAATTAACTATTATCTATTATTGTTTGTTAAACACATGAACCCAGACATTATGCTGTTTGCTAAATATTGAGAAGGTTATTTGGAAAAACCCTAATTCTAACCCTAACCCAAATCCTAACCTCAATTCCCACCTTATTCCTAACCCTATAAAAACTAATAAAATCTATACAAATAAAAGAAAGAAAATCTAAACTTACAGAGGCAAGCAAGCCTTGCGTTCCTTCAATATCTTTCTCTGCCAGTTTGATGGCATCTCCAGCTGTTGTTTGGGCTCTGCCAGCTTCTTCTAGTGCCTCTCTGACCATATCCGCCGTGACTTTCACATCCGTCGCGCTTTTGCTGATTAATGGACATTAACAACGTTAAGACTCTTTTAAAACAAGGATTGGTTCCTAGTTCAGAGAACAAGTCTCCATTTCAATTTTTTGGGGGGCGGGGTAGAAGTTTTATTGTTTTTTTGCAATAACAATTAGTGCCTGGTGTACAGCGTGTTGTCTTGGTTCATAATTCTTTTAGGAAAAAATACACAATAATAATAATAATTAATTTTTATATTTTCATAGTATATCAATTGTAAATACATCTCTTCACCCAATAGTATTCTCCGTCTATAACATTAAACAAATATCATTTCGAGTACCATATATTCTGGCGTATAAGGCGACCCGGCGTATAAGATGACCTCCGTCTTCGGCGCCGAGTCACATGCCTAGAAAGTCGTCTTATACGCCGGAAACTACCGTAATTTCCGGCGTATAAGACAACTTGGCGTATAAGACGACCCCCGACTTCGGCGCCGATTTTAACACATGCGAAAGTCGTCTTATATGCCGGAAAATACGGTATTTAAAATTTCCCATAATTAAATGAGTAAATAAAAACATTTTCTTCTATATTTATACCAACAATAGTAGCGTCCACATGTATGGCATTTTTTATCAGCTTATGTTATTTTTGTAAGAGTCTTATTAATTCACCATGTATCTTATTTTCATAAATCTTGTTGAAGCTCAATTTCTCCATCATACTCAAACAATTCTTGTCAATCATATTTTCCCAGTATTTAACATCTAAGTATCCAAATTTTCCATTTAAATATATCATCCCAGTATTTTCATATTTCATATATTATAAAGGTACTCTACTGCTTATCTATCCATAACATCTATCCATAACATCTTTCTAGTCAAATTATATTTCACTTCTATTTGTAGAAATTAATTAAATCACTATATATCCTTTTTTTTTTCAGAATTCTTACTGAACCTAATTTCCCCTCAGTATTTCAGTCTTTCCAAGTCTCCATTTCAATTTGCTCTTTGTATTTATTTTCTAGCAATCTTTCACGGTCAGCTGAAATGCTGAGAGAGTGGAATCCTCAAATCTTTTTGAAGAAAATTTGCCCGTAGGGATTCAAACATCCCCATTCACATTCTTAGTCAGTCTTTCAAGGGTTTCCCTTTAGCAGCAGCAGTGAGGACACAAATAGAAACATACAGGCAGTCCTCGACTTACAATGATTCATTTAGTGACCGAAGTCACGACGGCACTGAAAAAAGGGATTTATGACCGTTTCCCACACTAATGACCTTTGTAGCATCATCACGGTCTCGTGATCAAAAGTCAAAGGTTTGGCAACTGACTCGTACTTATGACAGTTGCAGTGTCCCAGGTCATGTGATCCCCTTTGGCGACGTTCTGAGGAGAAAAGTCAATGGGGGAAGCCAGACTCACTTCACAAACGTGTTACTAACTTCACAAGTTGTAAAACAGAGCAAAACTCACTTAACAAATGTCTCGCTTAGCAACAGAAATGTTGGGCTCACGGTCGTAAGTCAAGGAAGACCTGTGCTGCAAATAGTTGGGTATCTTTAAGAATTCCAGTCAGACTTATTAAGTGAATAGGTGGGTCTTTCTCCTTGAAGAAGCCCCGAAGGTTGATCCACCTTGTCTCCTCCAGGGAGATCTGCCTCTTCCAGGTTTAATTACACCCGTGAAAGAACAATCTTAGATTTCCGCAACTGTCTACTACAGGAAACAAACAAACAAACAAACTAGGCGTCTTATTCATACCTGGCTTTCTTAGCTTCGTCTAACAACGCCTTCGCCCTTGCGATATCTCCAGCGCTCTGCTGAAGGACGGTCTCCACATCAGACAGGCTTTCCACACGGTCGCGAATGCTGTCTGCCAGGGTTTGCAGCTGTTCAGGTGTGCTGGGCATCTCCAGGTTGAGAACTTCATTAGCGACGGCTTCGATGCTATCAAGATCAGCACCCTCTTCTGTTAGGACGAGGAGCAGAAAGCCGTGAGTGACCCAACGGAAGAGGGCAGTGGTGGAATTCAAACACCTGAACAACTGGTTTTCTTATTGGATGCGGGCCTGGGCCTCTGAGGCCTGGAACAGACTTCTGGAAGTGGCATCCATGCACTTCCGGTGGGCCGTTCTACACCTCCTCCAGGCCTCCGAGGCCTAGAACAGACTCCCGGAAGTGACATCCACACACTTCCGTTGGGCCGTTCTAGGCCTCCTCCAGGCATCTGAGGCCTAGAGCAGACTCCCGGAAGTGGCATCCATGCACTTCCGGTGGGCCGTTCTACACCTCCTCCATTCCACCGAGGCCTAGAACGGACTTCTGGAAGTGGCATCCATGCACTTCCGGTGGGCTGTTCTAGGCCTCCTCCAGGCATCTGAGGCCTAGAGCAGACTCCCGGAAGTGGCATCCATGCACTTCCGGTGGGCCGTTCTACACCTCCTCCATTCCACCGAGGCCTAGAACGGACTTCTGGAAGTGGCATCCACACACTTCCGGTGGGCCGTTCTAGGCCTCCTCCAGGCATCTGAGGCCTAGAACGGACTTCTGGAAGTGGCATCCACACACTTCCTGTGGGCCGTTCTAGGCATGGGAGGCCTCCTCCAGGACTTCAAGGCCTAGACTGAACTTCTGGAAGGCAGTTGGGTCTCCGAATGCAGCAAAATGTAGCCACCGGTTCTGCCAAACCGGTGCGAGCTGGCTGAATCCCACCATTGGAAGATGGACATCTTAAGTTTTCATACTGAAATGTCAAGTTGCTGATGGAACCTCCTGTACTAGAAGTAGAAACTGAACAGCACCAGTTTAAAGAGAAAAAAAAATCATTCTTTTTAGAGGTTTTTTTTTTTTAGAGCAAGGGATTGGACTAGAAGACTAGTTATTTTGTTAGCGCCGAAGACCCCAACCGTCATAAACATGAGTCAATTGCCAAGCGTCTGGATTTTGATCTTATGACTACGGGGATGCTGCCAACGGTCGTAACTGGGAAAAACGGTCGTAAGTCGCTTTTTTCAGTGGCGTTACAACTTTGAATGGTCACTATATGAACTGTTGTAAGTCAAGGACGACCTTTAATGTCATATTTAGAAGAAAAGCACATCCCCCGGGGGCAGGGGTAAGTAAAAGCCACATCAAAAATAATAAGTGCCCGACTTTTAGTTAATGATGGAAAATAATGGTCATTTATTCAGTGAGCAAACAGGTGCTTCTTATGCAGTTTCCATATTCAAGATGGAAAAAAGCTTCCTGAAATGGTGGACATACCTGCCAACCAATCACCTGACCTGGTGCTAGAAAGTTACCTGTCTCCATGCATCCAATCTCCGATTAATTGTTTATAGGGATACGATCCATAATTTGCAACAAATACCGGTGCAAATCTTACACAGAGGGTCAGCAAACCAGAATTTTTCAAGGGCTGAGTAAATACAGGTAGTCCTCCACTTACAACAGTTTGCTTAGTGACTGTTCGAAGTTACAACAGCTCTAGAAAAAAGCAACTTAGGAACATTTTTCAGACTTAGCGACCGTTGCAGGCATCCCCACGGTCACGTGATCAAAATTCAGAGGCTTGGCAAAGGGTTTATATTTATGACGGTCGCAGCGTCCCGAGGATCACGCGATCCCCTTTTTTGACCCTCTTGACAAGCCAAGCCAACGGGGAAAGCCACATTCACTCAACAACCGGATTACTATCTTAACAACTGCAGCGGTTCACTTAACAACCGGGGGAAGAAAGGCCATAAAACGGGGCCAAACTCACTTAACAAATGTTTCACTTGGCAACCTAAATGTTGGGTGGCCGTAAGTGCAAAAAGGGATCCGCTGTCCAGAGAGGTGCGTGTCAGTCAGTCAACTGACGCCGTCTTAAAATAATACTTACTCGTTAAAAACATTCTGATCTGCTGAATAAGTTTTCTGAGATCCTCGTTGCTCCTGTCTACCTGTTGCTTGGTGGCATTGGTCTTCAGCAAGACGTCTTGGGCGTTCTGCCTGGCTTCATCGGCTCTTTCTTTGGCTTCCGAAACCTACGTGAAGTAAGCGGTCCTGTGTTTACAACGGCTAGCAAATTCCGTTTCTCGTTGAAAAGGAATACTGACGGAGACCTTAACTGATCCTGAAGCTCTGAGCGTGATTTTTAAGGATCCTCTGGACCAGGGGTAGGCAACCTTGGCTCTTTTAGGACTTGTGGACGTCAACTCCCAGAATTCTGAGCCAGCCACGCTAAGGGGAAAGGGAGCTGAGCCATGCTGGCTGAGGAATTCTGGGAGTTGAAGTCCACGAGTCATAAAAGAACCAAGGTTGCCTACCTCTGGCCTAGGCCTAGGCTGCTTTATGATTGGTGGACGTCAACTCCCAGAATTCCTGAGCCAGCATGGCTCAAACAGCCAGGGTTGCCTACCTCTGGCCTAGGCCTAGGCCCCTTCATGACTCATGGACTTCAACTCCCAGAATTCCTGAGCCGGCATGGCTCAGCTTGGAAACCTCTCCCTTTTCCCTCAGTGTGGCTGGCTGAGGAATTCTGGGAGTTGAAGTCCACGAGTCATAAATGAGCCAACGTTGGACGATTCTCAACAAAACAACATTGAGACTCCAAAGAAAGTGCGGAGAAGAACAATAAAGATGATCAGGGGACAGGAGGATATGATCCACGGTGGAGGAACTGGGTATGTCTAGTCCAGGGGTGGGGAACCTTGGCTCTTTTATGACTTGTGGACTTCAACTCCCAGAATTCCTGAGTCAGCATGCCTGGTTCAGGAATTCTGGGTATTGAAGTACATGAGTCATAAAAGAGCCAAGGTTGCCCACCCCTAGTCTAGTCTAAGGAAGAGAAGGACTAAGGGTAACAGGAGTCTTCCAATATTTGGGGGGCTCTCACAGAGGAGAGGGCCAGCTTATTCTCCAAAGCACCTGTGGGTAGGACAAGAAATAACGGGTGGGAGAACATGAAAGAGAGAACCAACCTAGAACTTTCTAACTTAGCAGAAATGGCTAAAATTTCTGCTTATTTAAAGGATCATACACAAGAAAGATATATTATGGTATGGAGAAGATGGATAGATTATATTAAGATTAAATATGGAACTGAAAAGTTCCACTTTTTTATGATTAAATAATAAGTATTATTAATAATATTTAAATTAATTTTTTTATTATCTAACAATTGATTATAAACTGATTTGCTTATGATATGTTATTAAGGTTTAAAGAGAGTTAAGGTTTAAGTATGATTTTAATTGTTGTATAAATGGTTAAACTTGTTTAGCTTATGATTAATATATTTGTTAACTTAATTAGATTATGTTTGATATGTTTGAAATACCCTGAATTTGGCTCTGGGAAGTCGGGGGTTGGGGGGGGAGGGCAAATGGGTTTATTTTGTAACTTTCAATAAAACTTTTTAAATAAAAAAAAATAACAGGTGGGAGAACATGAAAGAGAGAACCAACCTAGAACTAAGGAGAAATTTCCGGACAGTGAGAACAATTAACCAGCGGAACGACTTGCCCTCATCACTGGAGGTTTTAAAGAAAAATTAGAGAGCTATTTGTCCAGAATGGTATAGGATCTCCTTCTTGAGCACTTATGGGAACCCATCATGTAGAACAGTGGTTCTCAACCTGTGGGTCGGGACCCCATTTGGGGTCAAACGACCATTTCACGGGGGTCGCCAAACCATGCTGTCCGCCATTTTTTTCCCTTTTCCCTAGCTGTCCTACTCCCTCTTATTGGTGGCCACACCCACTTGGCCACGCCCCTGGGGGTCACCACAACATGGGGAACTGTATTATGGGGTCACGGCGTTAGAAAGGTTGAGAACCACTGATGTAGAACGTTAAAGCATGCTCGTTCGTGCCCTGACTGGCCCGCACACCTACTTCCTAGTGGTTATTTAAGCTATCTTAAATAATCACCTATATGGCTGTGAAAGTTGGACCATAAGAAAGGCTGAGCGCCAAAGAATTGAGGCCTTTGAACTCTGGTGCTGAAGAAGACTCCTGCAAGTCCCCTGGACTGCAAGGCGATCAAACCGGTCAGTCCTAGAGGAGATCAACCCCGACTGCTCTTTAGAAGGCCAGATCCTGAAGTTGAAACTCAAGTCCTTTGGCCACCTACTGAGAAGGAAGGACTCACTGGAGAAGAGCCTGATGCTGGGAAAGATGGAGGGCAAGAGAAGAAGGGGACGACAGAGAATGAGGTGGCTGGAGGGAGTCCCTGAAGCAGTAGGTGTGAACTTAAATGGACTCCAGAAGATGGTAGAGGACAGGAAGACCTGGAGGAACATTGTCCATGGGGTCACGATGGGTCGGACACGACTTCGCAATTAACAACAACAAAATAATCACCATTTTGGAGAGCTGCTCCACCTCCGCCAGAGCACTCAAGATGTCTCGATCGAAATCGATGGCTTTCTGCCAGGCGGTGTGGGCCACCGTCACCAGGCCTTCGCACCCGGGCCCTCCGCAATGCTTCGTCCCATCTTCAGTGTGGCAACTCAACCCGCCACAGGGGGAATCGACACAGGAAGCCCCCGGAGGAGTCCCGCACACCTGCAGCGGATAGGAGGGAAATGTCAAAGGTTAACGCTTCCCAAACAGCCAAGAACCAACTCCGTAAAGCGCTTGAGGTAGTCCTCAGCTTATGACAGTTCATTTAGTGACCATTCGGAGCTGCAACAGCGCTGGAAAAAAAGGAACTAATGACCCTTTTTTTGACACTGAAGGACCCGTTGCACGTGATCAAAATTCGGACGCTTGGCAACCCGACTCGTATTTGCGATGGTCGCAGCGTCCCGGGCGCGTCACGGGATCCCATTTTGCGACCTTCTGACAATCAAAGTCAACGGGGGAAGCCCAATTCACTTAACAACCGCGTCACTAACTTATCAACTGCAGTGATTCACTTAACCACTGAGGGAAGAAAAGTCCTAAAATGGGGCCGAACCCTCTTAACAAATGTCTCGTTTAGCGACAGGAGTTTCGGGCTCAATTCCTAGTGGTTATTTAAGCTATCTTCTTAGGTTGAGGACTACCTGCATTTTACTCCCCGGGGCATTTAATGTTTATTTGAAACAGGAGAAATAAGAGAGGAAAAGAGTCGTTCGATTTGATTCCTGGTTCTCAACAAAATTAAGCGAGACTGCGAGCGCTTTGACGTCGTGTCTGGATAGAGCAGTGTTTCTCAACCTTTTTAATGCCGCGACCCCCAACCGGTCGTAAGTCGAGGACTACTCAACCGGTCGTAAGTCGAGGACTACTCAATTGGTGCAGCACTGTTTGCAGAGTGGGACTTTTGGCGGGCTCAGCAGGGTAGAGACAACCTGGACAATTCCTATTGGCTTTTATTTATTTATTTATTTATGAGACTTATATACCGCTTTAAGTGCAAGCACTCTCTAAGTAGTGTACACCAGTAAGCAATGTATATATATATTTACATTGCCCCCAACAATCTGGGTCCTCATTTTACCTACCCCGGAAGGATGGAAGGCTGAGTCAACCTTGAGCCGGTGAGATTTGAACCGCTGACCTGCTGAACACAGTCAGCTAAAGTGGCCTGCAGTACTGCACTCTAACTGCTGCACCGAATTAGACTCTATTCAAGAGAGTCTATTCTATTGGCTTTCAAAAGCCAATAGAATAAAAGGGAGTAGCACAGCTAAGGAAAAGGGGGAAAAATGGCGGACTGCGTTGTTTGGCGACCCCCGTGAAATGGTCGTTCGACCCCAAATGGGGTCCCGACCCACAGGTTGAGAACCGCTGGGATAGAGGTAACACACGAATGCTCCTCTGAAACTAGACCAAACATTGTCTTAAGTCGGGCTTCGCAAATCACAGCCTTTTTCTCTGTTCTTTTAGTAGGAAGTTACCTAAATATACCCCCCTTTTTAAAAAAAAAAATACAAAAAAATTCCTCTCTCTCCAAATTAGAGGATTCGGCCAGATGGTTTTAGAGTGGGTTACCAATTAAAGCAAGAAGGAGCTGTATGGGGAGAAATTAGCAATTGTCAGTAAGCGCTTAAGAGGCGACAATCTCAAAAGCCTACAGTGGGTTTTAATTCTCCTAAACTCCTACGACGCACGTTTTCCCTTGCCAGCCCAAAGCCTCTTCGTTTCCATTTTCCACGGCATTTTAACCCGTCCCCTTTTCAAAACCACGCTTACATCCTGACGTGACTTTGGCGTTTGAGCTTGTTTTTTATTATTCTGTGGCTCGCTTTCTGCTTCTTTGCATTTTTTATTTTTTATGCTTTGTTTTTATCTTGGGCGGTTGGAAGCTCAGTCTGGAGATGTTCCCTGATAAAGACCAGAGAAAATGCAGACATAAATAAATAATCCTGGGTGGGCCCTTCAACTGAATTTTCCTGCTTTCTGACACAAGGTGGGTGGTAATTGGAAATAAGGATTTTTTTCCCCGCTAAAATGTTGCGCCCCTGGAATGTATTTTGGCAACAGGAGATCATCTTTGTCTGATCAGGTTTGTCAATGTAATCCTACGATTTCATGTAGGCTGGTTGGTTCAGTTCCTGCCTTTGCTTGTCAATACTTACTTATTTTTTTACCTTTCGAAAGAAAGATTCTTTGCTATTTTCCAAAGCCCCTGAAGGCAGGACAAGAAGCAACGGGTGGAAACTAATCAAGGAGAGAAGCAACCTAGAACTAAGGAGAAACTTCCTGACAGTTAGAACAATTAATCAGTGGAACAACCTGCCTCCAGAAGCGGTGAATGCTGCAACACTGGAAGTTTTTAAGAAGAGACTGGACAGCCATTTGTCCGAAATGGTGTAGGGTTTCCTGCCTGAGCAGGGGGTTGGACTAGATGACCTCCAAGGTCCCTTCCAATTTTACTACTATTACTATTACTGTTAAAATTAGGAGGGATTCTGAAAGCTCTCGGATCGATAAGCCGAGTCCTCGGATTACAACCACAACGGACCTCAAGGTTTCGGCTGCTAAGCGAGACATTCGTGGAGTGAGCTTTGCCCTCTTTTCAACCTATTTTGCCACAGTTGTTAAATGAATCACTGCAGGTGTGAAATCAGTAACCCGGCTGTTAAGTGCACCTGGCTTTGCCCGTTTACTTTGTTGGTCAGAAGGTCACAAAAATTGATCACATGACGGCGGGACATGGCAACCGTCATAAATAGGAGTCGGTTGCCAAGCGGTTGGATTTTGATCACGTGACCATGAGGATGCTCTAATCCAGGGGTAGGCAACCTTGGCTCTTTTATGACTCGTGGACTTCAACTCCCAGAATTCCTGAGTCAGCCTGGCTCAGCTTGGAAACCTCTCCCTTTCCCCTCAGCGTGGCTGGCTCAGGAATTCTGGGAGTTGAAGTCCATGAGACATAAAAGAGCCAGGGTTGCCTATCCCTGGCCTAGACCTAGGCTGTTTTCTGACTCATGAACTTCAACTCCCAGAATTCCTGAGCCAGCCTGGCTCAGCTTGGAAACCTCTCCCTTTCCCCTCAGCGTGGCTGGCTCAGGGATTCTGGGAGTTGAAGTCCACCAGTCATAAAAGAGCCAAGGTTCCCCACCCCTGCCCTATATCAGGGGTCCTCAACCTTGGCAACTTTAAGACCCGGAGGACCCAGATAAGCCTCCAAGTGGCCTGAACAGCTCTCTAAAAAAATGCAAATGACCAGCTGTCTGCAAGGAGTATAAATCCTTCCATTCCCGGCCATCCAGTCAGAGCTGAAGAAGCTTCTGGGATGAGAAGCGAAACGTCTTCAAAACAAAAAACAAGGAAATTCAGTTGCCTTTTGAAAAAGCATCCTTGGGACCACCAGGACTTGGATAGACTGAGAATCTCCACAGACATCCCATCTAACACGCAACGGTTGTTTCTTTGTTCCTGACATCCCTGTTCATTTCCACCCCTTCCCAAACTCTTCGCACCTTCTCCGAGCTCAGGTATGGCCATCACAGGGGTGCCTACCTTCTCCGACACTTCAGCCAAGTCCAGACTTTGCAGCTTGCCTGCTAGCTCATCCAAGAGGCGGGACTGCTCTTCCTGAGTAGACTTGAACATGGCCTCGGTATCGTTAATCAGGCTCTCCACTTCCAGGCGCATTTCGGCGGACTGCTCAACAAGGCTTCCGGGAAGCAAAACGGAGGCATTGGCTCTCTTTTCTGCATCCAGCGACATCTGGAAATATTTGGTGATGCTGTCCAGGGCGCCTGAAACCATCAGAGGGTGGGACAGGTTGAGCACCTGTGTCCGTCGGGCCTTTACGGCGGTAACACAGGTAGCCCTCCACTTACAACCTCAAAGGAGCCCACAAAGGAGCGAGACAGTTATTACAGTGAGTTTCGCTCCGTTTTACGACCTTTCCCGGCACGGCTGCGAAGTCAGTCACTGCAGTTGTTAAATTAGTGACACGGTTTTTAAGTGTAGTGTATCTGGCTTCCCTGTTGACTTCGCTTGTCGGAAGGTTGCAGAAGGGGATCGCGTGACCCAAGACATGACAACTGTCATTTAATAGTAGTAGTAATAATAATAATAATAATAATAATAGTGATGATGATGTTGGCGGCCTTACTAGGAACTGCTTCCATCCTGCGACGATATCTGTAATACCATCAAACATCCACATCCGCCTATCCCAGGTCCTGGGTAAGGACTCGATAGGTAGACAAAATGCCAAATCCAGTCTGAACATCTGGCTAACTGTGCGATGATCCACAATAATAATGTTGGAAGGGACCTTGGAGGTCATCTAGTCTAACCCCATGCTCAAGCAGGAAACCCTATACCATTTCAGAAAAATGGCTGTCCAGTCCCTTCTTAAAAACTTCCAGTGTTGGAGCATCCACTGCTTCTGGAGGCAGGTTGTTCCGCTGGTTAATTGTTCTCACTGTCAGGAAGTTTCTCCTTAGTTCTAGGTTGCTTCTCTCCTTGATTAGTTTCCATCCGTTGCTTCTTCTCCTGCCTTTATCCACTTTGGAGAATAGCTTGACTCCCTCTTCTTTGGGGCAGCCCCTGAGATACTGGAACACTGCTATCATGTCCCCCCTTGTCCTTCTCTTCGTTAAACAGGTAGGTCTTCGACACAGGACCACAATTGACCCCAAAACTTATGTCGCTAAGAGAGAAATTTGCTAAGTGCAGTTTTACCCCATTTTACGACGTTGCTTACCCCAATTGTAAAGTGAGTCACTGCAGATTTAAAATAGCATCACGGTTGTTAAGTGAATCTGGCTCCCCCCCCCCCGTGACTTTGTTTGTCAGAAGGTTTTTAAGAAGAGACTGGACAGCCATTTGTCTGAAATGGTATAGGGTTTCCTGCCTGAGCAGGGGGTTGGACTAGATGACCTCCAAGATCCCTTCCAACATTATTATTATTATTATTATTGTTATTATTATTGTTGTTGTTGTCACAAAAGGGGATCAGATGACCCCAGGACACTGCAAAACCGTCATAAATGTGAGTCAGTTGTCAAGCATCCAAATGTTGATCATATGACCAACGGTCACAAGTGTGAAAACCGGTCGCCAGTCATTTCTTCGGTGCCGTTATAACTTTGAATGGTCACTAAGTGAGTGATTGTAAGTGGAGGACTCCTTGTAGTTTAGAGAAGCGGTCTATGAAATTAAATGCACGACGCGGCCGTGATTAAGCACGGCCCATGAAGCCCAGTTAAGTTTGTTTGACAGACATCCAGGTGACTTTCATCCATTTAAAACAGTGGTTCTCAACCTTTTTAATGCCGCGACCCCCCAACCGGTCGTAAATCGAGGACCACTCCACCGGTCGTAAGTCGAGGACTACTCAGCAGAATGGGACTTTTGGCGGGCTCAGCAGGGCAGAGACAGCCTGGACAATTCCTATTGGCTTTGGAAAGCCAATAGAATTAGACTCTATTCAAGAGAGTCTATTCTATTGGCTTTCAAAAGCCAATAGAATAAAAGGGAGTAGCACAGCTAAGGAAAAGGGGGGGAAAATGGCAGACTGCGTTGTTTGGCGACCCCCGTGAAATGGTCGTTCGACCCCAAATGGGGTCCCGACCCACACGTTGAGAACCACTGGTTTAAAATATGTTCACCCCTTCCCAAGCCCAGATCCTGCCTAAAAAAACCTTTAGTTCGGGTCAGATTCTATGAAATGTTCATGAAATAGATCCGCTGAGGCTCCCTCCCACCGTTTCCTTTCTGAGCCAAAGCCAGATTTAACCCGGCCAAAAATTCCTCAAGGTTCTCAAATACAAACCTCGGACATCGGAGATCTTTATGAACTCCAGCTGTTCGGCAAGTTCCTTCACAGCATTGTGCAAACTCTTCGCATCTGCCTCTAAAGCCCGCAGTTCAGCCTCCACGGCGCTGCTGTCGTTTGCCACGGCAGACAGCTTTTCTTCGACGTCCGTTATCTTTTTGGCCACATCTGTTTTCAGCTTCCTGTGAACCCCCCAAAAAACCCCGCCATTAATGCGACGCGACGCAAACCCGGGGTTGCCGCGAATCTAAAGACATATTTCAAACGATTTCCTTTCTCCCCTGTTTAGGGTAGATTGCAGGACATCCTCAACGTACGATCACCACTGAGCTCAGATTTTCTGTTGCTAGCTGAGACAGTGGCTCAGGTGATTTTTTTTTCCACCCCGTTTTATGACCTCGCTCGCCACAGCTGCGAAGTCAGAGGTCCCCAACCCCCGGTCCAGCAACCGGCCCGCACAAACGAGCAAAGCCCCACCTTGTGGGAAGCAGGCAGCACGCAAAACCTCGCACTTTCCGGTCCGTGGGAAAACCTCTCTTCACGGACACGGTGAGGTCCCTGGACACGGCGACCGTCACAAATATGAGTAATCTGAATATAAATCACGTGACCATGGGGATGCTGCAAATGGTCATAAGACCGAGAAACGGTCCTAAGTCACCTTTTTGTTTAGCACCCTTGTAACTTTGAACGATCACTAAATCAACTGCGGTTTAGTCGAGGACTATCTGTGTTTTGTGGTGACGGTCTTTCCTCATAGATGGAATGGGTGTATTTGGGGTTGTCTGCTTTGCATTATCATGGCTTCGGGAACACATAAAAGCTTGGGAAAACAGCATACTTCGGCATTCCATAAGGCTGCCATAATGTGCTTGAATATTGCCAATGACGGATGCTACGTTGGCTCATGGGCCCGTCCCTAATTTGTTTAATGCCCCAGATAATAAACCATCTGTGTGAAGAACTTTTTGCATAAGCCGTAAGACATGAGCCGTGTTCTGTGAAGGGAAATGTTGCACAATGCAGTCTTTTAAAGTCTCCAGAAAGTACGTGAGGACAGAAATGTTTAGAGAAATGGCTGGGAAGCAAATTTACTCCAAGTTGGCAGGTTTAACTCCGCTTCCCAGCTGGGCCTGCTCTTCTCCTACACTGACAGATTCATCGGTCTGGCCATTTTGCTTTCCCAGTTGAAAAGAGGAACAAGAACAAGAACAAAAACTAGTACAGGACAGAATAGGGAAGGGAAGGGAAGGGAAGAGAAGAGAGTGGAATGGAATGGAATATAGAATATAGAATATAAAATAGAATAGAATAGAATAGAATAGAAATACAGAACAGAACAGTAGAATAGAATATATAGATTAAAATAGAATAGAATAGAAAAACAGAATAGAATAGAATAGAATAGAAATACAGAATAGAATAGAATAGAATATATAGAATAGAAATACAGAATAGAATAGAATATATAGCATAGAATAGAATAGAATAAAAATAAAGAATAGAATAGAATAGAATATATAGAATAGAATATATAGAATAGAAATACAGAACAGAACAGTAGAATAGAATATATAGATTAAAATAGAATAGAAATACAGAATAGAATAGAATATATAGAATAGAATAGAAATACAGAATAGAATAGAATATATAGAATAGAATAGAAATACAGAATAGAATAGAATATATAGAATAGAATAGAATAGAAATAAAGAATAGAATAGAATAGAATATATAGAATAGAATATATAGAATAGAAATACAGAACAGAACAGTAGAATAGAATATATAGATTAAAATAGAATAGAAATACAGAATAGAATAGAATAGAATATATAGAATAGAATAGAATAGAAATACAGAATAGAATAGAATATATAGAATAGAATAGAAATACAGAATAGAATAGAATAGAATAGAATAGAATAGCATAGAACAGCATAGCTTTATTGGCCAAGTGTGATCAGACACACAAGGAATTATACAGAATCGGGAAGAACACCTGTTTGCTAATTCTTAGGTACCATCATTTACATTCAAATTCACAAGAAACAGTCTTTGCCGCTATGTTTCCACCTTTGCTTCCTTTCTTTCTCCCCAAGTTCTCGTTAAAAATCGTTCAACCAAAAGACACTCCGTCCTCCACGGTCAGGCTAATGGCAGGCAATGTTCTTTTATGCCATACACCATACTTACTCTAGCACGGATGATGTCACCTGCTTTGGTAGTGAAACGTCTGCAGGAAAACAACCTTTGCACAGGTTCGCCTAGTGCACCAGTTGCGGCCTTATTTGGACCGGGAGGCTTTACTCACAGTCACTCATGCCCTTGTCACCTCAAGACTGGATTACTGTAACGCGCTCTACATGGGGCTACCCTTGAAGGGCGTTCGGAGGCTGCAGTTGGTTCAGAACGCAGCCGCGAGAGCGATTGTGGGCGCGCCAAGGTACGCCCACGTGTCACCTATCCTCCGCGAGCTGCACTGGCTTCCTGTGGGTCTCCGGATGCAATTCAAGGTGTTGGTTATCACCTTCAAAGCCCTTCATGGCATAGGGCCAGGTTACTTACAGGACCGCATACTGCCGCACAGTTCCCAGAGACCGGTGAGGTCCCAGAGATTGGGCCTCCTTCAGGTCCTGTCGGCCAGACAATGTCAGCTGGTGGGCCCCCGGGAGAAGGGCCTTTTCTGTGGTGGCTCCGACCTGGTGGAATCAACTTCCCCCCGAGGTTCGAACTACTCCCACCCTGCCGGCCTTTAAGAAAGCCGTTAAAACTCTCCTGTTCCGGCAGGCCTGGGGATGATGTCCCCGGGGGGCCGGGATATGATCGGACTCGCGGTATGACTGGATTATTTTATTGTTTTATGACTGTTTTAACTTTGTACGCCGCCCTGAGTCCTTTGGGATTGGGCGGCATATAAATATTTGTAAATAAAATAAATAAATAAACCCAGCTCAGAGAGCCCCAAAGTGCCGTCACGTCAACCCTGCAGCTACAAATATTCTCCTTTTTTCCTACTTACTCTGCTTCCTCCAAGAGGTCGCCGATGTTCTGAAGAGGCTCGGTAGCCGGATTTTGAGCAATGATGCTTTGGATCTCGTTCAGCTTTTCCTGCACCGAGTGGAGGGTCTCTTGGTAAGGGCCGCTCACCCCTGCGATCTTCAGCGCTTTGGCTCTTTCCAGGAATCTCTGGGTCTTGTTGGCCAACTCACTGACGATGATATCCCAGAGAGCAAAGCATTGGTGACAAGGAGCACAGTCTGGAAACGTTCCGGCATAGCCCCGGGTGCATTTATCACAACGGGATCCTTCCACGCCTTCCTTACAGATACACTGGCCACTGGACCGGTTACACTGAAGAGTCTGGATGCCTCGTGAATCACACTCACAAGCTGAACGAGGGAGAAACAAAAAAAAAAAAAATTAACACTAAAAAACCCGGACTGTGGAAACCACGACGGTCAACCCAACGGCTCTTCTTCTGGGTTCTGCCACTCCTTCCTGTACATCTCAGGGGCTGCCCCAAAGAAGAGGCAGTCAAGCTATTCTCCAAAGCGCCGGAAGGCAGGACAAGAAGCAACGGATGGAAACTAATCCAGGAGAGAAGCAACCTAGAACTAAGGAGAAACTTCCTGACAGTGAGAACAATTAACCGGTGGAACAACCTGCCTCCAGAAGCGGTGAATGCTCCAACACTGGAAGCATTTTAAGAAGAGACTGGACAGCCATTTGTCCGAAATGGTGTAGGGTTTCCTGCCTGAGCAGGGGTTGGACTAGATGACCTCCAAGGTCCCTTCCAACTTTACTATTATTTATTATTATGGATCATCGCACAGTCAGCCAGATGTTCAGACTGGATTTGGCATTTTGTCTACCTATCGAGTCCTTACCCAGGACCTGGGATAGGCAGATGTGGATGTTTGATGGTATTACAGATATCGTCGCAGGATGGAAGCAGTTCCTAGTAAGGCCGCCTTTTGCAATTGACTAATAGCGAATTTGTCAATGCCAATGGTGTTCAAGTGGTGCTCCAGTTGTTTTGGGATTGCACCCAAGGAGCCTATTACTATTGGTACTACCCTTGCTTGCCTTTGCCACAGTCTTTCTATTTGTATTTGTAGGTCTTTGTATTTTGTTATCTTCTCCAGTTCTTTCTCTTCTATTCTGCTGTCTCCAGGCACTGCCACGTCCACTATCCAGACTTTTTTGTCTTTCTTATCAACAATTGTTAAGTCTGGGGTGTTATGTTGCAGGTGCTATTATTATTATTATTATCATTATGGATCATCGCACAGTCAGCCAGACGTTCAGACTGGATTTGGCATTTTGTCTACCTATCGAGTCCTTACCCAGGACCTGGGATAGGCAGATGTGTATGTTTGATGTTATTACAGATATCGTCACAGGATGGAAGCAGTTCCTAATAAGGCCGCCTTTTGCAATTGACTAATAGCGAATTTGTCAATGCCAATGGTGTTCAAGTGGTGCTCCAGTTGTTTTGGGATTGCACCCAAAGAGCCTATTACTATTGGTACTACCCTTGCTTGCTTTTGCCACAGTCTTTCTATTTCTATTTGTAGGTCTTTGTATTTTGTTATCTTCTCCAGTTCTTTCTCTTCTATTCTGCTGTCTCCAGGCACTGCCACGTCCACTATCCAGACTTTTTTGTCTTTCTTATCAACAATTGTTAAGTCTGGGGTGTTATGTTGCAGGTGCTTGTCTGTTTGAATTCTGAAGTCCCAGAGCAGTTTAATTTTATCATTTTCTATGATTTTCTCTATTTTATGATCCCACCAGTTTTTGCTTACAGGCAAATGATTATCATTATTATTATTATTATTATACCTATAGAACCGATTTGCCCTGGAGATTTGGATGGCCTTGATCCTTCCAGAGGTCCTGGCTTTTCTCCATATCAATGTAGTTCTGGTATAGGGGGAGGGTCTGTTTTTTAAACTGATTTGGATAATGCACTAACTAAGTTTTTAATCTTTGCTCGCTGCCCAAAAGTTCTACTGGGGAGATGGATGGGCAAAGAAACTTGTTTAATAGATAAATAAAATGCTAAACATTTTAGCATTATTTTTTTTTTAGCATTTTACCTTTATTTAGTAATAGTAATAGTAGTAAAGTTGGAAGGGACCTTGGAGGTCATCTAGTCCAACCCCCTGCTCAGGCAGGAAACCCTACACCATTTCAGACAATGGCTGTCCAGTCTCTTCTTAAAAACTTCCAGTGTTGGAGCATTTACTGCTTCTGGAGGCAGGTGGTTCCACTGGTTAATTGTTCTCACTGTCAGGAAGTTTCTCCTTAGTTCTAGGTTGCTTCTCTCCTTGATGAGTTTCCATCCGTTGCTTCTTATCCTGCCTTCAGGGGCTTCTTGAGAATATGAAAGAAGGACATTAAATACAAGCTATGTATGGTGTCCTCATTTGGTAGACCTTCAAGTCTTCAACGCTCCAGTTAAGACTTTAAAATCTCTTTTATGTTGGACTTAAAAATTGATTCTCTTCCCAATATTTTCTGCACGGAAAATCAGAACTTATCGTAATGTTAACTGCAATGGCAATAGTACTTAGAGAGGGCTGTCTAAGTGATTTACAGAGTCAGCAATATTTGCCTCCAACAATCTGGGTCCTCATTTTACCGACCTCAGGAAAGATGGAAGGTTGAGACAACCTTGAGCTGGTCAGGATCGAACTCCTGGCAGTGGGCAGAATTAGCCTGCAATACTGCATTCTAATCACCGCTTAGATTTCTTTTTCTTATACCATTTTTATTCCAAGTCTCCGTTTTGAGTACAGCTCGTGGTCCACTCAGATCAAGGACACAATTTCCATCCACAGAAATGGTTCTAGGTCACGTTCATCAGTGACCTACTAAGAGAATCTGGAGTCAACAGCAATTTTTTTTTGTTCGTCTACCCCCAAATAGCCAGATAGGAGAAAACAAAACTGGAAAACGCTACCGCTGAACAACTTTGTTTAAACCAGGGGTTCTCAACCTTGGCAACTTTAAGACTTGTGGACTTCAACTCCCAGAATTCCTCAGCCAGGCTGTGGAATTCTGGGAGCTGAAGTCCACAAGTCTTAAAGTTGCCAAGGTTGAGAACCCCTGATTTAAACAAAGATCAAAACAAATGCAAATCTTCTTTTCGTCACTGTGAAATGTCAGTTGTTGTACAATGTAATCCAAATGAAATCATAAGCATATATATATATATGTCAACATTCCAATTTTCTTTGGCGTCTGGCAAAACGAAAGCTGTTAGAAATGCAGCGTATTATCCAATACTCCCTTACACATTTATCGTATAAGTCAGTTTGGGAAACACTGGTATAAGTGGTTGATAAATCCTTCAGGAAGAATTTTACGTTCAATTTTCTGGTTTCCAAGCACTTTGACCGTTCAAATAATCAAATAATCAAAGTTCTCATTTTAAAAAAAAAGTGACGATGACCAAAGGAGAGAGAGGGGGAAAAAAATCACTATTTCCTTAAAACACATTCACATTCTTTAGCCCGATTTGTAAAAAGCCATTTAGAAGAGCAAATGACCTCAAACAAAACCGCTTCTCTTGTGGAGAATTTGACCAACAGGGAGAAGAATTTGACCATCAGAGAGAGAGAAGGAAAAAAAAAGCCGCTCAACTTATCTTGGTGCCATTTTAACAAAGTGGCCTTTTTGTTCCCAGCAATAAAGGCCCAACACATACATAGTGCTTTATTTTCTTCAAAGCCACAGTGCGGGCATCCCCACTGTGAATGGCCTGGCTATGGAATGTATCTGCCCTTTGGCAATTCATTTTGCTTTGAACATTCGGTGTGGGGGTAGACGTGGGGAAGGAGGTCCCACTTAACCCTTAAAAGGTTAATTTTGGAGAACTGACTCCCGAAGCAATCGAATTCCGGACTTGGATAAACATTGAAGCCATGGGTAGATGATTCTTCCTCTTGAAGATTCCCCAAGTCCATTAGGTTACACTTTCTACCCATTTTATGGATCAGTAGCCCATCTTTACTATTTTTATGAATCTCTCAAGGTGGGGAACATGTCCAGCACACCTTCCTTCTCCTATTTTTCCCATAACAACAACTCTATGAGGTGAGTTGGGTTGAGAGAAAGAGACTTGCCCATGGTCGCCCAGCTGGCTTTCATGGATAAGGCGGGACTGGAACTCATGATCTCCTGGTGATTGGCCCAAAGTCACCAGGCCAGCTTTCATGGTTAAAGGAAGACTAGAATTCATGATCTCCTGGTGATTGGCCCAAAGTCACCAGGCCAGCTTTCATGGTTAAAGGAAGACTAGAATTCATGATCTCCTGGTGATTGGACCAAAGTCATCCGGCCAGCTTTCATGGTTAAAGAAAGACTAGAACTCATGATCTCCTGGTGATTGGCCCAAAATCACCCAAGCCACCTTTCATGGTTAAGGCAAGACTAGAACTCATGATCTCCTGGTGACTGGCCCAAAGTCACCCAAGCCAGCTTTCATGGTTAAGGGAAGACTAGAATTCAGGATCTCCTGGTGACTGGCCCAAAGTCACCCAGCCAGCTTCCATGGTTAAGGGAAGACTAGAACTTACAATCTCCTGGTGACTGGCCCAAAGTCACCCAGCCAGCTTCTGTGGTTAAGGAGGAACTAGAACTCACAATTTGAGCCCCCTTCCAACTCTGTTGTTTTGTATTCTGATAAAATAATTGTGTGCCCGTCTTGATCCAAATTGGGAGCATCCAGACCTGTTTTGTGACTGGCCAGGCCTACCAAGGCGACCATTTGAAGGACAACTCTTTAGTGAAACTGACCAGGTCTGTATTCTTCACATTCCACACATATTTAAACCTCCACCAATATTAGAACAGAATAAAACGAACAGGGAGAATGTAAACACGTCTTAGTGTGAACAAATAAACAATCAACGCTCAGATACTTCATCGTGATATCATCATCCTATATATATTCCCTCCCTGATACAGCTAACAAAGTGAGAAAGAGCCTGTGGCCTAGAGGTTAATACAGCTGCCTAACATGCACACAGCCCAGGTTCGAATTTCAGAAGGGTATGTCTGGCTGAAGAGAGTTAAGAAGCTCGAAATAGCTATTCCAGTTCTCCCTTTATTCTTTGTTAGCAATCTAAAAAAATGTACATATATCTATATATATATATAAAACATGGGTTTGGCAAGACTGAGCATTATAGATTAAGGAGGATTCAGGAAAAAACTGGAACATGTTCAGAAAAGAAATCTGTCAACTGAGAACTTACAACTACATCCTATGAAAAAGGATCAAACAAACTGGAACATTTAACCCTGAGAAGAGAAAAAAACCAAAAGGGGATACTGATAACATTCTTCAAATATTTGGGAGGACACCTGCCAGAACAAGGTCAATACACTGTAAACTACATTCCAGAATGCAGGACAGGGAATGTAAGGTTTAAGCTACAGGAAGACAGTTTCTAGCTGAAGGTAAGGACAAACTTCCTTCCAGCAAGATCGTTAACTTTGGAGCTAATTATCCAGCCAGGCGGTCGCTCTCCTTAGTTGAATAGGTTAAAGTAAAGGCTGGACAGCCATATGCCAGGGATTGCTTTAAAATAGATCTCTGCCCAGAACAGAATGTTGGATCTGATGGCCTAATTTGTTCCTTTCAACTCTACAATTCTGTATTTAAAATCCATAGAGAGGGATACATAGAAATGGATGATAGATAGATGATAGATAGATAGATAGATAGATAGATAGATAGATAGATAGATGATAAATAGATAGATAGATGATAGATAGATAGATAGATGATAGATAGATGATAGATAGATGATAGATAGAAAGATGATAGATAGATAGATGATGGATAGATAGATAGATAGATAGATAGATAGATAGATAGATAGATAGATATGGAGGGAGGGAGGGAAGGAGGGAGGCTGGCTATCACAGCTGGCTGAGGAATTCTGGGAGTTGAAGTCCACAAGTCATAAAAGGGCCAAGTTTGAAGACCCCTGGTCTAACCTCTGTTCAAGCAGGAGACCCTATACTATTCTGGACTAATGGCTGTCCAAAGGCTTCTTGAAAGCTTCCAGTGATGGAGCATCCACAACTTCTGGAGGAAAGTTGTTCTACTGACTAATTGTTTTGTCAGGAAATTTCTCCTTAATTCCGGGTTGCATCTCTCCTTGATTAGTGTCCATCCGTTGCTTCTTGTCCTGCTTCCAGGTGCTTTGGAGAATAGCTTGACTCCCTCTTCTTTGGGGCAGCCCCCCCCCCCAGATACTGGAACACTGCTATCATGTCACCCCTATATTTGTATTATAAATATATATATAGTAACGTGGTCTTGCAAGTCTGAATGCACTTCTCCTCTTTCCTTTATCATTGGAAGAACTAGAGAGAGTTTTTTCTGAGGTATTTTCTCAAATTACAGTTCTGCCTCAGACTCAAGTTTCCTTCGTCTGATTGTTGCCTTGATGACCGCGTTTTCTCCTCTCCCTCCAGGCCAACCCCCTGGCCCACTCCACACCCACTCCTTAGTTCAGATATAATGAAAAAATTATAGCTTTTAAACAAAAAAAAAAACCCTGAAAGCTCTCAAATAACAGGGAAGAATTTATCAATCAGTTTAAACTGGGGCCTCCACCAAGCTGGGGAATTCTGGGAGTTGAAGTCCGCAAGTCTTAAGGTTGGAGACCCCTGGTTTAAACCTGTGAAAACAGGCCACACCTTCAAAAAAAATGAGAAAGAAAAGACCTTAAAAAAAAAAAAAAAGAAATAGTCAAAAGTATGAGAGTACATTTTGGCATCAGAGACTGTGCATTGAAAGACCGCATTTCAGCGTTACCTGATGCCTAGAAAAGCTGTGTAATACACAACGCCGATAATATTTGGAAAGTATGAATCAAATTAAATTTAATTAAATGAATTAAATCAAATTAGCCAATTTCTCAAAAAGGTTTGACTGGATTAGAGCTGCACGTCATGAAAAAAACGTTATTTGTCTAAGTAGGGTAAAACTATTTATGAAAAAAAATCTTGAACTAGCATTCCATGTTAAATTATAATTTAAAACTACTAAGAAATAAACAATGGGAACCAAGGAATATATTCATTTGCCAAATTGCTTCAATGGAACAATTAAAATTACTGCATATAATGAACTGATTTAACCTTTCTTTCTTTCTTTCTTTCTTTCTTTCCCTCCCTCCCTCCCTCCCTCCCTCCCTTCCTTCCTTCCTTCCTTCCTTCCTTCCTTCCTTCCTACTTTTTATTGCATATATAACTGAATTTTTCGGTCTGCACCTTTTGGGCATTTTCAATGATTTCTATACTTTTAACACATTCTTTTTTTTTTTCTTCTGCAGGAGCTCACATTTGTTATAGTTTTAATTAAACAATGAAAATAGCTGTGTATCGAATGAAGACTACACTTTCCACTCTGCAAAATCTTATTTTACTTTTTTAACGGTGTTCTTAATAAACCAATATATAAATCCAACGATGTTAAATTTAGCCACACTAAAATTAAAACGCCAGATAAGCCAAGTGAGGCCTTTTAAAGTCCTTTAAGATAACACAGTTGCAACATAAAGAGACTAAGTCTTGTTAGCAAGTCCTGGATAAATAACAAATATTGAAACATCAAGAGACGAAGGAAGCTACTTTTATCTTTTCCAGTCTTGTATCTAATTTCTTGCATTCAGACCAAATGAAACCAACGTGGACAATACTTTGTTTGTTCCCCATACATCATCACAAATCAAATCATCCACAGCTACCTTGGATTGTCCCATAATATCGGAACCACATAAATGGTGGGTATTTAAATATTTGAATATTATCCTTGAAAGCAGAGAGGGAGAACAAGGAATAATAACATACTCACCTTGACAGCCCACAATAGGGTCACCCCAGAAATATTCTTGACATTCCGTACAGGTGCGTCCCCCGAATCCTGGCATACACTGGCACTGCCCGGTGAACTATTAATTAAAAAAAAAAGATGGAGGGAAACAATTTTAAACCAGTGATTAATCAATACTAAAGCCAGGCTGGTCATAATACGGATCCATAATTAGGAACTTTCCCATTTTTTTTTAATTATGGGCAATTCAACCCAGCCTCTCTTCTACTACTAATTCTATCCCTTCTAAATCATGGCGGACACTATGCAAGAAGAACATAGAATATAGAATCATAGGGCTGAAAAGGACCTCAGAGGTCTTCTAGCCCAACCCCTGCTCAAGGCAGCAGCCTTCTACCATCCCAGTCAAACAGTTGTCCAGTCTCTTCTTGAAAACCCCCAGGGTTGGAGCATCCACAACTTCTGGAGGCAAGCTGTTCCACTGGTTAATTGTTCTCACTGTCAGGGAATTTCTCCCTACTGCTGGTTAGGTTTCTCTTAAACAATCTTCCGCCCATTTTTAATTGTCCTGCCCTCAAGGAGAATAAACCAATTTCCTCTTCTTTGTGACAGCCCCTCAAGTACTGGAAGATACTCATCCATGTCCTACGTAGCCCTTCTTGATAGGCTAGACCTGGGGTAGGCAACCTTGGCTCTTATATGACTTGTGTACTTCAATTCCCAGAATTCCTGAGACAGCATGGCTCAGCTTGGAAACCTCTCCCTTTTCCCTCAGTGTGGCTGGCTCAGGAATTCTGGGAATTGAAGTACACAAGTCATATAAGAGCCAAGGTTGCCTACCCCTGGGCTAGACATACATAGCCTTCTGACCCTTTTATCCTTTTTGTTGCTCAGAAAACTTAAAAGCTTTGGTCAAACTATCCTTCTTCAATACTGATATATAGCTATTTGCCGTATGCTTTTTGTCACTTAATCAGGGTGTCTGTGCAAGGCATGATTGAAAGAAAGTCAAGATGGAACCCATGACCCAACCAGCTTTAATGCCTAAGGGTGGGATTACAATTCACTGTCTCCTAGTGATTGGCCCAAAGTCACCCAGCTGGCTTTCTTGCCTAAGGCGGGACTAGAACTCACTGTCTCCCTGCGATTGGCCCAAAGTCACCCAGCTGGCTTTCTTGCCTAAGGCGGGACTAGAACTCACTGTCTCCCTGTCATTGGCCCAAAGTCACTCAGCTGGCTTTCTTGCTTTAGGCGGGACTAGAACTCACTGTCTCCCAGTGATTGGCCCATTTCCTGGAAGATGACTTTGGATCTCAATTGTCTGGAAATCTTAACAGCGCCAGAGCTGGTCTCCATCTGCCACCCTTAGCTCCGACAAAGCCTCCTCACCTCGTTGCAAGACGGGCCGAAGGAATGCTCCAGATTACAGGCGCAGGGTTCGCATCCGGTCCCGCTGCTGAGTTGCCACGTGTTTGGAGCGCAGTGATCACAATTCTGCCCGACCACGTTAGGGAGACATTGACACTGGCCCGTTTCTCTCTCACACTCACAGTCTTCGGCGCCGCTGCAGCGCTGGCGCACCGTCCCCAGGTAATTGCAGACACACTCTGGAAGGGAAGAGGAGCAAAAACTACCGCACGTCTTGCAGTGTCCTTCGTTGGGAGAAGACGTTATGCCACGGTGGTGGTGAACCTATGGCACGCGTGCCAGAGGCGGCACTCAGGGCCCTCTCTAGGGGCACGCATGCCACCACTGCCAGTAGCTTGCGCAGGTCCATTAGGCCGCTGCTGCTGCTCAGAGAGGCAGCCCCACCAGGCACAAAGGAGGTGAAGCAGCCAGCTGGCAAGCTTGAGTAGAGGTGGTAGAGCACGCCCACGCCCAGCAAGCCAAAGGCCACCCTGAGCAGGGAAAGCTGGATCCCCATCGACGCCATAGCCCCCCAGTCCCAGCTAGAATTGCGTGCCTCCCCCCCATCTATGCTGGGCCTCCTGCCCACCACCCCACCTGCCAGAGACCCCCTGGATCTCCCCCAACCCTGTCCAGCCCCCACAGGCGTCACCCCCCATGAGCAATAGCGAGGTGGCCATGCCCACCCCAGCCACGCCCAGCCAGTTTGCCGTGACAACTGCAGCCACGCCCACCCAGTGGGCCACATCCCCATGCCCCCCCCCCCGAGGGCACCACTATCTTGATGTGGCCCTGGCACTATTGCATGAATGAGCCCCAAGGACCCACGAGGCATGCATGAATGGGGTCCTGAGCACCCATGAGGCTTGTATGAATGGGGCCCTGAGCACCTGTGAGGCTTGCACGAAGGACGCCCCGAACGCCTGCGAGGCTTGCACGAATGGGGCCCCGAATGCCCGTGAAGCTTGAATGAGACTATGAGTGGCTACGACATTCGCCCGAGTGGGACCCCGAGCCCTCATGATGCTTGCGCCAGTGAGGCCCAATCAAGTGCGATGCTCGCATGCGTGGGACCCTGAGCACCTGTGACACTCGCGCGAGTGGGGCCTGAGTGCCTGCGATGCTCGCGCGAGTGAGGCCTAAGCGCTCACGAGGCTTGCACGAGTCGGGCCTCAAGCGCCTGCGAGGCTCACGCACATGTGGCAGTGAGCCTGTGCGATGATCGCGCCAGTGGGGCCCCGGGCGCCTGTGACACTTGCCCAAGTGAGGCCTGAGCACCTGTGACGCTCAAGTGAGTGGGGCTGTGTGCATGCGTGCACCTGTGCACGCACCAGCCAGCCATTCACATGGGCCGGTTGCAAATCGTCCACGGACCGGTATTGGGCTACAGCCCACCGGTTGGGGACCCCTGGTGTAGATCTCGCCATTCGAAAGCTGGTATCTTTGCAAATATCTGCAGCCAAGTGGGACCCCCAACAGTCAACGGCAGAGGTCCCTTGCCCACTTACTTCTGCAATCTTGCTGGAGAGCCCATCCGTAGTAGCCAGGTTTACACTCTTGGCAGTGTTGGCCCTGGGTGTGAAACAAACACTTGAGGCACAAGCCTGTCCTCTTGTCACAGGCCTCTGGATCAGAGGAATCGATGTTGTTGTGACACTGGCAGGGCTGGCAAGTCCCACCAATCTCTTCGGGGTTTCCAAAGAAGCCAGAGGAACATTCATCGCATCGACTTCCTGTTCAAAGCAGCAATCAAAGAAAAAGGGGAAAAAAAATCGTCAGCAAATTGTTATTTATTTATATCCTGCCTTTGTTATTTTTTACAAATAACCCCAGGCGACAAACATAGCCAACACACCTTCCTCCTCTTATTTTCCCCACAACAGCCCTGTGAGGTGGGATGGCTGAGAGAGAGAAGAGACTTAGCCTGAGGTCACCCAGCTGGCTTTCATGGCGAAGGCAAGACTAGAACTCACAGTCTCCTGGTGATTGGCCCAAAGTCACCCCTCCAGCTTTCCTGGCTACAACAGGACTAGAACCCACGGTCTCCAGTTTTATAGCCTGGTGCCTTAAGCAGTGGACCAAACTGGCTGAAATCCAGCCACAAACCAAAGTATGGACGTATGTGAGTTAAGAAGCAGGACCCCCATCTTTAACTCTTTGTAAAGCCTCACCATTCTTATAAGGGCACTGGACTGGAATACTTATTTAACATGAAACAGATCATTAAGATGTAGCTGTACAAAAAATTAATAAATGTTACTGTATATAAATAGAATGGAGTGGAATAATAAGAATGGAATGGAATGGAATAGAATAGAATGTAAAATAAAATAAAATAATAAAAGAAATAGAACAGAATTAGAAAATAGAATAGAAAGAACAGAAAATAGAACAGAACAGAACAGAATAGAATATAGGAATAGGAATAGAACGGAATGGAATGGAATAGAATAGAAAATAAAATAGAAAGAATGGAATAGAATAGAAAATTAGAATAGAATAGAATAGAAAATAAAATAAAATAGAAATAGAACAAAATAGAAAATAGAATAGAAAGAACAGAATAGAATAGAATGGAATGGAATGGAATAGAATAGAAAATATAATAAAATAAAATAATAAAATAAAATAAAAATAGAATAGAATAGAAAATAGAATAGAAAAAACAGAACAGAACGGAACGGAATAGAATGGAATGGAAAATATAATAAAATAATAAAATAAAATAAAATAAAATAAAATAGAAATAGAACAGAATAGAAAATATAATAAAATAAAATAATAAAATAAAATAAAATAAAAATAGAATAGAATAGAAAATAGAATAGAAAAAACAGAACAGAACAGAACGGAACGGAATAGAATGGAATGGAAAATATAATAAAATAATAAAATAAAATAAAATAGAAATAGAACAGAATAGAAAATAGAATAGAATAGAATAGAATAGAAAATAAAATAAAATAGAAATAGAACAAAATAGAAAATAGAATAGAAAGAACAGAATAGAAAGAACAGAATAGAATGGAATGGAATGGAATAGAATAGAAAATATAATAAAATAAAATAATAAAATAAAATAAAAATAGAATAGAATAGAAAATAGAATAGAAAAAACAGAACAGAACGGAACGGAATAGAATGGAATGGAAAATATAATAAAATAATAAAATAAAATAAAATAAAATAGAAATAGAACAGAATAGAAAATATAATAAAATAAAATAATAAAATAAAATAAAATAAAAATAGAATAGAATAGAAAATAGAATAGAAAAAACAGAACAGAACAGAACGGAACGGAATAGAATGGAATGGAAAATATAATAAAATAAAATAAAATAGAAATAGAACAGAATAGAAAATAGAATAGAATAGAATAGAATAGAATTCTTTATTGGCCAAATATGATTGAAGGTTGATGAGGCTAAGTCTGCAAAAAAGTCTGGGAGTTGAAGTCCACAAGTCTTAAAGTTGCCAAGGTTGAGGACCCCTGAGTTAGTTATTTCACAACCCCACTTACCTTTATATCCTCTCTCGCAAATGCACACCACTTGTAACGTAATCCGGTCTTGATAACAGCCACTGGCAAACTGGCGCCCACTTTCCGGACCGTCTGGGCACGGGCAAGGACGGCAGTGATCCCCTGATCCCAAGACTGGATCTCCATAATAACCAGCAAGGCACCTAAATGTTATAGTATGAGGCTTATCACAAGGCACACGATAACAGCACGGATGTACTGAAAATAGCACTTAGGGTTTTTCTCTAAGTGCAATATAAAGAATGCAGCCTACAGCTGTTTTCACTGGGCCTTTCAAAGCAAAACACCTCCATTTATTTGTTTATTCCATTTTTATCCCACAGTAATCTCACAACTCTGGGCGGTTACTGAGTCCGTATAAAAGGAGGAGCTATCCCTCTTCCCGAAGCATGCTTTGCGAAAAAACTCTGTTTTTAACCGCTTCCTAAAAGCTACCAGGAGAATTCTAGTTTTAGACTAATTTTAGTCTCCAGGCCTTTGATGAAGTCTGCAAACAGTTGCCAAGGTTGGACACCTCTGATCTTAAAACTGGCACCCGCGCCCCTTTTGGAAACCCAAGTTCTCTTCCTGCCCCAAAGAAGCCCTACCTCTCACAGTTGGGGCCTGAGGTGTGATCACGACAATGCAAGCACTGGCCACTGTAGGGATCGCACTCGTCCGCGTGACCGTTGCACTGACAGGGCTGGCAGCTTGGGAACCCCCAGTATCCGGGCAAACATCTGTCGCACTGACGGCCGTAAACTCCGTGGAAACAATGGCACTGCCCGGTCTCCGGGTGGCAGAAGGCGTTTGCAGACGCTTGGACGTGACACTCGCAGGCTAAAAAGAAAAGAAAGCATAAACATATCGGGGTGAAATGGGAAGTCAGCACCGTCCATGATCGCCTAGTTGTGGCTTTTTAAATGTCCTGCTAGTTCAGTGGTGGCGAACCTATGGCACGGGTGCCAGAGGCGGCACTCAGAGCCCCCTCTGTGGGCACGCGTGCCGTCGCCCCAGTCCTCGGCCTTCAGCTGGGTTTTATAAAACCTTTTCGCTTTAGGCCTCCGCCACCGTGTGCAAAAAAAAAAAAAAGGGTTCAATCAGTCAATTTCAACTTATTGCAGAAAAAAAAAGATCTTGCAAAGTTGGAATTGATTGATTGAACTTTTTAGTCCCACCCAGTCTGCCGTTACCACCGCAGCCACGCCCACCCAATGGGCCACACCCACCCAATGGGCCACACCCACCCGGCACCCGACGATGCATAAGTGGGTTTTGAGTTGCAGTTTGGGCACTCGGTCTCTAAAAGGTTCGCCATCACTGTGCTAGTTCATTACCAGCATGAGGTAGACTAAGTCTTCATCAACAGAAGACAATACTTGTAGGGTTAGGGTTGAACTGTGGGGTCCTTGGTGCTCTCTGAACGTGGTGTTTTACTTGCAGATGTTTCATGACCCAACTAGGAAACATCATCAGTATTACAAGGGAGGGGGATTTGCAGAGAGGAGAAGGGGAGGAGGAGGAGGAGGAGGAGGAGTAGACGGAGAAGGAAGAGGTCTGTTGGAGATCCTTGGTGCTCTCTGAGCTTGGTGTTTTACTTGCAGATGTTTCATGACCCAACCAGGAAACATCATCAGTATTACAAGGGAGGGGGATTTGCAGAGAGGAGAAGGGGAGGAGGAGGGGGGGGGAGGAGGGGGAGGAGGAGGGGAAGGAGGAGAGGGAGAAGGAAGAGGAGGATTGTGGGGTCCTTGGTGCTCTCTGAGCTGGGTGGTTTTCTTGCAGATGTTTCATTGCCCAACTAGGTAACATTATCAGTGTTACAAGGAAGGGAGGTTTGTGGAGCAGAAAAGGAGAAGAGGAGGAGGAAGAGAGGGAGGAGGAGGGGGAGAGAGGAGGAGGACTGTGGAGGTCCTGGGTGCTCTCTGAGCTAGGTGGTTTTCTTGCAGATGTTTCATGACCCAACTAGGTAACATCATCAGGGAGATTTGTGAGGAGGAGGAGGAGGAGGAGGGGGGGGAGGGGGAGGAGGAAGAAGAGGACGACGACGACTGTGGGGTCCTTGATGCTCTCTGAGCTTAGTTGTTTTCTTGCCGACATTTTTTTACCCAACTAGGTCACATCATCAGTGCTAGTTCGGTGATGAAACATCTGCCAGGAAGCCACCAAGCTCAGAGAGCGCCAAGGACCCCACAGATTTGTCTTTTCATCTTAGCTCATGAGGATTTTTACAGATGTGATACAAGAGAGAAACCAAAAGATTCTCTCTTTTTTTCTTATTTCTTGCCAAGTAACCTTACCGAACAGCATCGGGGCCTCCGGAACGAAGACAGAACTTACGTTTGCATCCAGTGGGTTCAAAGCCAAAGGTGCCCGGGGCGCATTTATCGCATCTTCGGCCAACCACATTTGGTCGACACTGACAATGGCCTCCGTTGGGATCGCACACCGAACTCAGCGAACCTTGTGGGTCACACTGGCAAGCTTAAAAAAAAAAAAAAGGAGAAAGATAGATATTTGGAACAAGTTACTCATTCATCCCTTCGCTCATTCCTTCAGTTTGTACAGCCTCCCACGTTTCACTCTGGCTGCTGAACAATAGCAAGCGAAACGAAAAGAATCGCACCACACATAGAAACGTGAAAATGCAGAAAGGCCAAGCAAATGGCAAATAACTTGCTAAAATGGCTGATACAGGCCAACAACAGTGGTGCAAAGTGGTTCCGTGGGTGGTTTTTCACCCCAGTCTTCATCCTTTATAAAGAATGCGTGTGGTATTTATATGGTGCCTGTTGTATGTGGCTTTTTCGATGTGGATTGGGGTGTGTACCATCACCCCAATCAACATCATAACATCACCAGACAAAAAACAGCACAGACTCTGCTGGAGAGAGGCTCCCCAAAGATGGGCTCCAGAATAGTAGTAGTAGTAATAATCATAATAATCATAATAATAACAACAATAAAAGTTGTAAGGGACCTTAGAGGTCATCTAATCCAACCCCCTGCTCAGGCAGGAAACCCTGTACCAATGATGGCGAACCTTTTAGAGACCCAGTGCCCAAACTGCAACCCAAACCCCCCTTATTTATCACCGGGTACTGGGTGGGTGTGGCCGCAATGGTCACTGCAGACTGGGTGGGCGGAGCCTGGGCGCAGGGATCAGTCCCTCACCATCTCCAGGGCACGGCACGCGTGCCCACAGAGAGGGCTCTGAGTGCCGCCTCTGGCACGCGTGCCATAGGTTCGCCACCACTGCCCTATACCATCTTGGACAAATGGCTGTCCAGTCTCTTCTTAAAAACTTCCAATGTTGGAGCATTCACCACTTCTGGAGGCAGGTTGTTCCACTGGTTAATTGTCCTCACTGTCAGGAAGTTTCTCCTTAGTTCTAGGTTGCTTCTCCCCTTGGTTAGTTTCCCCCCCGTTGCTTCTTGTCCTGCCTTCAGGCGCTTTGGAGAATAGCTTGACTCCCTCTTCTTTGGGGCAGACCCTGAGATACTGGAACACTGCTATCATGTCCCCCCTTGTCCTTCTCTTCGTTAAACTAGACATCCCCAATTCCAGCAACCGTTCCTTGTATGTTTTAGCCTCCAGTCCCCTAATCATCTTTGTTGCTCTTCTCTGAACTCTTTCCAGAGTCTCAACATCTTTTTTACATTGTGGTCCAAAAATCCAAAAGCTTGGAAGACCCAAATCTCCGATTCCGGAGATCGACCCAGATCGGATCCTGCAACATGATCCTGGGACACGTAGATCCGCCTTCATTCGTGACAAATCCTAACAGAGAGGTTGCCTGAATTTAGAGCAGCAGTTCCTCAAAGTCAGCCATTTTAAAACCGCATGGACTTCAACTCCCAGAATTCTCCCAGACATTATGGAGGAACGAACTCTTCCCTTCTTGAAGTGACTGAGATTGAGAAACCCTGGTTTAATGGGGCTAATTTTAGGAGAAGCAACCGTATGTAACTTATGTTCAGTTTTATACCAGGGCTCTCCAAACCTGGCACCTTTAAAGCCTTGTGGGCTGCAGCTCCCAGAATTCACGCTGGCTGAGGAATTCTGGGAGTTGAAGTCCATAAGTCTTAAAATGGCCAAGTCTGGAGATCCCTTGTTCTCAACCAGGGACACCTGCTTACCCAATGCGGTTTCGTGCAACAGGGCTGAGATGCTAAAAATTATATTCCGGCAAACATCCGTCATGGGGGTTTTGACAACGCTCCTGCTGTTCTCCAGGCAACGGTATCTTTGAAAGGTTTCCCACGCGCTGTTGGTTGTCACGTCGTCACCTCGGCCTCCAACCGTGAAGAGGTCCAGGGACTTGCAATAGGGCATGAGGACAAGCTGCGGAACAAGATTAACCAAGCCTTATTGGTGTGTTTTAAGATGGACCCCCCCCCCAAATGTTGTCTCTTCCGAAGATACGGTCCCAAGGAGTCCCAAGAAACACCCCCTACACGGCTGGGCTTTTGTCCTTTTCTTCAACCTCATCTCACGTGGCAGAAACCAATTCCCAAGTTGCCCATTGATAGGGGCAACTTTCTGAGAATTCCAGCAAGAATCCCAGAAAAAAAAATTAAAAAATACAAAGCGGAACTCATGTTCCGTGTAGAGATTAGTTAAAATGTAAGACGGTTTATTCGGTGGGGTCCTGGGTGCTCTCTGAGCTTGGTGGTTTTCTTGCAGACGTTTCATGACCCAACTAGGTAACACCATCAGTGCTGGAAGGGTGTGGGGTTTTGCTTTCATTTGAGAACCCCACTCCCTTGTAGCACTAATGATGTTATCTAGTTGGGTCATAAAACGTCTGCAAGAAAACCACCAAGCTCAGAGAGCACCAAGGACCCCACAGTCCTGCTCCTCCTCCTCCCTTTCTCCTTCTCCTCCACTCTGCAAACATCCCTCCCTTGTAACACTGATGATGTTACCTAGTTGGGTCATGAAATGTCTGCAAAAAAACAACCCAGATCAAAGATCAGCAAGGACCTCCACAGTCCTCCCCCTCCTTATTCTCCTCCTCCTCCTCCTCCTCCTCCTCCTCCTCCTCCTCCTCCTCCTCCTCCTCCTCCTCCTCCTCCTCCCTTTCTCCTTCTCCTCCACTCTGCAAACATCCCTCCCTTGTAACACTGATGATGTCACCTAGCTGGGTCATGAAACGTCTGCAAGAAAACCACCCAGCTCAGAGATCAGCAAGGACCCCGCAGTCCTCCTCCTCCCTCCCGCCCCCACCTCCTCCCCCTCCCTCCCTTCTCTTCTTCCTCCCCTTCTCCTTCTCCTCCACTCTGCAAAGATCCCTCCCTTGTAGGACTGATGATGTTACCTAGTTTGGTCATGAAATGTCTGCAAGAAAATCACCAAGCTCAGAGGGCACCAAGGACCCCACAGTCCTCCTCCTCCCTTCCCCACCTCCTCCCCCTCCCCACCTCCTCCTCTTCCTCCTCCTCCCCTTCTCCTTCTCCACTCTGCAAACATCCCTCCCTTATAGCACTGATGGTGTTACCTAGTTCGGTCATGAAACGTCTGAAAGAAAACTACCCAGCTCAGAGAGCACCAAGGACCCACAGTCCTCCTCTTCCTTCTCCCTCTCCTACTTCCCTTCCTCCTCCTCCCCCTCCTCCCCCTCCTCTTCTCCTCTCTGCAAATCCCCCTCCTTTGTAATACTGATGATGTTTCCTAGTTGGGTCATGAAACATCTGCAAGTAAAACACCACGTTCAGAGAGCACCAAGGACCCCACAGTCCTCTTCCTTCTCCTCCTCCTTCTCCTCCTTCTCCTCCTCCATTCTCCTCTTCCTCCCCTTCTCCTCCTCCATTCTGCAAAGGTCCCTCCCTTGCAGCACTCCAGTTGCTTCCTGAAAAAGCACTTTGGGGACAACCACGACCTGGATTGACCGAGAATCTCCACAGACATTTGTGCTAAAATTTAGGCTCGGAGGAATTCTTTCAGCGGCGCATTCCTCGGTGGCTACGTTACACCTAAAGGGCTGATCTTAGCGTCCACTTACTGAATCGATGAGCGTGTACGGATTTTCCACCTCAGAGTTCAAGGAGTACTGCGGCAGCTCCAACCGAACGGTGTAATTCAGGCCTTTTTCGAAGCATACGGGGCGTGGAAGGACGGCATACCTGGGTTAGCAACGGGACACCCCCATGAAGGGAAAATAATGTGGCATATCCCAAGTCATACATTAAAAAGCACTGGGTTTTCTTTGAGACTGTTGGTGAGATCAGGGGTCTCCAACGCCTGGTCTGTGGACCGGTATTGGGCCGCGGCATGCCAGCAACCGGTCCACACAAACAAGCCAAGCCCCATCCGCAGGATGCAGGCAGCACACAAAACTACGCACCCTCCGGTCCGCGGAAAAACCTCTTTCCACGGAACTGGCCCTTGGTGCCCAAAAGGTTGGGGGACCTCTGGGTTAAATAACACTGAGTTTTTTCTCTTTACTGTTCCTTTTGATGTGGTTCCGGCTAATGAAACCTTCCAAAGAACTTCCAGGCATTTATTTTCCTAAAAGTCTTTTAATGTTACAAAATGTCGGCACAGGCACAATGGAGGGATGCTAGGATCTAAGTTCTCTTCCTCTGAGCAGTTAAATTATCAGCATGTTTCCTCCCTAAATTAGCCCTCATATCTCACACTATCCAATTAGTGTGAAGGTCAAATGTTTTCTTCCTCTTTCTTTCCCCGGGCTTTACCCCCCAACGCCCCTTCTGCTCTTTATTAACCCCATATTTACCAGACAATTCTGCATATTGTCAAAAGCAAGAATATACAATATTTGCAGCGTTGACACCTTTGTTTTATGCCTCCATTTAGAATCCTTTGTTTATAGACTGTTCAAAGTTCAGGAGCCGCGGTGGCCCAGCGGTGAGAATGCAGTACAGCAGGCTAACTCTGCCCACTGCCAGCAGTTCGATCCTGACTGCTCAAGGTTGACTCAGCCTTCCATCCTTCCGAGATCGCTAAAATGAGGACCCAGATGGTTGGGGGGGGGCGATAGGCTGATTCTGTAAACTGCTTGGAGTGGGCTATACAGCACTGTGAAGCGGTATATATAGTCTAGGTCAGGGCTTTTCAACCTTTTCACCCATTGTACCACTTTTAGGATATGGCAACATCCGAGTATCACCGGTCGCCTAGCAAGGTGTCCAAAATTTGATGACCCCAAAAAAAAAAGGAAAAAAGTGATAAAGTACAGGTAGTCCTCGACTTACAACAGTTCGCTTAGTGACAGTTCGAAGTTACAATGGCACTGAAAAAAGGCCCCCCCAAGGCGCAGCCGAGCAAGACAGCGCCTGGTGGCGCTCTTCCTCCTGTCCGAGGCTTTTATTAATGTGAGCATTTCTGTTGAGGATTGGCAGCGGAGGTGGGGTGGGGGGTGTTTGGTTTTTATTCCCCCCCCCATCTGCTGGGTGGTTGCAGCAGGTTTTGATCACTTCACATGACCTGGGACACTGTGACCGTCATAAATATGAATCAGTTGCCAAGCGTCTGAATGTAAATCACAAGACCCTGGGGATGCTGCAACATTCCAATTGATCGGTGCTTCTTCTGGGCTCAGCAGAAGCACCAGGATCAGCGCTGAGCTCCAGCTGGAGCCTGGTGCTGATCCTGGCGCTTCCGCTGAGCCCTGACAGTCCCGAAGAAGCGCTGATCCTGGTGCTTCCGCTGAGCCGACAGCCCTGCAGCTCCAGCCGTCTCTTGCTCAGGCTTGTGCGGTGCTGCCACCGGTTCAGCTCATTCCCCTCCCCTGCTACTACTTTTCTAGGATGGTCGCGTACCACCTGCCAGGTGCCAATGTACCACAGGTGGTACCCGTACCACTGGTTGAAAAGCCGTGGTCTAAGTGCTATTGCTACGTTACAATGGCACTGAAAAAAGGGACTTACGTACAACTGGTCCTCACAAAAGCGATATAACATTTCCATGATCACAATTTGGGCATTTGGCACCAGCATGTATTTATAAAAGTTGCCAAATCCTGGAGTCCCATGATCACCCGTTGCAGCTCTTCCCAGCTATTTTCCAACCAGCCAAATCAACGGGGAGAAGAGGATTCCCTTAACAACGGCTTGATTCATCCATTCATGCAGTTAGGGTGCAAGTACTGCAGGCCACTTTAGCTGACTGTGTTCAGCAGGTCAGCGGTTCAAATCTCACCGGCTCAAGGTTGACTCTCAGCCTTCCATCCTTCCGGGGTAGATAAAATGAGGACCCAGATTGTTGGGGGCAATGTAAATATATATATATATATATATACACACACACACACACACACACACACACACACACACACATTGCTTACTGGTGTACACCGCTTAGAGAGCGCTTGCACTTAAAGCGGTATATAAGTCTCATAAATAAATAAATAAACAAACAAACAAACAAACAACGGCTGTTAATTCGCTTAACTTGGCAAAAAAAAAAAAAGATTATAAAATGGGGAGCGACGTTCTTAGCCACCGCTTTGCTGAACAACAGAAATTCTGATCTCCGTTGGGTTTGTAAATTTCAGGACTCATCTGTATTTCTCGTTGTTAAGACTCACCTGGAACCGGGAGATAAAGATACCTCTTGATCGTCATCGTCAGGAACAGTATTGCCACATCTACTACTAGGAGGAATTTGGCCCGGGCGATACACGCTGATGGTAGCTTTCTCCCACTGATCTGGTAACTAGGAAAAAAAGTGATCCCTGTTCATTTCAAAACTCAAAATACACAGCCTGGATATCCATCAGTGTTGTCTAAGGCGGGAATTCGGACTAAGTGAACAATACAGAATTTCTACGCAACCTTGCTTTGGAGCAAAGGAATTGAAGGCAGACACACATCATCAAATTGCCAGTCCTAGAAAAGCCAGTTTGATCTAGTGGTGAAGGCACAAGAAAGCAGGAGACTGTGAGTTCGAGTCCTGCCATAGCCGTGAAAGCCAGCTGGGGGACCTTGAGCCAATCACTAGGAGACTGTGAATTCTAGTCCCGCCTTAGCCATGAAAGCCAGCTGGGGGACCTTGGGCCAATCACCAGGGAACACTGAGTTCTAGTCCCGCCTTATCCTTCAAAGCCAGCTGGGTGACCTTGGGCCAATCACCAGAAGACACTGAGTTCTAGTCCCGCCTTAGCCATGAAAGCCAGTTCGGTGACTTTAAGCCAATCACCAGGAGACTGTGAGTTCTAGTTCCGCCTTATCCATCAAAGCCAACTGGATGACTTTGGGCCAATCACCAGCAGACTGTGAGTTCTATTCCCATCTTAGCCATGAAAGCCAGCTGGGGGACCCTTGGGCCAATCACCAGCAGACTCTGAGTTCTAATCCTGCCTTAGATACAAAAGCTGGCTGGTTGATCTCTCTCTCAGCCCAACAAACCTGACAGGGTTTGTTATTGTGGGGAAAAACAGGAGGAAGAAGAAGGTGTGTTGGCTATGTTCGCCCCCTTGAGTTATTCATAAAAATAACAAAGGCGGGATAATAATTAAATTAATTAATTAACAATTAAACAAAGAAGTAAACAGAAAATAGACCGTCAGACCACCAAGTGCACAGATGTTTTAATTCGGCAGGTTTTAAACGTCTTCCAAAACATCAGCGTTCCTCATTCCGAGGCCGCGCGATTCCCTCAGCAGCCATTTACCTGAGGCTCATATCGAATGAGAACATCGTATTCCATCGAAAACGGGATATTGTCTATGTAGAATTCTAAATAGGCTCCTTCAGGCACTCTCACAAACCCTATTCCAGTCCAGGAAGGTACGCGATCTTGAGAATAGAGGCGCTCAACCAAACTCACGCCCTACAAAAGAGAAGCAAATTATTAGCAACCAGAGTTGTGTACGTCCAGAGAAGGAAGGACTCACAAGTTGCTTCAATGGACGATGGGTGGTGAAGGGAGTGGAATTGGCTGAGAGGGTGGAACTGACTTCTCTGATTAAAAAGGAGAGATTTTTTTTGGTCTAACTTTCTTTCTCCTTTATTTGTTGGACGGTGGGCTAGAAATGGAAGGAAATGAATATTTAATTTGGGGATTTGACAGCTGGTTATGGCAAAGGGGGGATTAAAATAAAATAAAATAAAATAATAAAATAAAATAATAAAATAAAATAAAAAATAAAATAACAAAATAAAATAAACTAATAAAATAAAATAAACTAATAAAATAAACTAATAAAATAAAAAATAAATAATAAAATAAAAAACAAAATAAAAAATAAAAAACAAAATAAAATAATAAAATAAAGAAAAAATATAGAAAAAATAAAATAAATAAAATAAATAAAAAATAAAAGAAATAAAACAAAATAAACTAATAAAATAAAATAAAAAAAAAAATAAAAGAAATAAAATAAAATAATAAAGAAAAAATAAAGAAAAATAAAATAAAAAATAATAAAATAAAATAATAAAATAAAGAACACAAAACAAAATAATAATAAATAAAAAATAAATAAAAGAAAAGAAAACAAAATAATAAAATAAATATTGGGTATTATTGTTGATTTTAGAATAAGAGGTTAATGCATTTTATATCAGTATCTATGCCAAAGAAAGTTGGAACTTATTCTTTTCCCCTCTTTTACATTCTGCTTCCCTAATTTTGCTTTTTCTTTCATCTCTGTTTTCCCTAGCTGCCTTTCCTTTTGTTTTTGTTTTTTAAAATATTTTATCCTTAAGATGAGACTTAATCATATTTTTTTTTAAAAAAAGCACAGAAGCAAATTATATTCTTCTACTTTAAGAAAATGCACATACGTGCCATGGAAAATGTTGATTAAAAAATACTATGAGGACAGTATTCCCTCAGTTTTCTCCAGATGTTTTGGGACTTTTAATCCCAGATGTCACATTCATACTCTTACTGATGTTTACAAAAGATGACTAGGAGTGTGTATATAGATTGTTTCTCTTAGTTGAGAAACGGTCTTTGTATGTTTTTCTACAGTTAAACAAACTTTTTATTGACAGTTGAGTGTTCAATCCTAGGTAGCAGCAGATGTTTCTCTCCCAGGGTGGACAGAAAAAACGTCTGCTGTGAACTCCATGTAGGCGTCAGGAAAGGCATCCAGTCAGTAAACTCTCAGCTACACCCAGTTGCTCTGACTCTACCCTGAATCAGGGACTACAAGTTGTAAAAAAAAGGGGGGGGGGTGGAAGACAAACTATTTCTGATCAGATTTGAAATGAAACAATATTGCACCTATAACTTTACTGTAAAGTGGACCAAAGTGTCAAAAGTGCTACTAAATCGCCATTCTAATCAGAAATAAAAAAATAAAAGAAACCAGATGTTCCCTGATCGATGAAAGGCACACATCCATGTACATATAAGTGTGTGTGTGTGTGTGTGTGTGTGTGTGTGTGTGTGTGTGTGTGTGTGTGTACGTTTTGAGGAGCGGGCTAAAAGGACTCATCGAAGTCCTTTTTTTGATTGCTTAGCTAAAGTTGAGACTCACAGGGCCAAAGCTGGCGTCCTCCGCTTCATAGACATAATGATCTAAAGATATGAAAAAATATCCGGGTTCCACTTCCTGGCACTGGCGGCCAATCAGATGCGGCCTGCACTGGCATTGGCCAGTTTCACTTGAGCAGCTGAAAAACAAAATGGGTTTCTATTGGACGTCTGCGAGACATTTCATATACCTCTTTCCTCTACATATCGATAGATAGATAGATAGATAGATAGATAGATAGATAGATAGATAGATAGATAGATAGATAGATAGATAGACAGACAGACAGACAGATAGATAGATATAGATAAATTCAAGATATCTAAGAGTAGTGACAGCCACAAGTATAACCCAATCCTAGATATTTCTGCATAATTATAGAAAAGTTTGCAACAAGTTTCACTCATCTATCGATCAACCCAAATGAGTTTCAATTGGACATCATCTTCAGGACATTTTATATGCCTCTTTCCTCTGCACACCAATAAACAAACAAACAAACAAACAAACAAATAAATTCAAGATATCTAAGAGCAGAGACAGCCACCCGTGTCTATAACCCAATCATAGATATTTCTGCGTAATTAAAGAAAAAATTTGCAACGAGTTTCACTCATCTACCAATCAAAACCAAAATGAGTTTCTATCGGACATCTTCGGGACATTTTATATGCCTCTTTCCACTGTACACCCACATACACACACCCACACACACACACCCACCCACCCACCCACACACACACACAAAAGAAATTCAAGACATCCTAAGACTGACAAGCACAAGAGTCTATGACTCAAACCTACGGATATTTCTGCATAAATAAAAGAAAAATTTGAAACAGGTTTCAGTGATCTGTCGATCAACACAGCCACGCAACCATCGTGAATTGTGCATTTTAGCTATTGCCTCCTAGGCAGATATCCCAATACAGATGCTTAGATGCTGATCAGATAAGTGACTTGCAAGCCATCCAATTCAAAACTCGGGAATAATAATAATAATAATAACAACAACAACAACAAGCCTTAAGGACAAATGCATACAAAGTCAAAATTGAGAAGACAGCAAAAGACAGTAAGTGCCGCCTATGCAAAGAAGCTGAAGAAACAGTGGACCACTTGGTAAGCTGTTGCAAGAAGATTGCACAGACTGATTACAAGCAGCGGCATGACAAAGTAGCAACAATGGTGCATTGGAAGATCTGCAAAAAATATCATTTGCCTGTAAGCAAAAACTGGTGGGATCATAAAATAGAGAAAGTCATAGAAAATGATAAAATTAAACTGCTCTGGGACTTCAGAATTCAAACAGACAAGCACCTGCAACATAACACCCCAGACTTAACAATTGTCGATAAGAAAGACAAAAAGTCTGGATAGTGGACGTGGCAGTGCCTGGAGACAGCAGAATAGATGAGAAAGAACTGGAGAAGATAACAAAATACAAAGACCTACAAATAGAAATAGAAAGACTGTGGCAAAAGCAAGCAAGGTAGTACCAATAGTAATAGGCTCCTTAGGTGCAATCCCAAAACAACTGGAGCACCACTTGAACACCATTGGCATTGACAAATTCGCTATTAGTCAATTGCAAAAGGCAGCCTTAACTAGGAACTGCTTCCATCCTGCGACGATATCTATAATACCATCAAACATCCACATCTGCCTATCCCAGGTCCTGGGTAAGGACTCGATAGGTAGACAAAATGCCAAATCCAGTCTGAACGTCTGGCTGACTGTGCGATGATCAATAAATAATAATAATAAATAATATCCATGGAAGCAGGGAGAAACAGTCTCCTTTCTTATGGCATTATTACAATCCCAGATAGATTTCGTCAAACTTCAGATGTTTCCTTTACTGGGCACCCTAATTCCACCCTTTCTTTATGGTTCCCAGGTTGTTTTCCTTCCTTCAAAACCACAACTTAGCTTTTGGGTGCAGCTGTGTGCTCAGATGCTATGCGGTGGCCCTACGGTTTATAGGGGGAAGGATTTTTTTTGTTAAGAACATTCATCTCTTCAGACAATGGTTGCCTAACAGACAAACTAAGGCTGTTAAAAACAGGGATCTGGACGGCTGACGGTTTTAATCTGAAACGTCCGGATGAGTGAGATCATTTTCTTGGGAGAGGAAACAGGAACTCTTGTTGGGTCAAATTCTCTTTGTGAATGACACCCATTTGCAGATGGTTTTGCAATCAAGACATCAGGATGTCCAAAGGTTAGCCAGCTCCCTGGTCCCACTGCGCAATTTTAACAGGACTGTTGAGAGTAGCTACTGCCTGTGTGAGAATCAACTTAGGGAAAAAAAAGATCAGAATAAAAATAAGAGCTGGGTCAAGGTTGATTTCCTCAGAGTGCTGAGACATAAGTCTAAAATGCAGCAAAGAGTTTTGCTGAAGTAATCGGATTATGGAATAGCCATAACAAATTGCCCGGAGTTGCGAGGAACTGAGCGGCATATAAATTTCATACACTATTATTGTCATGGTTCGTCGCGCAGGCAGCCAGATGTTCAGACTGGGATTTGACATTTTTATCCACCTATCGAGTCTTTCACAAAAACCTGGGATGGTCATTTGTTGTTTGATGGTGCTTAGAGATTTGTGTGAGCTGTTTTGAGTCAAGCTGCCTGTTGCAATTGACCGATGGTGAATTTGTCAATGCCGGTGGTTCCAACGGCGCTGAAAAAAGTGATTTATGACCGTTTTTCAGACTTACAACAGTTGCAGCATCCCCATGATCACGTGATCAAAATTTTGGATGCTTGGCAACTGACTCATATTTATGACGGATAAATGTCCCGGAGTCATGTGATCCCCTTTTGTGTCCTTCTTTTTTTTTTTTTTAATTGAAATTTTTCAAAAATTTTACAAATAAACATCCCCCCGCTCCCAAACCACCCCACCCTCCCCCCCCCCCGACTTCCCAGAACTGAATATAGGATTATTTAACAAATTTTAAAAAATAACGTTTACAATTTATAAGATAATTAATAAAAATAATAACGGTCATAATAATAATATATATAATAATATATATAATAATAATATGAATAATATAAGCTTTAAAATGAATAATATATACTAAAAAAGAAAGAAAAAAAAAGAAAAAAAGGGAAAAGAAAAGAGAGAAAGAAAAAAGAAAAAAGTAGACGAAAAATAGAACATATATATATAATATATATATATATAAGTAATAATACGTAAAGAAAAAAAAAGAAGAAAGAAAGAAGGAAAAAACAATCATTACAAGTTATAAAAAAGCTAAATGGTATTTTTCCATATCCAAATTATATTGTATGAAATTTATCCATTTTTCCCATACTGCAAAAAATTTCTCTTGAGATTGCTCCTTTAAAAAAGCCGAAATCTTTGCCATTTCTGCCAGATACGAAACTTTGTGAAACCACTCTTGCAAAATAGGCAAGGATTCCTTCTTCCAATATTGCCCTATTAACAGCCTAGCGGCTGTAATCAAATTTAACATCAATATAACCTCCTTAGCATCACAATCAGTAACAATACCTAGTAAAAATAATTGCGGAGTAAATTTTACCCTCCGTTTAAAAATTCTTTGGATATTCCACCATATCTTAATCCAAAAAGCTTTTATATGCTTACACGTCCACCAAGTATGATAATAAGTAGCATCCAAATGTCCACATCTCCAGCATTTCGGCTGCAGATTAGGGTACATAATAGACATTTTCTTTGGATCAAGGTGCCATCTATAAAACATCTTATAAAAATTCTCTCTTAAATTTTGCGCTTGTGTGAATTTAACATTTCTTATCCAAATAAGTTCCCAGGTATCCATTGAAATCGTTTCACCAATATTCTGTGCCCATTTAATCATACAATCTTTAACTAATTCAGGTTCTGAGTCCAATTCCACTAAAACCCCATAAACTCTCTTAATGTGGGTTGGCCTTTGATCTCTTACTTGTTTTAAAAGAGCTTCATCTTCTCTAAGCCAGCCCATTTTACAATCCATCTTCCATCTATCCACTATTTGTCTGTATTGGAACCATGAATAAGTTAAATTTTCATGCGTTAATTCTTCCAAAGATTTTAACTGCCAATCTTGGCCATCCCATCTAAGTAACTGTGCATAAGAGACCATATCCATATTAACCCCTTTCCTTATGCCTTCTATGGCATGCCGAGGTATAGCCCATAATGGTATTTTGAAGTCACTTTTATAATACTTTCTCCACACTCTAAGCAAAGAAATTCTTATAATATGAGACTTAAAAACCCAATCCACTTTTTTATTAAATATTAAATAGGCATGCCATCCAAAAAGTAAGTCCCAACCTTCCAAATGAAGTATTTCTATATTTGTTAAATTCACCCAGTCGCTCCCTTTTGTGTCCTTCTGACAAGCAAAGTCAATGGGAAAATCAGATTTGTTGAAAATTAAATTCGTTACTAATTTAATAACTGCCGTGATTCACTTAACAACTGTGGCCAAAATATGTCATAAAAAGGGGCAAAATTCACTTAACAAGTGTCTCACTTAGTCACAGAAATGTTCGGTTCAGTTGTGGTCATAGGTCAAGGGCTACCTATACTTTATTAAGTACAAACAAATAGCTGGGCCTATTAGGAAAAGGATTAGAACAGGTTATACCAGGGGTAGGCAACCTTGGCTCTTTTACGACTCGTGGACTTCAACTCCCAGAATTCCTGAGCCAGCATGGCTCAGCTTGGAAACCTCTCCCTTTCCCCTCAGCGTGGCTGGCTCAGGAATTCTGGGAGCTGAAGTCCACGAGTCATAAAGGAGCCAAGATTGCCTACCCCTGGGCTATATCTAAAATACTACAAGGAAAGACTGCTACTGCTTTCTGATTTTCCCCCAGTTGGCAATCCTTTGAAGCAAAATCCAGCGAGATAAAAAACTTTGTCCACTCGAGCAAAAAAGCTAATAGCCGTGCTGGCAAAGGAGACGGAAATTAAAATTCAAATGTATTTAGGAGGGAAGAGTGACTGGATCAAGAGGAAAGGTCAGGAAAGTCAAGGTTGGATGGAGTTGAAATCCTCAAAAAGAAAGAGGTGAAAAGTTTAAATAATAAAAGACAAGGAACGATATGGACGTAACAGAGCAGAGATCATGAACAAGGTCTGGAGAAGTACAGAGACTGTGTTGATATCCGCCAGATTTACTTAAGAATTTTTTTCGTGCCTTTAATTTAGAAGTTTTCAACATTTATCAACCCGAGAATAGAATATTCTAGAAAACTCTAGAACAGGGGTCACCAATCTGTGGTCCGTGGCCCACTACCAGGCCGTGGACTGTTGGCCACTGGGCCGCGTGAGTAGCTGGCACCCCCCCACACACACTCGTGCTAGCGCCGCATGAGCGCTAGCAATGTTGTGAGCGTCAGCTGGGTGCTAGCGTTGCCACAAGCGTACCCCCCCACTCGAGCTAGTGTCGTGGTGTCTTGCGGGCACTAACAATGCCATAAGCGCTGTGGGGGCGCTAGCGTTGCCACGAGTGCATCCCCCCCACTCGCATTAGCGTTACGGCATCATGCCGGCGCTATCGTCGCTGCAAGTGCAACATCCCCATTCTTGTTAGCGTTGCGGCACTGCACGGGCACTAGCGTCACCTGAGTATCGCACGGGTGCTCGTGGCCGTTTGTGGCGAGGGCGCAATCAAGGCCCTGTTCATGTGCACGTGGCCCATTCACTCGTGTGTGCATCCACACACACATCCCGCCCCGGGCCGCCAACGCAGAAAGGTTAGGGACCCCTGTTCTAGAAGGTGGTTCTCTCCTGAACCATACCCACTTAGGAAGATGCATTTAGAAAGTTTATAGGTACGACAGTAGGAATTTAACTTACTTATTGTTGAGTGAACCACCTTGGTCACAATCACAGGGGCGACACCCATCCATATCATTGCTCAGTCCCCAGTTTTCAGGCTGCAAGGGAAGATTTGGGACGTTACAGATACAAGAACATGCACAGAGTCACAGGCCGGACAAAGGACCAACTTGGCCAGGACGAATCTGGACTACAGGTAGTACTTGACTTACAACAGTTTGTTTAGTGACCACTTGAAGTTACACTGGCATTGAAAAAAATGACTGATAGGCATTTTTCAAAGTAGCATCCCCACAGTCATGCGATTTACAAATAAATGCTTGACAACTGACTCACATTTATGACAATGGCAGTGTCCCGGAGTTATGTCATCCCCTTTTGCGACCTTCCGACAGGCAGTCAACAGGATAAACAAGCAGGTTACTAATTTAACCACTGCAGTGATTTGCAAGAAAAGTTGTAAAATGGGGCAAAACTCACTTCACAAATTTCTCACTTAACAACATAAATTATGGGCTCAGCTGTGGTCGTTGAGGACTACCTGTAGTAAGATTGCTTTTCTGATTCTCATGACAATACATCCCTTTCTTCTACAACTGCTATCCTTCCGTGGTTTGATCCATACATGTAGTCCTCACTCAACAACGATTATTGGGACCAGAATTTGCATCGCTAGGCGACATGGTTGTAAAGCACACGGTCATGTGACCCAACTGCTTAGCAACAGCACTTCCAGCACTTCCGGTTGCTGCCATAAAGCGAAGTGTGTGGTCGCCATTTGCAATTTCCTGCTGCTTCTGACAAGCAGGGTCAACGGGGGAATCAGGATTTGCTCAATGACCGCGTGACGATGATAACAACAACAACAACAATAATAATAATGTTGGAAGGGACCTTGGAGGTCATCTAGTCCAACCCCCTGCTCAGGCAGGAAACCCTATGGCTGTCCAGTCTCTTCTTAAAAACTTCCAGTGTTGTAGCATTCACCCCTTCTGGAGGCAGGTTGTTCCACTGGTTAATTGTTCTGTCAGGAAATTTCTCCTTAGTTCTAAGGTTGCTTCTTTCTTTGGTTAGTTTCCATCCGTTGCTTCTTGCCTGCTTTCAGGCACTTTGGAGAATAGCTTGACTCCCTCTTCTTTGTGGCAGTCCCTGAGATACTGGAAGACTGCTACCATGTCCCTCATCATCCTTCTCTTCATTAAACTAGACATACCCAATTCCAGCAACCGTTCTGTATATGTTTTAGCCTCCAGTCCCCTGATCATCTTTGTTGCTATTCTCTGCACTCTTTCTAGAGTCTCAACATCTTTTTTACATTACGGCGACCAAAACTGGATGCCGTATTCCAAGTGTGGCCTTACCGAGGCCTTGTAAAGTGGTATTAACACTTCACGTAATCTTGATTCTATCCTTTTGTTAATGCAGCCCAGCACTGTGTTGGCCTTTTTGGCAGCTGCAGCACATGGCTGGCTCCTGTTTAAGGGATCGTCCACTAGGACTCCGAGATCCCTCTCACAGTTACTACTGTTGAGCCAAGTACTCCCTATACTATACCCGTACATTTGGTTTTTCTTGCCTAAATGTAGAATCTTACTGCACTGATTTGCTTAACAACTGTGGTAATAAAAGACTGTCACACTGGGCGCCACTCAGAACAACCACCTTGCTTAGCAACAGAAATTCAGGCCTCTGTTGCAGTTGTAAGCTGAGGACTCCCTATCTACGTTAACCTCTGTGGCATGCCATTGAGATTAATTACAGGTAGTCCTCGACTTACGGCTGCAGTTTAGCCCAACATTTCTGCCGCTAAGCGAGACATTTATTAAAGTGAGTTTTGTCCCATTTTATGACCTTTCTTGTCACAGTTGTTATGTGAATCCCTGCAGTTGTTAAATTAGTAACACGGTTGTTAAGTGAATCCGGCTTCCCCTTGTCAAAAGGTTTCAAAAGGGGATCAGGTGACCCCGGGACACTGCGACCGTCGTAAATATGAGTCAGTTGCCCAGCGTCCGAATTTTGATCACGTGACCGTGGGGATGCTGCGAAAGTCATGTGAAAAACAGTCAGATATCACTTTTCTCGGTACCGTTGTAACTTGGAACGGTCACTAAATGAGCCAAAGACTACCTGTAAATTGGATCTTTGAAATACAATTACTCCAAAAGGTTTCTGCCTTTTCCTTCTTTCAATCTATATATTATTTTATAAGCTGGAGAACGTACCAGACATTGATCGCACTGCCTTCCGGTAACCAGACGTTTACAGTAGCAGTTTCCTGTCTCGGAGTCACAAGGATTCCCTCCGGGATGCGTGCCCAATGGATTGCAAGCACAAGCTATATTAGGAAGAGCGAGTAAATAAATCAGGAATTAGCGTGTTTTGATTAATGTCGGGTGTACAAGACTTGCCACAAATATTTATCTCAATACCGTCACTCATTTTTCTCCAGAGGCTTAATGACAAATTGTTTCCTCTCTTTCCCTTTGCGGTTTCCGTTTTATGAGTTGGGCTTATGTTTGCTTAGGTGTATTTAACTGTAGGCCAAGATAATGAACAAGAGGACCAAAATTACAATCAGGAGTAATGTGCCGTCAATGCAATCTAGACAAGATGAAAGAAAAGCATCAAATACAGAAGTGTATCCAAAGTTTGAGCAAACTGTTATTGGTCTGACACTTTGGAATAAAAAAGTGCGTATAGTCCAGGCCATGGTTTTCCCAGTTGCAATGGATGGCTGTGAAAGTTGGACCATAAGAAAGGCTGAGCACCAAAGAATGGAGGCCTTTGAACTATTGTGCTGGAGAAGACTCCTGCGAGTCCCCTGGACTGCAAGGCGATCAAACCGGTCAGTCCTAGAGGAGATCAACCCCGACTGCTCTTTAGAAGGCCAGATCCTGAAGTTGAAACTCAAGTACTTTGGCCACCTAACGAGAAGGAAGGACTCACTGGAGAAGGGCCTAATGCTGGGCAAGATTGAGGGCAATAGGAGATGGGGACAACAGAGAATGAGGTGGCTGGATGGAGTCACTGAAGCAGCAGGCGTGAGCTTAAATGGACTCCAGAAGTTGGTAGAGGACAGGAAGGCCTGGAGGAACGTTGTCCATGGGATCGCGATGGGTTGGACATGACTTTGTAACTAACAACAACAACTCTGGAATATACAACTCAATAATACACTGGGAAGCTCATCACAGTTAAATACAGGCATCTGCACAGGCGTCAGGAAGGGCATCCATTTAGTAAATTCTCAGCTCCATCTAGTCTCCGGAACTCTACCCCAAATTAAGAGATTACAGGGTCATAAAAAGGAATATTTTCAGAGTATTTCCACAAGGAATAGAATTCAAGGGAACTACTGCTTCAGAAAGAAATTGAACAATTCCACTCTAAAATGTTGTGTACGCAAGGGTGTCCCGTAGGTGCGAAATTTGATAAATGAATAAAATAGGCACAACTTCAACTTAGACTCACACTGACAGCCGAGAGGGTCGTCTATGCTTAATCCATAAAATCCTTCTTTGCAGGTGTCACAACGTTCCCCTTCCACAAAGAATTTGCAGCGACACTGTCCTGCGATGAGGCCAGCTGAGTAGTCGGTGTAACGATCACAAATTCCGCCATTTTGAGACCCGACGGGGTCGCAGTTACACGCTAAATGAAGAAATACATTTTCTAATTGCATCGACACCACCATACAAAAACATACAGGTAGTTCCTCAACTTACGACCACAACGGAGTCCAAAATTAAGGAATGGATATTAGCACAGAGTATTAAAATCATCTTTTATAACTTAGTGTTCTCCCTTTCTTTTAATCTATACATCTCATTAACTCAGAATGACAAATAGGATTTCCTTATTTCATTCACTGCAAATAGTTCTCCACAACTGTGCCCCAAATTTCCATTGTGTAGCAAGGCAGCTGTGTTAAGTGAGTTTTGCCCCATTTTATGACTTTTCTTGCCACGGTTAAGCGCATCGCTGCGGTTGTTAAGTGAATCATGCCATCGTTAAGTAAATCTGGCATCCGCTATTGACTTTGCTTGTGGGAATCCGGCTGGGAAGGCCGCAAAAGGGGATCACATGACCCTGGGACAATGCAACGGTCATAAATGCGAGCCGGTTGCCAGGCAGCCAAATTTTGATCACATGACCGCAGGAAGGCTGCAACGGTCGTAAGTGTGAGAACCGCTCGTAAGTCGCTTTTTTCGGTGCCGCTGTAACTTTGAGCGGTCACTAAACAAACTGTTGTAAGTCAAGGACTAGTTGCACAATCGAACAAATCATTGTGTGCATTACTCAGCGATTGTGAATCTCCTACAGAATTTTGGGGGAGCAGCACATATGGAGAAAAAACATACTCCATTTCTAAATGATGGAATAATTCTATAAAATATTCCATTTGTAGATTTCAGCTAACCTGGTGTGTACACATAGATTTGGTCAGGGGTAGGCAACCTTGGCTCTTTTATGACTCGTGGACTTCAACTCCCAGAATTCCTGAGTCAGCCATGCTGAGGGGAAAGGGAGAGGTTTCCAAGCTGAGCGATGCTGGCTCAGGAATTCTGGGAGTTGAAGTCCACGAGTCATAAAAGAGCCAAGGTTCTCCACCCCTGCCCTATATCAGGGGTACTCAACCTTGGCAACCTTAAGACTCGTGGACTTCAACTCCCAGAATTCCTGAGCCAGCATGGCTCAGCTTGGAAACCTCTCCCTTTCCCCTCAGCGTGGCTGGCTCAGGAATTCTGGGAGTTGAAGTCCACAAGTCATAAAAGAGCCAAGGTTGCCTACCCCTGGATTTGGTAGAAGGAAAGCGAGACAGCTAAGTAAGACAGTAATTAAGGGAGTTTTGCCCCATTCTATGACCTTTCTTGCCACAGTTGTTAAGTGAATCACTGTGACTGTTAAGTTATTAACACGGTCGTTAAATGAATCTGGCTTCCCCATTGACTTGATCTGACAGAAGGTCCCAAAAAGGGACCACATGACCCCCTAAAATAAATGCCAGTTGCCAAATGTCTGAATGTGGATCCCGTGAGCACAATTGTAACTGTGAACAGTCACTAAATAAATGGTTGTACGTCAAGGGCTGCATGCATTTCCTGAGAAAAAAACGACAAGACTCACGTTCACAAATATGCGGATCGCGGACATCCCTCTCCGGATGTTGGAAGTAGAAGGGCTTGCACTGCTCACAATTGTGCCCCACCGTGTTATGTTGACAATCGTCACACACCCCACCGCTGGTGTTTCCAGTCGCTAAGTAAACAGCCATATCGAAATGGCACTGCACGGAATGCTCGTTGCAATTGCACTCTTAAGAGAACAAGGGAAAAAATAAGTTTGGTAAATTAAATAAATAAGTAAAAAGCGATAGCCTAGCACAGGGGCAGACAACCTTGGCTCTTTTATGATGCGTGGACTTCAACTCCCAGAATTCCTGAGCCAGCCACGCTGGCCCAGGAATTCTGGGAGTTGAAGTCCACGCGTCATAAAAGAGCCAAGGTTGCCTACTCTTGGCCTAGCATGACAAAGGACAGTCCCTAATCTCTTTCAACAGGGGTCTCTGACCCCTGGGCTGTGGCCCGATATTAGATCATGGCCCGTTTGGAACCGGGCCACAAAATCGGCAGGCACGCACCCGCACTTGTGTGCACAGCTCCATTTGCACAAGTAGCGGACACTCGTCCGCGTGCGTGAAGCTCCATTTGTGCGAGCGGCACCCTAACCCTAATCCGCCACTTGCACAAATGGAGCTTTGTGCACGCGCGAGTGCCCGCCGCTCACACAAATGGACGCACCTCTCTTAGAAAAAGCACGCAACACCAGGCCAGGGGGAAAGATAAGGTCCTATTCTCAAATATTAGCACAAAATCCAGCCCTTCTGTAATTTTGATTTCTAATCTTTCTAGTCTTTGATTTCCCCAAATTTACCAATTCTACTTTCTATGTTCTGCTCTTCAAAAACAGAATGCTCATGATAGAACATTTCTAGCCGAATTAATTTGCATCCCTTGGACCAGTGGTGGGATTCAAATACCTGAACAACCGCTTCTCTTATTGGATGCAGGCCTGGGTCTCCGAGGCCTAGAATGGACTTCCGGAAGTGGCATCCACGCACTTCTGGTGCACTGTTCTAGGCTGGGAAGGCCTCCTCCAGGCCTCCGAGGCCTAGAACAGACTTCCGGAAGTGGCATCCACGCACTTCCGGTAGGCTGTTCTAGGCTGGGGAGGCCTCCTCCAGGCTTCCGAGGCCTAGAACAGACTTCCAGAAGTGGCATCCACACACTTCCAGTGGGCCGTTCTAGGCTGGGGAGGCCTCCTCCAGACCTCTAAGGCCTAGAATGGATTTCAGGAAGCACTGTGCATTCAGCCGCTTCTCCAAACTCAGCAAAATTTAGCTACCGGTTCTACCGAACCGGTGCGAACCGGCTGAATCTCACCACTGCCTTGGACTATTCATAAAAGGACAGATGGGCACAGCCGAGATCAAGCTTCAGTGGCATAGACCAGTGTTTCGCAATCTTGGCAACTTTAAGACATGTGAACTTCAATTCCCAGAATTCCTCCAGCCTACTGGGCAGGCTGGGAAATTCTGGGGATTGAAGTCCATACCGCAGAGATCTCTGAAGTCCACTAAGCAGTGATTAACATAGTTAGGCTTACTTTTGCAGGCGTTGCTGTTACGGCCTTCGGCGGGACGCCATGGCAAATCATGGTAAAAATCCAAGCACTGCTCACAGTTTAAGCCTTTGGTGTTGTGCCGACACATGCAGTGGCCGTGGACCTTTCACAAAATGAGACCGGAAGGTACGAGTTCAGAGCAAATGACATACTTAAAAAGATAAGCAATTGCCTCCCCTTTGCAAACCAGGAACACACGCAAAGCATTCTCATGTCGGTTTTCTCAACCTCAGCAACTTTAAGATGTGTGTACTTCAACTCCCAGAAGCCCCCTGGGCTGGAGAATTCTGGGAGTTGGAGTCCACTATGGAATAGGGAATGTGATTCTCGGTCTTGGAATGGAATGGTGATGACAGTTTGTTGCAAGAAAACAACTGCAAGAGAGCACCAAGGACCCCACAGTCCTCCTTCTCCTTCTCCTCTCCACAAATCCTTCTAGCACTGATGATGTGACCTAGTTGGGTATTGAAACGTCTGCAAGAGAACAACCAAGCTTAGAGAGCACCAAGGACCCCACAGTCCTCCTCCTCCTTTTCACAAACCCTTCTCCCTTCTAGCACTGATGATGCTACCTAGTTGGGTAATGAAACGTCTGCAAGAAAACAGCCACGTTCCGAGAGCATGAAGGACCCCCCCTCAGATTCCATTTTAGATGAAAGTTGTTTTCTGTTGTCAATCAAGGACGACGCTTTCCAACGTCAGTGTCAGAATGACAATGAAATGGCAACAGGAAAGAGAGATGGACGTTTACCATTCCTTCCACCTCTTCTTCATAGCCATGCACCGGGGCGCATTCACTGGCGTGTCCGTAACAGAAGCAGTTCCCGCGGACCACCATGTCGTAAATAGCATAATAATACTTTTCTCTGATCTCCATCCTTGAATCCAGAAGATTATCTCCCAGGGTGTGCAGTTTGGCAAATTGGATTCTTAAATTTGTAATCTTTAACATATCTAAAAAAAAGGAAAAAACAAAACAAAAACAAGAAAACGTGTGTACACGAATCTTTCTAAGAACGTTTACAACCGACAGACGTGACTACAGCCATAACCGACGGTTCCAAATTGGAAGTCGGGATCCTGCCCCTATTTCACACGTTAATAGATATTACAGATTAATTAATGATAGCCAGTTCAGTTTTAGAATAAGAGGAGGCCTTTCTATTTTGCTGCCTTAAGAGCCCCAAAATGGTAAAGTCAAGTCCTCAATTTACAACAATTCTGTTCGAAGTTACAAAGGCAATTCCTGCAATGTATGGAATGGCTATCTTGCTTTGTTTATTGTTTTCTTCTTCATCTGTTATGGAGGACACAGGACTGCCTGTGTATCATTGGTGAAGAATTCTATTTTGACTCAAAGGGCACGAGTTACTCCAATCTATGAGACAATGGAGAACAACTACAAAGCCACTTCAAACTACAAGAGAGATCTATTCTTAGCTTGAGTATGTTCTCTGAAGCCCTTAACTACCCGGTTACAGGGTGAATTCCTTTGCCAAAAGGTTGCCAACCCCTTCTGATGTTGCATTAGCTGGGGACATTTTGTGGATGGAACATATAAAAACTGTCCCCTCTTCCTTTTTAAAGCAATCCTACTTTTCGAATCACCGCAAGGAGATCAAATCAGTCGGTCCTAAAGAAAATCAACCTTGACCGTCCTTGGGAAAGACAGATCCCGCAGCTGAAGCTCAAAGACTTTGGCCACCAAAGGAGAAAAGAGGACTCCATGGAGGAAACGCAGATGTTGGGAAAGGTGGAAGGCAAAAGGAGAAGGGAACGGCAGAGGAGGGTATGGTTAGAGAACATGAATTTGGACAACCCACTGGAGGACGAGGGGGTTCGGCGCGGTCCCTGGGATCGCAAAGAGTTAGAGGCTTAGTGACTAAACAACAACAATTTGAATCAGATTTTATCTAATGATTTCCAGCCAAGCTAAGCTTTCCGATTATATCATGCATCAGGCCACTTTATTTCCCTGATTAAGCTAGTGGTGAAGACGTTCACCTCCCACTTGGAAGGTTGAGAGTTCAATCCTTGGTAGAGGCAGATGTTTCTCTTGTCGGGCACAGTGAAAAAATATATGCTGTGACCTCCACATAGGCATCAGGAAGGGCATCCAGCCAGCAAACTCTCAGCTCCCTCCAGTCGCCCCAACTCTACCCCCAATTAAAGGATTCCAGGGTCGTAAATAGGGAGTATATAAAAAAGCTTTCATATATTGAAAATAATACCTGCTATTGCTTACATTTTTTAAAACAGATAAGACTGTTCTTGCATCAGGAGTGCATGCAAATGCCATTTCTTCTGTTGTTTTTGAAAGTCAGCAAAATACTAATCCAAGCATACAATCAGATAGCTTATAACTTAAGTACCGGATCATACTTGTAATTGTTTTACTACCTTCAGTGCTTTTATTTTATTTATAATTCGTTTTTCTTTCATCTTAGACTTCAAACAGACGTAAGCACATGTCTCATCCAGACACCCCCTCCAAGCATTTGACCTGACTGAAACTTGCTTAGCTTCATCAAAGTTTCTCCATAATACACCTGGGAGTGTACTAAGGGCCTTCCCTCATTTCACTAATCCTAGGGAATTAGGAAGAAAATAATCTCAAAGATTTACACGAATAAATAAGCTGAAAGAATCAAGATAATTCACCCTAAGTGCTTTTAAACATAACTAATAGCTGCTATTATTAAAAGCTCCAATGAAACAGGTCTGGGTTTTTTTTAAGGGTTGACGTTACCAAGACTTTGAAAACTTAATTATGCTCCCATTAATCTTTCTGGATGATGGGTATCCCAAAAGATTTTAGCCCGCTTTCATGAAGTCGTAAGGACCCTTGTTTATCAGCTTCTTTGATCTCAGTGGGAAGGCAGGTTGGTGTTAATGAAAATTCTTTGGCAAGAAGATAGAACTGTGGAGTTGACATGAAGTTCAACTGAGGCCTACTGAGTTTTGGCCACCATCGACGAAGAGAATGTATTGTTCACCAGATGTAGTGTCTAGAGATGGGTTGGTTTTTTTTTAATTACAGCCATATGCTCGCCTCGTTAGAAAGCAAGTTGTGCAATTCTCAGAGCACTAACTGTCTCTAAAAAAATATTGAGTAATTTTGACCTACCAAGACAAAGCTAGCATGCATTTGACGCAAAACATAAAAGAGGATATTGTGAACATACTTTGAATCCGTGGGCTGTAGGGGTCTTCTATTCGAAAAGCAGGATCCAAAGCTCGGTAAATGACCTGAAAGGGAACACGTCAATATGAGAGAGATCTCTGCTTTGCAAATACAGGCAGTCCTCGACTTACAACAGTTCATTTAGTGACTGTTCAAAAGGCACTGAAAAACGTGACCGTTTTTCAACGTTATGACCTTTGCAGCATCCATCAAAATTCAGACACTTGGCAAATGATTCGTATTTATGACGGTTGCAGGGTCCCGGGATCACGTGATCTCCTTTTGCGACCTTCTGACAAGCAAAGTCAATGGGGAAGCCAGATTCACTTAACAACTGTGTGTCTGACTGATCCCCTGGATTGATTCACTTAGCGAGAAAGATTGGTCCCCAATCTTTCCAGCTTTGCGGACTGGGCGAAGGGGAGTGAGGAAATGGTTGTGTGTGAGCAGCAGGCGTGTGTACTTGCGCGCACAGCTCCATTTGTGCGAGTGGCGGTTTAGGGTTAGGATGCCGCTTGCACAAATGGAGCTTCACATGCGTGCGAGTGTCCGCTACTTGTGCAAATGAAGCTGTGTGTCATGGTTAATCTGAATTCCCCTCCACTGAACACATAGTATCAAAGAACAATTCCCTCCTCTAATTTACAGTCATAAATCACAGTCTCCAATTAGTTTGAAATGCAGACTTTCCCTCCTGTTCTCCATCCTGCCATTCCTTATCAGTTCTTATTGCAAAAGCCCTGAATTCACACACTATTACAATATTGTTATGTCTAACTCCATCACATTCTTCCTCTTCCCCCAGTATCATCTAATTCTAAGAGTAAAGCATAAGAAAGAAAAAGGCTGCATCTCCATATGTTGTCAAAGCAAGAATATCCAATGTTTGCAGCATTGACATTGCGCACACAAGCGGGCCTGCCTGCTGCTTTCGTGGCCTGGTTCCAAATGGGCCACAGGCCTAGTACCGGGCCATGACTTGGGGGTTGCGGACCCCTGTCATAAAATGGAGCAAAACACACAATAAATGTCTCACTTAACAACAGAAATATTGGGCTCAAATGTGGTCATAAGTTGAGGACAACCTGTAAGGTCTTTAAACATATATAGATGACCAACCTCTCCCTCGGTGGAAGGTTCAATGTCAGAATAGCGGGAATCACAAATAATGTCGTCGACTTTCTTCATGGGTCCAGTGGAGACGCCTGGGAACGAATTCTCACAGTCGTAGGCAAAATAACGGTAGACTTGCCACGTTTTGCCGAAATCGGATGATCTTTCAATTAACATGGCAGAAGGACGGAAGGTCTAAAAACAAACACAACCGAGAGGAGTTGGTTTTAGGTCACTCGGAGTTGCAAAATCGTTTGCCTTTCTGTCGATATTGGAAAGTTAATTTTCCTTTCTTACTCTCTTTTCTGTTTTTTTTTTTAATCCATGTCCTCACATATATTTTTATTTTACTTTAGTATCTATTTTTATCCCGGGGAATGGGGCTGATCCAAAGTCACACAGCCAGCTTTCATGTCTAAGGTGGGACTAGAACTCACAAACTTCTAGTGATTGACCCAAAGTCACCCAGCTGGCTTTCATGCCTAAGGTGGGACTAGAACTCACAGACTCCTGGTGATTGGCCCAAAGTCACCCAGCTGGCTTTCATGCCTAAGGTGGGACTAGAATTCACAGACTCCTGGTGATTGGCCCAAAGTCACCCAGCTGGCTTTCAAGCCTAAGGTGGGATTAGAACTCACAGATACCTAGTAATTGGCCCAAAGCCACCCAGCTGGCTTTCATGCCTAAGGTGGGACTAGAACTCACAGACACCTAGTGATTGGCCCAAAGTCACCCAGCTGGCTTTCATGCCTAAGGTGGGACTAGAACTCACAGACTCCTAGTGATTGGCTAAAGTTACCCAGCTGGCTTTCAAGCCTAAGGTGGGACTAGAACTCACAGACACCTGGTGATTGGCCCAAAGCCACCCAGCTGGCTTTCAAGCCTAAGGTGGGACTAGAACTCACAGACACCTAGTGATTGGCCCAAAGCCACCCAGCCAGTTTTCATGCCTAAAGTGGAACTAGAACTCACAGACACCTAGTGATTGGCCCAAAGTCACCCAGCTAATGCCTAAAGGGGGATTAGAACACACCCTGTTGTGAACTGTAAACAAAAGTTACGTTTTTGAATCTTCCTTTAAGTCATGCTTCAAAAATTAGTAGTGTGTTTTTTTTCTGAGTGAAAATCCTCAGAGGATGCAACCTCTTGCACCTCTTTCCCCCCCCCCAAAAAAAGAAAAAAGTGTTATTTTAAATCCTAGGGTGCATCTGCCCTGCCAGGACATCTGTGGGACAGGAAAACAACATTTTGTATACAGATGTTTTCTTCTCCGCCCCCAAAGGCCATTTCCATTGCCAAAAGGGAGGGACTTTAAAAGCCAATATGTCTTGTTGTCTTAAATAATTGCATAACTTAAATAACTGACTTTAAAAGCCAATATGTCTTGTCTTAAATAACAATAAGACAACAAGCCAATATGTCTTGTTGTCTTAAATAACTGCATTGTGGAAGTTTGGCAAATCTGGGACACCAGCCTTAGGAATTAATGCCCAGCAAATGTGATGGCCTTCAAAAAGCCCACACAATTCTCACTTCTGCAGCAACAAAAAGTCAGGGATCAGAACTTCCCAGCTGTAGGAAAACAAGAGATGCAGAAGAAATCTTTCTCCATTTTGTGAGGGTTTGGAGATTCATTCAAAGCAGTTCTTATCTTAAAAATGCAGAACAGGCCAATTAAATTGCACCATAAAAAACGCTGGAATTTGTTGTCTGTCTTCCCTCTTGAATTCCAGGATTAATCTTTTTTTAAAAAAAAAATCCTTTAGTGCCTCTTATCTTACATGCGGGGGAAAATGCCAGTTAAACCTTTGACTGGCATCTAGGGCCAGGATATGGGGCTCTTCTTTGCTGTTGGAGGAAAATGTTATGGATTTTTTTTTTTTTTACCTTGAAGGTCATAATGAGGTGGGTAAAATGGAATTCCGCCTCTAGATCCAATTGGACAGTCACGTTTTCTACTCCTGCAGGACGGAAAGAGGGGGGGGGGGAAGAGAAGGTTTCGTTGTAAACAAGAACATTTGTTAAAAATCGAATTCCATCTCTTGAATTCCCCAGAGGGAAAAAGGCAGGGCTTTGAACCAAATCCTTTCTTTCTTTCTTTCTTTCTTTCTTTCTTTCTTTCTTTCTTTCTTTCTTTCTTTCTTTCTTTCTTTCCTTCCTTTCTTAATTCTCTTTCTCTCTTTAATCCGTCCCTTACTCTTTCCAATCTCCTTCCTTCCTTCCTTCCTTCCTTCCTTCCTTCCTTCCTTTTAAACCCTCCCTCTTTCCCATCCCTTTCCTTTCTTCCTTCCTTCCTTCCTTCCTTCCTTTTAAACCCTCCCTCTTTCCCATCCCTTTCCTTCCTTCCTTCCTTCCTTCCTTCCTTCCTTCCTTCCCTTCCTTCATTTCTTCCTTTCTTCCTTCCCCTTTCTCTCTTTAATCCCTCCCTTCCTTTTTCCCATCTCCCTCCCTTCCTTCTTTCTTCTCTTTCTAAACCCTCCCTCTTTCCAATCCTTCTTTTTCTTCCATCCTTTCCTTCCTTTCTTTCTTCCCCTTTCTCTCTTTAATCCCTCCCTTCCTTTTTCCATCTCCTTCCTTCCTTCTTCCTTTTCTTTTTAAACCCTCCCTTTCCCATCCCCTTCCTTTCCTTCCTTTTCTTCTTTCCTTTCCTTCTTTCCTTTCTTTCTTCCCCTTTCTCTTTAATCCCTCCCTTCCTTTTTCCCATCTCCTTCCTTCCTTCCTTCTTTCCTTCCTTCCTCTCTCTCTCTCTCTCTCTTTCTTTCTCTCCTTAAATCTCTTCTTTCCCTCCCTCCTTCGCACAACACAGGTTATTTCCCAGCAGAAGCAAAATATATTCATAGTGGTGTCTGACTTGTTGTATGCTTTAAAAAGTGAAAAAGCATGCCACTAATTGCATATGTACAGTCTTCACAGGACTATTTCCGAGTTCTTCACATCCCATCCCGATGCAGCCTACCGTTTTCTGATTGCCACCACAGCTTCAGGCGATTGGGAGCAAAAGCGGTCACCACGTTTTCAATACGATGGTTGTCCGGATTCAAGGTCTCGTGGAACGGATCGCGTGAATCGCACGTAAAACATTTCTTGTCCTCCTGAAATAAGCAAGACAAAAATCAAGTGTGCAACAGTGATTATTTCTGGTACTGAAACTTCGTTAAATTCTCACTTCACTGGACCCATTCAAGTCCAAGTTAATGTCCAACATACTGGGGTCCCAACAGAACAGAACAGAATGGAATGGAGCGGAACGGAACAGAACAGAATAGAATTGAGTAGAGTAGAATAGAACAGAACAGAATAGATGGAATAGAATAGAACAGAACGGAACGGAGTGGAGAGGAGTAGAGTGGAGTGGAGTGGAGTAGAGTAGAGTAGAGTAGAGTAGAGTAGAACAGAACAGATGGAATAGAATTGAATAGAATAGAATAGAATTGAGTAGAGTAGAATAGAACAGAACAGAATAGATGGAATAGAATAGAATAGAATAGAATAGAATAGAATAGAATAGAATAGAATAGAATAGAATAGAATGGAATGGAATGGAATGGAATGGAATGGAGTGGAGTGGAGTGGAGTGGAGTGGAGTGGAGTGGAGTGGAGTGGAGTAGAGTAGAGTAGAGTAGAGTAGAGTAGAGTAGAGTAGAGTAGAACAGAACAGATGGAATAGAATTGAGTAGAATAGAATAGAATTGAGTAGAGTAGAATAGAACAGAACAGAATAGATGGAATAGAATAGAATAGAATAGAATAGAATAGAATAGAATGGAATGGAATGGAGTGGAATGGAATGGAATGGAATGGAGTGGAGTGGAGTGGAGTGGAGTGGAGTGGAGTGGAGTAGAGTAGAGTAGAACAGAACAGATGGAATAGAATTGAATAGAATAGAATAGAATTGAGTAGAGTAGAGTAGAACAGAACAGAACAGAATAGATGGAATAGAATAGAATAGAATAGAATAGAATAGAATGGAATGGAATGGAATGGAATGGAGTGGAATGGAGTAGAGTAGAACAGAACAGATGGAATAGAATTGAGTAGAATAGAATAGAATTGAGTAGAGTAGAACAGAACAGAACAGAACAGAATAGATGGAATAGAATTGAGTAGAATAGAAAATAAATTGAGTAGAGTAGAAAATAAATTGAGTAGAGTAGAATATGACAGATGGAATAGAATTGAGTAGAATATAATTGAGTAGAATAGAACGGAACAGAACAGAACAGAATAGAGCTGGAAGGGACCTTGGAGGTCTTCTAGTCCAGCCCCCTGCTCAAGCAGGAGAATCTATACTAAATGAACTGTTGTAAGTCGAGGACCCCCTGTACTTAGCTACTGCATTATATTTCAGTTGTTAAAATTGTAGATCTCAGCACTAACAGGGATGTGATCCCTTTCCAGGAAACAGCTCTCAAAATTAAGTCACCGCCATGCAAGGACGTTAACGCAAGCTCCTGGACGCTGACCTATTTCCTGGCATATTTTTTTAAGCCAACTCTCTTTAATTGTTCCCCATTTCCTCCATTTTGCTTGGAAATTTCGGATCCAGGATACAAACGCCACAATTTTCTCCTAAGCCTGCACTGTTAAAAAAACCAACCAGATGCCTCCACTCGCTTTCCTTCCCTTTCCTCACTGCTCTTCATGTGCTAAATTTAAGATTTGCAAACACCAGAGAGCTATCTAGCCTAATTCTGCAAAACAGCCCAATCCCGAGAAGTCGACGTTATTCTCTTTACTGGCACAAAGGCTTTGATGCTTTTCGCTCCGACTGCTTTCCAACAAACCGAAGACTTCCATTTTTGGAAATTGGGACTCCTTTATTTGCCTCCATCCGTCATGTTGTTGGACCTGCTGGTAATTTTCTATCCATCCAACCACCTAAAATTTGGAACTCTGACTTTCTCCAGAAATATTTATGAATCACTCTCACTTTTTAAGATAAACATTTCTACCTTTGGAGTTAAACAAACGGTGACGGGGGGAACCTTCTGAGTTGCAAAATGGGAGAACAGCTACAGTCACGGCGTTCTATAACATCGCATACAAATTGTACCAAAAATACTAAAAGGAAAAACACTGGGTTACTTGTGAACAGGGAGCAGAGGTAGTTCCTGGTTCCGATCAATTTGCACAAATCAAGGAGAGAAGCAACCTGGAACTAAGGACGTTGTGGGTGCTTCATCACTGGAGGTTTTTAAGAAGAGATTAGTTAACCATTTGTCCAAAATGGTATAGGGTTTCCTACTCGAGCAGGGGGTTGGAGTAGATGACCTCCAAGGCCCCGTCCAACTCTGTTTGCAAGCAGATATTGACTTAACGGATTAACAAGTCTGTGAAAGGAACAGTAGATCACTGGGACTTGATCACCTTCAAGCAGGTTGGACTACTGTCTCCAGAATTCCTAGCTAGAGAAGTCAATATCTGCCTGCAAATCCTTGTACAACTAGTCCTCATGACCATAACTTACGAGCTCAAAATTTCTGTTGCTAAGTGAGACACTTGTTTTCCCCCCATTTTATCTTTCTTGCCGCAGTGAATCATTGCAGTGGTTAAACTAGCAACTTGGATTTTAAATAAATCGGGCTTCCCCATCGATTTTGCTTGTCAGAAGGTTACAAAAGGGGATCACGTGATCCCCCAGGATGCTGTAACCGTCCTAAATAGCATCCAGTTGCCCAGCGTCTGAATTTTGATCTCCTATGGGGATGCTGCAATGGTCATAAGTGTGAAAAACGGTCATAAGTCAGTTTTCAATACTGTTGAATGATTGTAAGTTGAATCCTATTTTTGTAGGATTTTTGAATCGTATTTTTGTTGGATTCAAAGTATATACTTCTGTCTTGGTTAATGAAGTATATTTTCTTTTTCCAAGGATGTTTTAGAAAGAGAAAGGCTGATTTAGTTTTATCCCTATGGTTATATATTTTGACATAGGTTGCAATTGAGGAAGTGGTTAAAAATCTCTCTCTTGTAGGCCACGCTTGAGTGCAAACATTCAGCTGGCTATTTCTTATTAATATAGTTAGAAACACTGCATCATAAAAGCATCCACTGTTACATTCCTACATGAACAATTCTGGCGTAATAGTACTCATAACTACACTGCCCGTTTGTACTTCACATAGATTAGGGGTCTTCAAACTTGGCCCCTTTATGACTGGTGGACTTCAACTCCCAGAATTCCTCAGTCGGCCATTTTGATGAAACTGCAGGCCTGGATCCAGACCAGGGGCCTTCAAACTTAGCCTTTTTATGACTGGTGGACTTCAACTCCCAGAATTCCTCAGCCAGCATGCCTGGCTGAGGAATTCTGGGAGTTGAAGTCCACAAGGACCGAATTTGAAGAGCCCTGACATAGATAGATGAATAAGCTTTTGAAAACCAGAGACCACGTTTAAAATTTTGAGAGTCTAGGGCAGGGGTAGGCAACCTTGGCTCTTTTATGACTCGTGGACTTCAACTCCCAGAATTCCTGAGCCAGGAACCTTCTTTGGGACTTGGGTGCAATCCCAAAACATCTGGAAGCGACTTGAACCCCATCAGCACTGACAAAATAACCCATCAGTCAATTGCAAAAGGCAGCTTTACTTGGCACAGTTTCCACCTTGCAAAGACGCCTGTAACACCATCAAACATCCACATCTGGTTATCTCAGATCCTTGGGAAGGGCTCGATGCCAAATCCAGACTGAACATCTGGTTGACTGTGCAACAAATAATAAAGACAAACTTTCCATCTGTCAGTTACAAGAAGCCGCAATGCATGGATCTGGATATATACTACATTGATAAAGAATAGAATAGAATAGAATAGAATAGAATAGAATAGAATAGAATAGAATAGAATAGAATAGAATAGAATAACAGAGTTGGAAAGGACCTTGGAGGTCATCTAGTCCAACCCCCTGCTCAGGCAGGAAACCCTATACCATTTCGGACAAATGGCTGTCCAGTCTCTTCTTAAAAACTTCCAGTGTTGGAGCATTCACAGCTTCTGGAGGCCGGTTGTTCCACTGGTTAATTGTTCTGTCAGGAAGTTTCTCCTTAGTTCTAGGTTGCTTCTCTCCTTGATTAGTTTCTACCCGTTGCTTCTTGTCCTGCCTTCAGGTGCTTTGGAAAATAGCTTGACTCCCTCTTCTTTGGGGCAGTCCCTGAGATACTGGAACACTGTTATCATGTCCCCCCTTATCCTTCTCTTCATTAAACTAGACATACCCAATTCCTGCAACCGTTCCTTATGTATTTTAGCCTCCAGTCCTCTGATGTATTATAAAACATGATAGGTTTTGGGGAAGAATCGTGAAGGAAACCTAACACCAACTGCAAAAGAAATGGCAGCTGTGATTTCACATGATTGTATATGTAATGATAATAATGAACCTAAACAAAACATGAGGAAAGGGTCTGTCTCTCTCTTTCTCTCTCTCACTTTCTATCTCTTTCTGTGTCTGTTTTTTCTCTCTTTCTTTCTCTGTCTCTCTTATTCTCTCTGTCTCTCTCTATCTCTTTCTCTCTGTTTTCTCTTTTTCTTTCTGTCTCTCTGTCTCTATTTTTTCTCTTTCTTTTTCTGTCTCTTTCTCTGTGTCTCTGTCTGTCTCTCTTTCTCTCTGTTTTTTCTCTCCTTCTTTCTCTGTCTCTTATTCTCTCTGTGTGTGTCTCTGTCTGTCTCTCTCTCTCTCTCACTTTCTATCTCTCTGTTTTTCTCTTTCTTTTTCTGTCTCTTTTATTCTCTCTCTGTCTGTCTCTCTCTGTCTGTCTCTCTCTGTGTCTGTTTTTTCTCTTTCTTTTTCTGTCTCTTTCTCTCTCTCTCTCTCTGTCTCTCTTTCTTTCTCTCACTTTCTCTCTCTGTTTTTTCTCTTTCTTTCTCTGTCTCTCTTATTCTCTCTCTGTCTCTGTCTGTCTGTCTCTCTCTCTCACTTTTTATCTCTCTCTGTCTGTTTTTTCTCTTTCTTTTTCTGTCTCTCTTATTCTGTCTGTCTGTCTGTCTCTCTCTCTTTCTCTCACTTTCTCTCTGTCTGTTGTTTCTTTCTTTATCTGTCTCTTATTCTCTATCTGTCTTTCTCTCTCTCACTTTCTCTCTCTATCTATCTGTTTTTCTCTCTCTTTTTCTGTCTCTCTTTCTTATTATCTCTCTCTGTCTCTCTCTCTATCTCTCTCTGTCTCTCTCTCTATTTCTATTTCTCTCTCTCTCTCTCTCTCTGCAAGAACGACCTCTGAAATTCAACCTGGTCCTTTCCCAGAGACGATCTGGGTTGAAACAGAACTCACAGGAGGCAGAGATCAAGAGTTTTTTCTTGTATCACAGCCAGGATTAAAAAAAAAAAAAAGTCCCAGGAGACTTTAGTTCATCGCATTCAGGAAGTTTAAAAAAAAAGAAAGCAAATAAGGGTAGGAAACAGTGGGACACAGGCAACTGCACAAACAAATCTGTGTCTGAAGGATGGAGTCTGTTTCCTCTCAACTTCTAGACACCAGCAGATGTTTCTGCTTATCGGAGAGGGATGTGGTGCTGCTTAGTCAGCTCAGGGAACAAAGAACAAGAGAAGGCAACACACAAGAAATGGAAAATCAGGGCATCAACTTATCATGGTGGACACATTTACAAATACAAACTAGATATGATAAAGGTATTAAAATGGATGGGTTTTCTAAGGAGCAAACTGTGTTTAATAAGAACCTAGAACTAAGGAGAAACTTCCTGACAGTTAGAACAATTAACCAGTGGAACCACCTGCCTCCAGAAGCGGTGAATGCTCCAACACTGGAAGTTTTTCAGAAGAGATTGGACAGCCATCTGTCTGAAATGGTGTAGGGTTTCCTACCTGAACAGGGGGTTGGACTCGATGACCTCCAAGGTCCCTTCCAACTTTATTATTATTATTATTATTATTATTATTATTATTATTATTGATCATCGCACAGTCAGCCAGATGTTCAGACTGGATTTGGCGTTTTGTCTACCTATCGAGTCCTTACCCAGGACCTGGGATAGGCAGATGTGGATGTTTGATGGTATTACAGATATCGTCGCAGGATGGAAGCAGTTCCTAGTAAGGCCGCCTTTTGCAATTGACTAATAGCGAATTTGTCAATGCCAATGGTGTTCAAGTGGTGCTCCAGTTGTTTTGGGATTGCACCCAAGGAGCCTATGACTATTGGTACTACCCTTGCTTGCTTTTGCCACAGTCTTTCTATTTCTATTTGTAGGTCTTTGTATTTTGTTATCTTCTCCAGTTCTTTCTCATCTATTCTGCTGTCTCCAGGCACTGCCACGTCCACTATCCAGACTTTTTGGTCTTTCTTATCGACAATTGTTAAGTCTGGGGTGTTATGTTGCAGGTGCTACTATTATTATTATTATTATTATTATTAACTTTGGATGAAAAATTAATTAAGAAATGTATAATTTTTTTATCAGCTTTGGAAATGGAAGTTAAAGAAACAATGATAAGACGGCCAACAAATTTTGGTTACAATATAGAACTAGAAAGATGGCAAAATGTATGGGAAAGAAATTGTAAGCTGACAATGTTAACTTCTTATAAAGAAAATTTTTATAAAATGTTTTTATAGATGGCCCCTGCCACCAGCAAGATTAGCGAAAATGTTTAAAAATATGTCAGATAGATGTTGGAAATGTAAACATAAGTCAGGCACATATTATCACGTTTGGTGGACGTGTGATAGAGCAAAGAACTATTGGAAAAAGATACATACTCTGGCTAGAAAAGATATTAGGAGAACATGTTGATTTTAAACCTGAACTTTTTTTTTATTAAGGATAATGCCAGAAAAGATCAATAAACGAAGCTTATATTTGACTTTGTATGTCACAACAGTGGCAAGAATTACATTTGTGCAACACTGAAAGAATGAAGGAATGCCATCAGATGAAGAAATAATAAAAAAAATATTAGAATGCGCCGAGATGGACAGACTGACTGTGAGACTGAAAGAAAAGGAAGAAACAGACTATTATCAAACCTGGAACTTATTTTACTATTGGCTAGAGCAGTGGTTCTCAACGTGTGGGTCGGGACCCCATTTGGGGTCGAACGACCATTTCACGGGGGTCGTCAAACAACACAGTCTGGCACTTTTTCCCCCCTTTTCCTTAGCTGTGCTACTCCCTTTTATTCTATTGGTTTTTGAAAGCCAATAGAATAGACTCTCTTGAATAGAGTCTAATTCTATTGGCTTTCAAAAGCCAATAGGAATTGTCCAGGCTGTCTCTGTCTCTGCTCTGCTGAGCCCGCCAAAAGTCCCATTCTGCAAACGGTGCTGCACCAATTGAGTAGTCCTCGACTTACGACCGGTTGAGTAGTCCTCAACTTACGACCGGTTGGGGGTCGCGGCATTAAAAAGGTTGAGAACCACTGGGCTAGAGGAAAGAATAAAGGATTAGGAACTAAGTATGTATTAGCATATGCAAACTCAGACAGCACGTTGGTTGAAAAATTATTATGGTTTGAAAATGAAAAACTTATTAAAAAAAAAAGAACCCAACATTTCTGCTGCTCAAGTGTGTTTAGAAGTGCTTTGCCTACTAGTGAAGTATGTTTGAAGCACCTCTCTAGAACAATGAACGTAGCCACCTGATTTGACCCAACTGCTTTAAGAACCTTAAAAAGGAATATTTGGAGAAGGGCAAGCTGCGAGGTGTCTCTTTCAGATCATTTGCACCCTTTGATACCGTTCCTTATTTTCCAACTAGTTCAGGGGTGTCAAACTCAACTTCATTGAGGGCTGAATCAACATAGCGGTTGCCCTTGGGGGGGCGGGTGGGTGTGGCCAGGGTGGGTGCGGCCTACTGGGTGGGCGTGGATGGAGTGGATGTGGCCTACTGGGTGGGTATGGCCAGCTCTACATCGATCGCCCTACTGCCTGCCGAAACCCCTCCCCCGGAGCCCAACAAGGCAGATATGTGAAGAAGGCGAGGGCCATTGGTTGGCCACTTCCAGGCGATGGTCCATTTCTTCATTCCTCACAAAGGGGGACACCTCCCCAGCATGCACCCAGGGGGCGGGGCCGACGCGGCAGGGGCTGGTTCCTCGCTGTTTCCAGACGGCCTTGTGGAGCTAAGACTGAATGCGTTTCAGCATAGATGGCCACCACAAAATTGTACATTGGCTCCCCCGGCCGGCCTGGACCAGTGGGGGCCGTTCCCTCACTGTTTCCAGGATGGCTTCGTGGGCCGCATGAAACCACTTCGCGGGCCACATCCGGCCCCCGGGCCTTGTGTTTGACATGTCTGGCCTAGTTGAACAAAAGCATCACTTGAAATACAGACTCATAAAATTGGCATAAAATAAGCAAAGCCGGCTTCCCCATTGTCGCCAAAGGGGATCATGTGACCCACGGGACACTGCGACCGTCATAAACAGGAGTCCGTTGCCAAGCGTCTGGAATTTTGATCACGTGATCATTGGGATGTGTGCAAATGTGTGAAAAACGGCCATAAGTCACTTTTTTCCAACGGTCACTAAACAAAACGTTGTAGGCTGAGGAGTACCTATATTTCCCAGCAGACGTTCCTCTCCAGCAGCCTCTTTCAGTTCAGACTTACCTGGAGGTGGCTCACAATGCAGAATGGTTCAGGTTTGTGAAGGCCACAGGTGGAGGAGGCTATCAGCTTGTTGGCTCGGCCAATCAGCAAGTCTCCTGTAGCCGGATAACAGCTGCCTTCCGCACATCCGTAGCTGTATTCTGGTCCTTGACCCGCTACAATGGCCCAGAGACCTGAAACAAAGAATGTCAAAAGAAGAAGTGTTAATACCACTTTACAATGGCTTGGTAAGGCCGCACTTGGAATGCTGCATTCAGTTTTGGTCATCACGATGTAAAAAAGATGTTGAGACTCTAGAAAGAGTGCGGAGAAGAGCAACAAAGATGATCAAGGGACCGGAGGCTAAAACACATAAGGAACGGTTGCTGGAATTGGGAATATCTAGTTTAATGAAGAGAAGGAGGAGGGGGGACAGGATAGCAGTGTTCCAATATCTCAGGGGCTGCCTCAAAGAAGAGGGAGTCAAGGTATTCTGCAAAGCACCTGAAGGCAGGACAAGAAGCAACGGTGGAAACTAATCAAGGAGAGAAGCAACCTAGAACTAAGGAGAAACTTCCTGACAGTGAGAACAATTAACTAGTGGTTTGCGTGGTCCGGTTGCTGGCATCTGCAGCGCGGTACTGATCCACGGACCGGGGGTTGGGGACCTTGGTTTATATGGCAACCTATGGTAAAATCAAATTCTTCTAAATTCTATAGTCTACGGCACTATCGGTTTGGTCAAGTACAGTGGTTCTCAACCTTTTTAATGCCGCGACCCCCAACCAGTCGTAAGTCGAGGACTACTCAACCGGTCGTAAGTCGAGGACTACTCAACTGGTGCAGCACTGTTTGCAGAATGGGACTTTTGGCAGGCTCAGCAGGGCAGAGACGGCCTGGACAATTCCTATTGGCTTTTGAAAGCCAATAGAATGAGACTCTATTCAAGAGAGTCTATTCTATTGGCTTTCAAAAGCCAATAGAATAAAAGGGAGTAGCACAGCTAAGGAAAAGGGGGAAAAAATGGTGGACTGCGTTGTTTGGCGACCCCCGTGAAATGGTTGTTCGACCCCAAATGGGGTCCCGACCCACAGGTTGAGAACCACTGGTCTAGTAATTAAGGCACCAGGCTAGAAAAATCGGAGACTGTGAGTTATAGTTCTGCCATATCCATGAAAGCCACCTGGGTGATCTTGGATCAGTCACAAGGAGTTGGTGATTTCTAGTCCCACCTTAACCATGAAAGTCAGCTGGATGACTTTGGGCCAATCACCAGGAGTGGGTGAGTTCTAGTCCCATCTTAGCCGTGAAAGCTGGCTGAGTGTCTTTGGGCCAATCACCAGGTGGCCGTGAGTTCTAGTCCCCCCTTAGCCATGAAAGCTGGAATAGTAACTTTGGGCCAATCACCAGGAGTGGGTGAGTTCTAGTCCCACCTTAGCCATGAAAACTGTCTGGGTGACTTTGGGCCAATCACCAGAAAACAGTGAGTTCTAATCCTCCTTCGTCGTGAGGCTGACTGTGTCAGTCACTCTCTCTAAGCTCAAGCCACCTCGCAGTGTTATTATTGTGGGGAAAATAGGAGGAAGGTGTGTTGCATAATAATAATAGTAATAAAGTTGGAAGGGACCTTGGAGGTCATTTAGTCCAACCCCCTGCTCAGGCAGGAAACCCTACACCATTTCGGACAAATGGCTGTCCAGTCTCTTCTTAAAAACTTCCAGTGTTGGAGCATTCACCGCTTCTGGAGGCCGGTGGTTCCACTGATTAATTGTTCTCACTGTCAGGAAGTTTCTCCTTAGTTCTAGGTTGCTTCTCTCCTTGGTTATTTTCCATCTGTTGCTTCTTGTCCTGCCTTCAGGTGCTTTGGAAAATAGCTTAATTCCCTCTTCTTTATGGCAGCCCCTGAGATCCAGGGGGTTGGACTAGAAGACCTTTAAGGTCCCCATCACCTCTAGAGTTCCATGTTCTATTCCCTCTTCAAGTTGGTCACTTTGAGTGATTTGTCAAAATAATAAAAGCAGGATGCAAATAGAAGAAATAATAAATACAATAATACTAAAAGAAAAGAAATGAAAAAGAAAAGAAATGAAAAAGAAAAGGAAAACGGGGTGGGAGAGAAAGACACCTTGCTAAGAGGCAGTCCTCCCCCCCCAACAATTTCAGGGTTCACCTACTCAGCCATGACCTCCAGCTGGAGACCTCCACCAAGAACCCCCCCTCCCTCCCCTTGAAAGGAAGGCGACCCAGCCCAGCTCAGGCAGTTGACAGAGGCACCAGTCCAGCCGGCTTCCCAACTCCTGGAAATTGCGCGCCTTTTGTCCAGCTCGGAGCCAGGCTCCTCCTTGCGTCTGGATTCCGCGCAGCCCCCGCGCCTCTTGCCTGCCCCGCGTGGGAAGAAGCCGCGCAAGGCAAAAGAACAAGGACTTTTCCCGGAGGCTGGAAAGCGAAGTGAAAAATCAGCTTCGTAAAAGCGGACCGGGTTCTTTTTGAAGTCACCGGAGGGGTGTGTGTGTGTGTGTGTGTGTGTGAAAGCGAAGCGCCTCCCCAAATCGGATTGGAATCGGTTTGCTTTCTCCTCCCCCGCCTGGGTGAAGCGCAAAGGACTTCTGGTAGCGCCGATTCGGGCCAAACTCCTATAGAAGCCAACGGAACCGGTGTGTCTTCCCCACCCAGATCTATAAATCCACGATAAACCCAACCTGATTGGTGTTGTGTGTGTGTGTGTGTGTGTGTGTGTAGTGTAGTCCTATAGAAGCCAACGGAACCGGTGTCTTTCCTACCCAGATCTATAAATCCACGATAAACTCAACCTGATTGGTGTATGTGTTTATGTGATTTTTTTTTTTAACGGTTCGGATCTGTTTTGACACCCGCAGCTCAACATTCAGAAGCGACTAAATTCTGATGGAAAACGCCCGTAAGCATCACTTTTCAAACACTAAAATACTATTTCTTCACCCCACAGGACAAAACAATAATAATAATAATAATAACAACAACAACAACAACTGGAGCACCACTTGAACACCATTGGCATTGACAAATTCGCTATTAGTCAATTGCAAAAGGCGGCCTTACTAGGAACTGCTTCCATCCTGCGACGATATCTGTAATACCATCAAACATCCACATCTGCCTATCCCAGATCCTGGGTAAGGACTCGATAGGTAGACAAAATGCCAAATCCAGTCTGAACATCTGGCTGACTGTGTGATGATCCATAATAATAATAATAATAATAATAATAATAATAATAATAATAATAATAATAATAATAAAGTTGGAGGGGACCTTGGAGATCATCTAGTCCAACCCCCTGCTCAGGCAGGAAACCCTATATTATTTCGGACAATAATTGGTTGATTAGCCCTTGGGCCATCTCAAAAGTGCCAAGTTCCAGAAACAAATTATTACTAACATTTGGTAAAAAAGCCATTTAAAACGGAATGAGATAAAATACCAATTTAAAATGAAATGAAACTCAGCATGCATAAAAACGTGGTGAAAGTGCATAAGATTTACAACCTCAGTTTTCAAATCTTTTGCAATCCGATCCTGCAAGTCAACTCCGAAGTTAAGTTCCCTGGCGCACAAAACGACCGTGACACGCCTTTTGACAGATCTGCAACCTCAAATCTGGAGACTGGATTACTACTATTTTAAAAATCGCTTGCAAACCCGGCCGAGCGGGGCACAAAAAGCGCACGAACGTAAAAGCTATCAGACCTAAACTGCAAAACTCCGAACGGCCACTAGGGGGGCGCCATGTAACTACTTGCTGCCATCTAGCGGTCGTTCAGATGTTCGCAGGCCCAGATCTGAGAATCGCCCACCCAAAAAAACCCCAAAAAACTGAAGCCGTTTGAATGTGGAGATCGGGTGTGCCAGATCCCATCGGATCCTTTTCTGCCTCCGACGGCCTCTTGCTACGTTGCCCGGGGTCATTCGGAGCGACGGCGTTGCGAAACGTTTGCAGTTTCGCAACCGACCCTTCGGAAGCGACTTTATATTAGGCCCGATAGATTTTATTATTTTTTTTTTTCCTTCTCCCACCTAGAAATTGTGGCTTCGTTTCGACGCGGGAACAACCCGATTGCGCAATAGCCACCCAAATCCCAAACTTTGCACTGAATGGAACGGTCGGATTTAACGAGCTAGGAATGGATCTAACGCTCCTCTTCGATCCCAAAGGCATTTTGCGATTTCCAGAAAGGGCCCCATCCGAGGTTGGGAATGGACGAAGGGACCGGGGGGGGGGGTCTGCGCCCCAAAGAGCTTGCGAATCTCCATACAAGGGCAGAGACAACATCTGCACGGATCCAGTTCAGCATCGCGGGCTCAAGTCCCATGGACCCCCCTCCCCCCCCAAATTCCTGCTCTCGCTTTGCAGCCCCCTCCTGTCCACCCGCCCCTGTTAAAACCCGTCCTTTCCCCAAACTCCCCCAAAGTTTTGAGCCAGCGAAAGAGAGAGAGAGAGAGGGAGAGAGAAAGAGAAAGAAAGAGGGGGGAGGGAGGGAGGAAAAAAGAGAGAGAAAGAAAGGGGGAGAGAGAGGAGGGAGGAGAGAGAGAGAAAGAAAGAGAAAGAGAGGGGAGAGAGAGAGAAAGAGAGTGAAAGAAAGAGAGAAAAAGGGAGGGAGAAAGAGAGAGAAAAAAGGAGAGAGAGAGAGAAGGGAAGAGAAAGAGTGAAAGAGGGAGAGAGAGAAAGAGAGGGAGAAAGAGAGAAAGAGGGAGGGAGAAAAGAGAAAGAGGGAGAAAGAGAGAAAGAAAGAGAGAGAAAGGGAGGACGGAGAAAAAAGAAAGGGAGAAGAAAGAAAAAGAGGGAGAGAGAGAGAAGGGAAGAGAAAGAGTGAAAGAGGGAGGAAGAAAAGAGAAAGAGAGAAAGAGGGAGGGAGGGAGAAAAAAGAGAGAGATGGAGAGAGAGAGAGAAGGGAAGAGAAAGAGAAAAAGGGAGAGAAAGAGAGAGAAAGAAAGAGAGAAAAGGAAGCAGAAAAGAGAAAGGGAGAAAGAGAGAAAGAAAGAAAGAGAAAGAGGGAGGGAGAAAAAGAGAGAAAGAAAGAGGGAGAGAGAGAGAGAGAGAGAGAGAGAGAAGGGAAGAGAAAGAGAAAGAGGGAGAAAAAGAAAGAGAGAAAGAGAAGGGAAGAGAGAGAGAGAGAGAGAGAGAGAAATTCCATGATTCCCAAATTCTTTTCAAGCCGGGACATTTTTTCTCTCTTTTTAAACCGGGAATCGCCCGCCACCGGTCCCCCTAAAAAAAAAAAAAAAAACCCCAAAAACAATAAAGCAGGAAATCACTTTTTTCAAAGGTGCTTAATTACCTAGGAAACAGCCAAAAGACACCTGGAAAACTCCCATCTCGTGGCTTCGCCGGGACAGGGACGGAGGGAGGGAAGGAAAGAGGGAGGGGAAAGAAAAGAAAAAAAAAACCACAAAAGGGCGCCCCTGAAGCTTCGCTTTCCTGCTTTTAGGCAGAGAGGAGGAGGAGGAGGAGGAGGAGACGGGGTCGCTGCGTGCCTTTCCTTCTTACAACCACCCGGAGGAACGCGCAGCTCCTTTCGAGCGACCCGCTAGCGCCGACTCCGCTCCTCTTCTCGCGGCCGCCGCTGGAGACGGAGGGAAAGGAGCCCTCCCCTCGCGGCCGGGGGGGGGAGGGGGTGGAGAGGCTGGGTGGGTGAGTGGGTGGGGGGGAGAGGCTCTACCACGCAAGCGCTAAGGCTGGGCAGGGGGAAGTGGAGCCAGGCCCCTGCCATGCGGAGCGGGGGGGGGGAGAGTGGGAGACGCGCCCTGAAGAATGGGGGGGGGACTCCGGTCCTTTGTCTCCTCCCTTCCCGTTGCCCCCCCCCAAGGACAGCATCCATCGCTGGAGGGTCTCCAGAAAAGATTGCAGAGCCATTTGTCCAGGGATGCTATAATAATAATAATAACAACAACAACAATAATAATAATAATAATAATAAATTGCCATTAGTCAATTGCAAAAGGCGGCCTTACTAGGAACTGCTTCCATCCTGCGACGATACCTGTAGTATCATCAAACATCCACATCTGCCTATCCCAGGTCCTGGGTGAGGACTCGATAGGTAGACAAAATGCCAAATCCAGTCTGAACATCTGGCTGACTGTGCGATGATCCATAATAATAATAATAATAGTAAAGTTGGAAGGGACCTTGGAGGTCATCTAGTCCAACCCCCTGCTCAGGCAGGAAACCCTATACCATTTCGGACAAATGGCTGTCCAGTCTTTTCTTAAAAACTTCCAGTGTTGGAGCATTCATAGTTTCTGGAGGCAGATTGTTCCACTGGTTAATTGTTCTAACTGGACAGGAAGTTTCTCCTTAGTTCTAGGTTGCTTCTCTCCTTGATTAGTTTCCACCCGTTACTTCTTGTCCTGCCTTCAGGTGCTTTGGAAAATAGCTTGATTCCCCCTTCTTTATGGCAGCCCCTGAGATCCAGGGGGTTGGACTAGAAGACCTTTAAGGTCCCCATCACCTCTAGGGTTCCATGTTCTATTCTGGGGTTCAGGCTGGGGACCAGCTTCCAGGTGGGGCTGGCACAGAGCAGTTAAGAGGAGACTTTGAAGGCTTAAAACCTCGAGCAATAAGGTCACACAGGGTAAAGCCAACCTGTGGGGGTGCTGGAACGGAGTAGGAGGGGATTGGAGGCTCTGGAGAGGGAAAGAATTCTTCCCCGGGGTGTGTGTGTGTGTGTGTGTGTGTGTGTACTTTATGTTACACATTTGCACGAAGTGCACACGTGTGTTCTATCTGTGGGCATGCAGGTGAGAAAAAGAAACAAGACGTTCTTTTGGGGTAAATCTGGACTGCAACATTCTGCAGGACCATTAGGTGGCAGCAAAGAGTCATCAGGGGTGGGTATCTTCTTTGCTGCCCTCTAATGGTCATCTGGACCCCACAGTCCTTGTCGTCGTCGTCGTCCTCCTCCTCCTCCTCCATCATTCCACAAACCCTACTCCCTTCTAGCACTGATGATGTTACTTAGTTGGGTAATGAAATGTCTGCAAGAAAACAAGCAAGATAAGAGAGCACCAAGGACCCCACAGTCGTCCTCCTCCTCCTCCTCCTCCTCCTCCTTCTCCTCCTCTCCACAAACCCTACTCCCTTCTAGCACTGATGACGTTACCTAGTTTGGTAATGAAACGTCTGCAAGGAAACCGCCAAGCTCAGAGAGCACCAAGGACCCCAGTTTCAACCCTGAGCTACTAATATTCCCCTTTATTTCAACTTTCCCTTGCGAATACCCCTGGAATGACACAAGGACCCCCTTATCTTTAGCATCTCCTCTGCAAGGAGATACGGTAAGACAGCCCTTCAGTAAGAGCTCAAAGCTGCCAAAACACTATTGTAAGATGACTCCTCCGAACTTCCTCCGCTAGCTAGCTAGACAGACTTCAAGAGTTGTTCCTTGTTCATTGGGGGAAGGGTGATCCTCCATTGTTCTGGCCCCAACATTTGTGAGAGGTGAGTCATGGGAGAAAAAAGTCTGAAGACTCTCAAACCACTCACGGACAGCAAAATAGAGCAAATGCCAACAAACACAGTAGCATTCATGAGGATTTCCTAGAAATGAATATTGCCCTTCCTAAGACTGAAATATCTTGAAAGGGTCCAGTAAAGGCCGGCGTAAAAACAGGACAGTTTGGTTTTTCTTTGGCTAAAGCCGCATCATGGAAACTGAACAAAAGAGAGAAGCAACTTAGAACTAAGGAGAAATTTCCTGACAGAACAATTAACCAGTGGAACAACTTGCCACCAGAAGCGGTGAATGCTCCAACACTGGATGTTTTTAAAAAGAGACTAGACTGCCATTTGAGGGGCTGTCACAGAGATGATACCACTCTAATGGCAGAAAGTGAAGAGGAACTAAAGAGCCTCTTGATGCGGGTGAAGAAGGAGAGTGCAAAAGTTGGCTTGAAACTCAACATTAAGAAAACCAAAATCATGGCATCCGGCCTTCTCAATTCCTGGCAAATAGATGGGGAAGAAATGGAGGTAGTGACAGATTTTATTTTTCTGGGCTCCAAGATCACCTCAAATGGGAACTGCAGCCAAGAAATTAAAAGACGCTTGCTCCTGGGGAGGAAAGCTATGGAAAATCTAGACAGCATGCTAAAAAGCAGAGACATCACCCTGCCAACAAAAGTGCGTATAGTCCAGGCCATGGTTTTCCCAGTTGCAATGTATGGCTGTGAGAGTTGGACCATAAGAAAGGCTGAGCACCAAAGAATGGAGGCCTCTGAACTATGGTGCTGGAGAAGACTCCCGCGAGTCCCCTGGATTGCAAGGCGATCCAACCGGTCAATCCTAGAGGAGATCAACCCCGACTGCTCTTTAGAAGGCCAGATCCTGAAGTTGAAACTCAAGTACTTTGGCCACCTAATGAGAAGGAAGGACTCACTGGAGAAGAGCCTCATGCTGGGAAAGACGGAGAGCAAGAGAAGAAGGGGACGACAGAGAATGAGATGGCTGGATGGAGTCACTGAAGCAGTAGGTGTGAACTTAAATGGACTCCAGAAGATGGTAGAGGACAGGAAGACCTGGAGGAACGTTGTCCATGGGGTCGCGATGGGTTGGACACGACTTCGCAATTAACAACAACACAGAGAAGAGGGGACGGACCTATTCTCCGACGCACCTGAAGGCCGGACAAGAAGTTGATGGATGGAAACGTCTCAAGATCCAACCTAGAAATGAATCAGGGGAACAGCCTGCCTCCAGAAGTTGTGGATGCTCCATCCCTGGAGGTTTTCAAGAAAAGATGGGCCAACCACATGTCTTGGATAGAGTCCCCAGGATAGAAGTAGGTGGCCTTCCAAGATCCTATTCCAAGTCTGGTATTCTGTATTGGTGGTGGTGGGCTATGGAAGGAGGGCGTGTTTAGGCTCCTTGGATGGAGAAGAAGAGAACATTAGGGGGTTTCCCATTGCCTTGAACCCTTTCCCTGGACTTTGAGGGAAGGGAGAAACATGAGGTGGAGGAAAGTCAATTTATTACAGCCGGGTGAAATAGTGTCCGGTTTCTCCATCAATCAGTTGGGGAATGTCGGCCTGTGGGGGGGGGGAGGTAAGGCAGGAGAAGGGTCTGTCCGCTGGCTGCTTCTCAACTTCCTAGCTTTTCTGACCTAATGATTAATCTCCCTGGGCTCCTAAAACAGGCCCAGCAGCTTAATCATTAGGCAGCCGAGGTTAAAATATTTGCAAGGGAGAAACGGCACACACACTGGTAAATAAATGTTGGTGGAGTAGACCAAAATGCACCCGATAAAAGAAGCGTTTGCCTCCTGCTGGGGATTATTTAAAAAAAAACAAAACAAATTTTATTTATAATACAGTTAAAAACAAACAAACATTGGATTTGACGTGACATTCCAGTACATACATTCTTATCAGATTATTCCACTTTTTACAATCAATTCTTCCTCTCTACATATACATCTAAGTTTTATGTACAATACTTGTTCTAAAATAACATGTCTTTCTATCTTAATATTCATCTTTAATCCCGACCGTCCTCTTCAAATTCCTCCAGCGGTAAAATTTATCCCAGGTTTCATAATAAACTGATCCACATTTGTCTTTTAATATCATTGTGAGCCTGTCCATTTCCGCACGTGCTAATATTTTATGTATTAACTCTTCCTCTGTGGGAATTTCCTTGCTCTTCCATTTTTGCTCCTTGTTTTGCAGATAGAAAATCAGATTATTTCATTCTCATAGAAGGCAAAGAACAGATTAATACCATTGCAGGAAACGCTGTACCATTATCTGAAACGGCTTCAGCAGGAGATTGAACTACTAGAAGATCTCTTAAGGTCCCTTCCAACTCTATTACTCTGTTCTGTTCCATTCTGTATTGCTTTATGCTCACTTTTATAAAAGGCTTCAAGATTTTCATAAAGGCATCCTCTACTACCTCACGATCTTGGCAACTTAACTTTAACAAGATGCGGTGAACTTTGACTCCCAGAATTTTCCAGCCAGCTGGGAGTTGAATCCATACATCATGAAATTGTCAAACTTGGCAGACACGGCTCCATGTTATCCCCTTAAGCACCTGGAAATTTTCAATTTAATGTTGTTCAAAACAACATTAGTGCACTATCTCTGTGCAGCTGCTTCCAAGTGAAATATACAATTCCTCTTCTCCAGCGTGGAATTTTCCAGTTAACCTTTTGTGGCATGAAATTTTCCAAACAACACTCCCTGTGTTTCCTCACCTTCTTTTCTCTTATCAAAAGAAAAACGAAATTAAATAATGGTGTATCACTTCTTAGACCAGAATATCCATTGTTAGGGGGAAAAAAATATTTTACTTGCATAAAAAAATTATGGTGACCAAAAATATATATATATTATTAGTCAAGTATAATAAGCCATTGCAAATAATACGGGGGGATGTACAATTAAGAAAACATGTACTATCACAATGATTACAATGAAACTAAACATGGGGGGGGAACCCACCACTATGTTCAGAGGATTGCAATTTAAAACTGTAGGATCGCGCCATCTTTCTTTAAAATCGTGAAATAGAAATGAAACAGAAGTTTCCTAAGTGGTCATTCATACCTATTCAAAGTTAAGCAAATTAAAATGCAGTTTTATAGATTCTACTACATACTGCATAATACGCATGCATACAGCTTCCTGGGAATATAATAATAAAGTTGGAAGGGGCCTTGGAGGTCATCTAGTCCAACCCCCTGCTCAGGGAGGAAACCCTATACCATTTCAGACAAATGGCTGTCCAGTCTCTTCTTAAAAACTTCCAGTGTTGGAGCATTAACTGCTTCTGGAGGCAGGTTGTTCCACTGGTTAATTGCTCTAACTGTCAGGAAATTTCTCCTTAGTTCTAGGTTGCTTCTCTCCTTGATTAGTTTCCATCCTGTCTTCCGGCGCTTTGGAGAATAGCTTGACTCCCTCTTCTTTGGGGCAGCCCCTGAGATATTGGAACACAGCTATCATGTCCCCCCTCATCCTTCTCGTTAAACTAGACATACCCAATTCCAGCAACCAGTCTTCATATGTTTTAGTCCCCTGATCATCTTTGTTGCTCTTCTCTGTACTCTTTTTAGAGTCTCAGCATCTTTTTTACATCATGGTGACCAAAACTGGATGCCGTATTCCAAGTGTGGCCTTACCAAGGTATTGTAAAGTGGTATTAACACTTCACGTGGTCTTGATTCTATCCCTCTGTTAATTGCAACCTAGCACTGTGTTGGCTTTTTTGGCAGCTGCAGCACATGGCTGGCTCCTATTTAAAGGATCGTCCACTAGGACTCCGAGATCCCTCTCACAGTTACTACTATTGAGTTGAGGTACCACCTATACTATATCTGTGCATTTGGTTTTTCTTGCCTAAATGTAGAACCTTATTTTTTTCACCATTGAATTTCATTTTGTTAGATAATTAGATAGTTAAGAAGAGACTGGACAACCATTTATCAGAAATTATATAGAGTCTCCTGCTTGGGCTGGGGGCTGGACTAGAAGACCTCCAAGATCCCTTCCAGCTGTGTTTTGATTGAAATACACTTCTGATTAAAGAGCGCTGGTGTAGACGGGATTGTATGTATCATACATTGTTTTTACTATAGGGACCCTAACATTCTTTTAATCTATTTTGACTTATGTATTTATGCAATCCTGCTATAAATCCTCAGTTAAACAATGATAAATGTCCTAAACAAGATAAATCTCCAGGCTGAGAATGTTTTGTCTTTATCAGATAAAAAAAATCTTGGCTGGCTGGCTATTTAGAAATACTCCAGACAAGTTTTCCAGTGCTACATCATGTAGAAGGAAGGAAACCCTTACAACATTTGCCTCTCCCCCCAACTTTTGGTGATGGGGATAATCTAAGAATAAAATCTGTTCCTTAAAAAGGATTACTGCAAATGGGAAAGTCATTACTGACGATAGTCTGAAGCTACAACCCTGATTTTGTGTTAATCAGCCAAGTCAGAACAAGAGTCGAGGCAGGAGACATATTTCCCATCTGAACTTCCAACGTCTTAGTGTGATAAATTATTGTTGAGTTGAGGTATCAACAAATAAGACTTGTGTAATTTTACTAAAATTCTAGAATGTGATGTTTCAGATTCCTGGCCGGGCTAACTGCTTCATTGTCGTCTGTGAACATTTAAATGATTCCTATTTAATTTGATTTGGATTATTTTTATCCCGCCTTTTTATTATTATTTTTTTTATAAATAACTCAAGGCAGGGAACATACCTAACATACCTTCCTAACCCTGTTTTCCCCGCAACAACAATCCTGTGAGGTGGGGTAGGCTGAGACAGACTGATCCAAAGCACCCAGTAAGCTTTCATGTCTAAGGCCACACTAGAACTTACAGTCTCCTGGTTCCTAGCCTAGTATCTTAACCAGGGGTAGGCAACCTTGGCTCTTTTATTACTCGTGGACTTCAACTCCCAGAATTCCTGAGCCAGCCTGGCTCAGCTTGGAAACCTCTCCCTTTCCCCTCAGCGTGGCTGGCTCAGGAATTCTGGGAGTTGAAGTCCACGAGTCATAAAAGAGCCAAGATTCCTCACCCCTGCCCTATATCAGGGGTCCTCAACCTTGGTTTTTTTATAACTTGTGGACTTCAACTCCCAGAATTCCTCAGCCAGCATGGCTCAGCTTGGAAACCTCTCCCTTTCCCCTCAGCCTGGCTGGCTCAGGAATTCTGGGAGTTGAAGTCCACGAGTCATAAAAGAGCCAAGGTTGCCTACCTCTGGCCTAGGCCTAGGCCGCTTTATGACTCGTGGACCAACTCCCAGAATTCCTGAGCCAGCATGGCTGATTGGAAACCTCTCCCTTTCCCCTCAGCATGGCTGGCTCAGGAATTCTGGGAGTTGAAGTCCACGAGTCATAAAAGAGCCAAGGTTTCCCTCATGCTGGCTCAGGAATTCTGGGAGTTGAAGTCCACAAGTCATAAAAGAACCAAGGTTCTCCACCCCTGCACTAGATCCATAACAATGGCCTATTTAAATCATATGACAATCAAACTTTATTGATCTTTTCTTTTTTCATGTACAAATGGCTATTTGCAGGAAATATCAGTACCAATTTGGAAATTGCTCCAGGCTTTGGTAAGTCCAAGTGTTTGTTGTGTCTGGGAATGAAGTTGATTTATTTGTGGCTAAACTGCAGTTGTGATGTGGGAGAATCCTTTGGGTGGCAAGGAGCTCAAATCCATCCTAAAGGAAATTGATCCTCACTGTCCTCGTCTTGTGGAAAGGACTCCTATGAATTCCAGAGGGTTTAGCAGAGAGATTTATTGCGCAGGTTCAGAAGCTATAGCAACAAGCAATTCTGAACCCCGGGCCGGTTCAGACTTCAGTTTTATACTTTCTCTTTCTCAGGAACAAAGGAATACACACATTGTGATACATTAGGTTAGTTTCTCAGGGGTATACAATGGAGAGTTTGCTACATACATTGTATCCAAGTGCAATGCGCATTAGGTTAGTCACATATTGCTAACACAGCATTATTCCAGTAATTATGCAGACACATCATTATTTTAGTGATTTTTTTCATTATTCCACATTACTTGGGCAGGACAGATCCTGAAGCTCAAAGCTCCAAATATTTTGGCCACCAAAGAGAAAAGAGGTTGGGAAAGATCGAAAGCAAAAGGAGAAGGGGAGGGCAGAGGATGAGATGGTTAGATGGGGTCACCCACGCAAGGAACGTGAGTTTGGGCAAACTCTGTGAGATGGTTGAGGACTGGGGGGGGGGCTGGTGTGCTACGGTCCACGGAGTCATGAAGAGCCAGACACGACTTAGCGACTGCATAACAACAATAAAACTGCAGTGTATCGTGGAGTTTATAAGGCTCCAATTCTCCATTTGCAGAAACTTCTGCCACACCGTTGCCTTCTAATTCCTAACTTGTGGGCTTCAGATCTTCCAAGGGGAATGGTGGCTTGACATCCACGCAGCTCCCCTCATGGGCACTGTATGGATTTTCTTGGTACTTGTCCAGAAAAACTCACGCTATTCTACTAATATGAATTGGAGGTGCGTACAAGGGACTTATTTCCTTTTATGTGGGATGTTAGGGAGGAACAAGACGAGCCTGGTGGTGCAGTGGTTAGAATGCAGCATTGCAGGACATTTTTGCCCACTGCCAGGAGTTCGATCCTGACCGGTTCAAGGTTGACTCAGCCTTCCGTCCTTCCGAGGTCGGTAAAATGAGGACCCAGATTGTTGGGGGGCAAAATGCTGATTGTGTGAACCGCTTAGAGAGAGGGTGCAAAGCACCGTGAAGCGGTATATATATCTAAGTGCTACTATTTTGTTACTATTGAATTTATAGTAGCTAAGAGTCCTTTTTTTCTCTACATTGAAAAAGAGAAGTTTTGAAGATGATGCGTTCTGCCAACTGTTTTTCAGGAACTGGGGAGTGAAAATTCTATTATTGGGGAATAATTCTTAGTCTCTGGTAGTTTGTTTGTTTTTTTAAAAAAAAATCAGATAGCATTTGTTTTTTACTGGAAGATGACTGTTGATTAGAATGGTCTATGGTGAGCTATCTGGACTAAATAGATTAGCTTCCTACCTTACAGTAACTGATTAAGGTTTGTTTGTTTTTCCACGTTTGAGCTGGTCTTTGAAGTGTTGCAAATAAAAAAAATAAACTATCTAACTACTTGAGCTGCTGCGAATCAGTGAGAAAAAGTCTCTTCCCATCATTGATTTAGACCCACAATGTTTGCCTATCAAATAGAAACTCACTTTCTGTAATTATTTACAAATTGTGCTCAGCCTTCTTTCTGTAACATGGTGGAATAATGGCACATATAATTTTAATAGCTGCCAGGTAGCCACCTCCTTGCTTTCCACCCACTGATTTCCTCAATTCGTACCAAGAGTAACTATTGCCCGTGTTGTAAAATATTTTATGTAATTTGTTGTTGTTGTTGTTTTAATTTGGAACGCATAAATATGAAGGAACCATTTGTAAAGTTACTGCTGCCACCTAGTGGTTTATGTACTGCTATAGCCGCCATGTACATTCTTACGTGCAAAGCGCAAATTGAATATAGAATATAGAATAACAGAGTTGGAAGGGACCTTGGAGGTCATCTAGTCCAACCCCCTGCCCAGGCAGGAAACCCTATACCACTTCGGACAAATGGCTGTCCAGTCTCTTCTTAAAAACTCCCAGTGTTGGAGCTTTCACAGCTTCTGGAGGCAGGTTGTTCCACTGGTTAATTGTTCTAATTGTCAGGAAGTTTCTCCTTAGTTCCATGTTGCTTCTCTCCTTGATTAGTTTCCATCCGTTGTTTCTTGTTCTGCCTTCAGGCGCTTTGGAGAACAGCTTGACTCCCTCTTCTTTGGGGCAGCCCCTGAGATACTGGAACACAGTTAATTCAAAACAGCAAAGAAGTACCTTTCAAGCAACAGAGAAGAGCAACAAAGATGATTAGGGGACTGGAGGCTAAAACATATAAGGAACGGTTGCTAGAATTGGGTATGACTAGTTTAACGAAGAGACGGACAAGGGGGGACAGGATAGCAGTATTCCAATATCTCAGGGGCTGCCATAAAGAAGAGGGAGTCAAGCTATTCTCCAAAGCGCCTGAAGGCAGGACAAGAAGCAACGGGTGGAAACTAATCAAGGAGAGAAGCAGCCTAGAACTAAGGAGAAACTTCCAGACAGTTAGAACAATTAGCCAGTGGAACAACCTGCCTCCAGAAGCGGTGAATGCTCCAAGACTGGAAGTTTTTAAGAAGAGACTGGACAGCCATTTGTCCAAAGTGGTATAGGGTTTCCTGCCTGGGCAGGGAGTTGGACTAGATGACCTCCAAGGTCCCTTCCAACTTTATGATGATGATGAAGACTACCTGGATACTCTTAGAATGAGGCACTGAACGCTTTGGAATAAACGGGAATAAGATTTGCTCCAGAACACCCTTTATTAATAATACACTGTATACTGCATCACCTTTGTATTATAATAACTAGTAATAGTAATAGTAGTAAAGTTGGAAGGGACCTTGGAGGTCATCTAGTAGCTTATCCAATGCTATGTAGCTTATCCAATGCTCGTCATTACTACAAACCATTTACCATTTAGTGATTCCCACGTGATTTCGCCTTCTTTGCGTCTAGCTTTTACAAACAGCATATCTGTTTGATTCCTCAGCGATCTCATTTTTAATAGCTAGGACATGATCCTCCAGTTGCTTCAGCTGATCAGCTTTTTGCTGTTTGATCTGGTTCAGATCTTGTATCTTCTTTTCTAGAGCTGAAAAGACAAAAGCAATGCGTGCGTTGAAATGTAGGCCTTGTTAGGCATATACGCGTACCCGAACCAACCGATGGTATAAAACTCAGTAACTTCCCAATTACGTGTCTTGAGGCCAAGATCTATTGTCTGCTTAGCTTCCTTAAGGGTGTAGAATTTTAGATTTTTGGAATTGAAAGGGATCTACGCCCCGTCCAGGAATTTACATTTACATTGTCAGACCATTGTCAGAAGTGTGTGTGTGCTCTAATTCGATACAAATAGGGAAGAGCATTAAAACTATTATGGTATTAGAACTGGATTAGAAAAGTCTTTTACAGGAGCAAAAGACAAATAGACTTTATGGCTAAGCATATATGTAGGTGGATCTCTGTGCATGCTCCTGTGGCGTGTAAATTACCGGTGATTCTTTTTGCTTTCTGTGCGGTCTCATGGGCCAGTTCTTCTGCCTCTTTTTTCAACCAGCTGAGTTTCTGCAAGATTTCTAAGGTAAGTCCGCTGGTCAGAAATTTGCCTTGCAAGTTGCTGAATTCGTGTTTAAGATGAGCAAATTCCTAAAAAAAAAAAAAAAAAACAAGGAGTGCAGTCTGTATGAATGTACAGGCAAGGAATTTGATGTGGAGGACCTGTATCTGACTGATTGCCACACAATTGTTGTCTAATTCTATACTGTTCTTATTTTGTCTATTGAATTGGATTTAGTGCAGTGGTTCTCCACCTGTGGGTCGGGACCCCATTTGGGGTCGAACGACCATTTCACGGGGGTCGCCAAACAACGCAGTCCGCCATTTTTTTCCCCTTTTCGTTAGCTGTGCTACTCCCTTTTATTCTATTGGCTTTTGAAAACCAATAGAATAGACTCTCTTGAATAGGAGTCTAATTCTATTGGCTTTCCAAAGCCAATAGGAATTATCCAGGCTGTCTCTGCCCTGCTGAGCCCGCCAAAAGTCCCATTCTGCAAACGGTGCTGCACCAGTTGAGTAGTCCTCGACTTACAACTGGTTGAGTAGTCCTCGACTTACGACCGGTTGGGGGGTCGCAGCATTAAAAAGGTTGAGGACCACTGCTCTAAGCTAAACTCTTCCATTGTTCCAACTGTGGGCCCATCCTTATTGCAGCTGAGTTCATATAATAATGATGATTATGATGATGATGATGATGGTGGTGGTGGAAGGGACCTTGGAGGTCTTCTAGTGCAGGGGTCCCCAATCCCCGGTCTATGGACCAGTACTAGGATCTGGCATGCCAGCAACCGTCCGCACAAACAAGCAAAGCCCCACGTTTTTCAGTCCCGTTGTAACTTTGAACGGTTCACTAAGTGAACTATTTTTTGTTTACTTTTTTCTTTTTTCTTCCCCTCCCCTTCTCCTCTTACCATCCTACTTCCTCCCTTCACCTTCCTCCCCTCTCATCCCTCTCAAATATAGCATAGAGGAAATGCCCAAGCAGCATCTCTCTCATAAATTACCATATCTATATTATCCTATTCTACCTATTTACCCACCCACCCACCCTCAACCCCCCCCCTCACTTCCCAGAGCAGAGTACAGGGTTAGTAATAACAAAATTAACAAGAAAAAAGAAAGAGAGAGAGAAAAAATCATACTTAGCCCTTAACTCCCCTTAAATTATATCATCATAAACAAATCTCTTATACAACATTTACTATAACATTTACTCATAAAATAAATGAAACTTTATAGTTCCATACTTCTTCTGAATATAATCTATCCATCTTCTCCATATAAAAATATATCTTTCTTGTGTATGATCCTTTCAAGAAGCAGAAATTTTTGCCATTTCTGCTAAATTAGAAACTTTAAATATCCATTCTTCTAAAGTAGGCAACGAATCTTTCTTCCAATATGAATCTACTAATAACCTTGCTGCAGTTAATAAATTCAACATTAAAATAAGTGAACTATTATAAGTCAAAGGACTACCTGTATTGCAGCAAGGAAGGAACAGGCTGCACACTGCTACCAACCCTGAGGATTTTAATCCCTAATTCCCCTTTTGTAAAAGATGAGTGAAGCACCTAGTGCAGGGGTTCCCAACCCTTGGTCCGTGGACCGGTCCTGGTCCGTGGCATGCCAGCAACCGGTCCGCACAAACAAGGAAAGCCCCATCCGTGGGACGCAGGCAGCACACAAAACCACACACTCTCTGGTCTGCGGAAAAACCTCTCTCCACGGAACCGGTCCCTGGTGCCCCAAAGGATGGGGATCTCTGATCTACAGTTTGAGTTGGGATCCTGCAGTCACACTGAGGGGAGGATACTATGCCCCATTTAAACAGAGATTCCCGGCAGACGCCATGTGAAGTGCGAATGCTGTTCAGGATTGTCCATTGCTGACGTGGTAGTTCAAAGCCTGACCCCCTTTGTTGTGGGGTCATAGAATAGAATAGAGCTGGAAGGGACCTTGGAGGTCTTCTAGTCCAGCCCCTACTGAAGCAGGAGACCCTACACCATTTCAGACAAGAGACTGTCCAGTCTTTTCCTAAAAACTTCCAGTGATTGAGCACCTACAACTTCTGGAGGCCAGATGTTCCACTGGTTAATTGTTCTCACTGTTAGGAGGTTTCTCCTTATTTCCAGGTTGCTTCACTCCTTGATTAGTTTCCATCCCTTGCTTCTTGTCCTGCCCTCTGGTGCTTTGGGAAATAAGTTGACCCCCTCCTCTTTGTGGCAGCCCCTCCAATATTGGAATACTGCTATCATGTCACCCCTAGTCCTTCTTTTCTCTAGACTGGCCAAACCCAAATCCTGCAATCGTTCTTCATATGTTTTAGTCTCCAGGCCTCTAATTCCCTTAGTTGCTCTTCTCTGCACCCTTCCTAAAGTCTCAATATCTCTCCTGCAGCGCAGGGACCAAAACTGGATGCAGCACTCCAGGTGTGGTCCTACCACTGTTTTATCAAGTGGTCCTCACCGTTAACACAATCCCGACTTATACGTCTTCCTGTTTTCTTAGCTATTCACGGTACACGCAGGACTCTTTTTCCAACACCAAAGTTGGGAGTTGGAAATCAAAATACAAAAGTTGGAAATTGTAAATCAAAGCTCCGGGGGGGGGGGAATAAACAAGGGCATTTAAATGGCGTTTTACCTTATTACTTTCTGCCGCTTGATTTTGGGCTTCTTTTGCTTTTGATCTGGCACCTGCGGCTTGGATTCTGTTCGTTTCCATTTTGGTCTTCAGGGAACTTATTTCCTCTGTCAGCTTGGACTGTTTTTCTGGAAAAACCTGCAACTCAGTGGCAGCCTTTTTCATTTGGTTCTCAGCCTGCGTCCCAGGAAACATAACATTATTAGAGGACAGTCACTTAAATAGGAGCCAGCCGTGTGCTGCAGCTGCCAAAAAAGCCAACACAGTGCTGGGCTGCATTAACAGAGGGATAGAATCAAGATCACGTGAAGTGTTAATGCTACTTTACAACGCCTTGGTAAGGCCACACTTGGAATACTGCATCCAGTTTTGGTCACCACGATGCAAAAAAGATGTTGAGATTCTAGAAAGAGTGCAGAGAAGAGCAACAAAGATGATTAGGGGGCTGGAGGCTAAAACATATAAGGAACGGCTGCTGGAATTGGGTATGTCTAGTTTAACAAAGAGAAGGACGAGGGGGGACATGATGGCAATGTTCCAGTATCTCAGGGGCTGCCCCAAAGAAGAGGGAGTCAAGCTATTCTCCAAAGCGCCTGAAGGCAGGAGAAGAAGCAACAGATGGAAACTGATCAAGGAGAGAAGCAACTTAGAACTAAGGAGAAACTTCCTGACAGAACAATTAACCAGTGGAACAACCTGCCTCCAGAAGCAGTAAATGCTCCAACACTGGAAGTTTTTAAGAAGAGACTGGACAGCCATTTGTCTGAAATGGCATAGGGTTTCCTGCCTGAGCAGGGGGTTGGACTAGGTGACTTCCAAGGTCCCTTCATTATTATTATTATTATTATTATTATTATTATTATTATTATTATTACTATTATTATTATTATATTTAAAAACAAATTAAACATCACATGCTTTAATTTACAATCTTTAAGTTAATTGGGGATACCTTTGAAATTTTTGACACAGTTTCTTCTATTTTCTCATATGAAGTTGCCAAGGCATCTTTGGTTTGTCTCTGAGTGTCGTCGACTTCTTTCAAGTCGGTTATTATTTCGTCAGGCGCAGTGAGAGCTTTCGTTCTCTCCCTGAGTTTTAAAAAAATAATAATCATGAGCCTGCTAGGGTTTATTAACTGGAAGTAGAATACGATAATGAGAGAAAGAAAGAGAACCCAATGAACGAACCAAAATAAACCTTTACTGCAAGTCATTTACAAAGGTGAACAAGGATAGAGCAGAACATTAGAGTAACAAAAGAACTTCATCGTGGTTGCGTTGCTCAGGTGACATCGGTTTTCTCACTGAACGGTCGAAAACCTATCGTGGGATAAGATTAGCCCAATCAGAAAATTCATTTTACAGGGATTTGCATTTCACAATCACAAATACCACATTGTTGGGGTCCTTGATGCTCTCTGAAGCCGGTTGTTTTCTTGCAGACGTTTCATTACCCTAGTAGGGAACATCATCAGTGCTACAAGGGAGGGAGAGAAGGAGAAGAGGAGGAGGAGGAGGAGGAGGAAGAAAGGAAGGAAGGAAGGAAGGAAGGAAGGAAGGAAGGAAGTGAGGGAGGGAGGGAGGGAGGGAGGGAGGGAGGGAGGGAGGGAGGGAGGGAGGACGGACTGTGGGGTCCTTGGTGCGCTCTGAACTTGGTGGTTTTCTTGCAGACATTTCATTACCCAACTAGGGAACATCATCAGTGCTAGAAGAGAGTGGGGGAGAGAGAAGAGGAGGAGGAAGAGGAAGAGGAGGAGGAGGAGGAAGGAAAAAAGGGAGGGAGGGAGGACAGATTGTGGGGTCCTTGATGCTCTCTGAACTCGGTTGTTTTCTTGCAGACGTTTCATTACCCAACTAGGGAGCATTATCAGTGCGTGAAGGGAGTATGGTTTGTTCTCATTAGCCACTCCCTTCTAGCACTGATGACGTTACCTAGTTGGGTCATGAAACGTCTGCAAGAAAACCACCCAGCTCAGAGGGCACCAAGGACCCCTCAGTTCAACCCCGAGCTACAAATAGGTTCTTCTAGCCGTACAAATCAGAAAACACCGGACTTACTCAGCTTCTTTGGCTTTCTTCAAAAGCTTTTCTGCCTCTTCTTTGGGTTTCTTTAAGTTTCTGATATATTCCGTGCTGTCCTCACATTGTGTCACGAGACTCTGGAGGTTATTGAGCAGGTCTGGCAGCTCCTGAGGTCCCTTGTGCATCTTGATGCCCAGAACATAATTGGCAACTTTTTCTATATCCTCAGGTGGGGCACTTTCCTCTTAGAAAAATAAATAGAGAGTCACGTAGGGCCAACTGCTTTGCCTCCTTATATACTGCTTCTCTAAGTATTTTATAGTGTCAGCAAATGGCCCCCCCAACAATCTGGGTCCTCATTTTACCGACCTTGGAAGGACGGACGTCTGAGTCATCCTTGAGCCCCGTCAAGATCGAACTGCTGGCAGTCGGCAGAGTTAGCCTGCAATACTGCACTTTAACCATCGCACCACCAGTCAATAAAGCTACGATGCCATCTTCTTTACCTACATACCGTAGTGGCCAAAATGGTGGAAACCTTTTGGGAAAAGTGTACCATAGAAATGCCATCTTTGGTTAAGTTTCCACCCATTTTTCTTCTAATTTCTTTATAAGTGTAGCCTTGTTCACTTAATAATCCTATTTTACATCACTTTCTGGGCAACCGGTCAACTCTTTGCACCATGACTTTAATTTTATTACGTTTTACAAGCTCACTAAATGAAAGAACACAACAAAACCCAGCCAACTTGATAGCCATCACATAACACCCTGACAAATGTCCTCCTCTCAGCTTCAATCCATGACATCAATAACTGAATCCTACTGTGATCCGATTGGCTTCTTGCCAAAACAAGATGACACCTGATTGGCTCTCTAAACACTCGCACTCATTGGCTACAATCAGATGAAGAAAAGCTACCTGAGATCAACCTAAGCAAGTTGTGCTT